GGGAGCGAGAGATTTACAGTAATTACAGTGCATTTGCAGCAGTGACTTTGCGATTTAGAGTACAGTTCGCTGGGGCATGAATGACGGGAGGGGGGGTGTTGGGCTGAACTGAGGGGGGCAAGACTCCACTGTGAAGGTCGACTTGGGGGGTTTATAGGGCGTGTGCTTGAAGGTTATCTGGCGGGGGCGGAGACGGTTGAAGATGTCAACGGATGGTAGCGATATGGTTTAAAGAGAAAAAATACGGAGGACAGGAGATGGCATGGCATATATCTACGGCTTGCTTTTTTTAGTTGTGATTTTCGGATATGTGACTTGGTTAATTTCAGGCCCCAAAGATAACAAACAGGCTGTGTGTCATCTGTCGGCTGAGCTCGGTAGGCTGTTTGCCCTACAGGGAGCCGCAGGCTGATGTGAGCCGCCAACCTGGGAAGAGCACACGCCGTAAGAAGATCCCATCAGCTTCGGATTAGCATACCTGGATAGCGTATTATGATTTGAAAGACAAAATAGCATACCAAAATATAAGTCATTCGATATTTAAATACTACTGGGTTTTGTACTGTCTAATAATCTACTGTGAAGCATGTTGGCGTGATTTATTGGACATGCGGTGTTTACTAGCAGTAGCGTCGATTTGGCGGCCATCTACCAACGTTCGGTGCGGTATCCGCCTCAGCCGCCACCTGTGACATTCGCACAAACAGGCTCGAATATAGCCGACAAACAATCGCCGAGGAGACCAAGGAAAATAAAAAAAAGAAATCCACGAGATACATTTTCACGGTTACACAAAAACACAACCAAATATACTCCCAGAGCTGCACTCACCAAAAATCCCGCCGTCAGACGTCGTCCATAGGGTAGAATAAGGCGACATGGAGACGGCAAATGAGCATCATGTGCACCGCGCAGCCACTAGGCCCGAAGGGGCATGGCCGCATCAAGACACAGCGGATCAGAGGCCCATCATTTGTCGACAGAGGGAAATAGCGGTAATCCATGGGCACAAAATGGGGGGCAGGGGAGGAACGAGAGCGCATAAGAGACAGAGGCGTGAGCCTGTACGGTACTGGCACCCGAGTTGTATCTGTCTACGAGAGAATAAAACAATGATACTCTCAACAGAGCCAAAAAAAGACGACGCAGTCATCGCAGCCTGGCGCCATCCCATCGCCCTCGAGCGAAGCGCATCGCGGGGATCGCAAGGGGGTAAGCACACGCCTGTTCGCCCTGTGGTGATGCACAACTACAGCGCTGTGAACCCACTGTAATCCAGTGGGCGCACAGTGAAATACTTTCGTACCCTGCGGGAAGACACAGATGGCAGCTGGGTTTGCAGGTAGCAGAAGCCCACAAAAATATGGGAGGGAACCGGGGCTGCCCACCCTTTTGGCCTGGCCCACGCCACAGCCAGCCAGCGCTGGCGTTCTTTTTGTTAGTTAGTTTCGCGGTAGTCAGCGCTGGCGGCGGAGGTGGTGCTGCGCTGTCTTGTTGTGTCTTGTCTGTCTGTCCTTTTTTTCTTTTGCAGTGAACCCCTTGTCTCTGTCGCTGGTACTCCCTTGTTTCTTGTTCGTCTTTTTGCTTGTGGTTCTGCTGGGACCTCCATGCAGCAGTATCGCACCCCAAAAAGATAACATTTATCATACAGTGCAATGCAATGTAAATAGCAGCGACACCAACTGAAGATCCCTACTACTGTACCTACAAGGCCCTAAGCAGAAAACCAAAACAAAAAAATCACATACTCGCTGCAACAGCCGGTGGAACCGCCGCCCCCCCAAAAATCGACAATCAGCCAGTAGCACGGCGCCGTAGTACGCGGTGCCAGTTTTAAACGCGGTGGTCACCCCCAGTTGTAGCCTAGGCGCTCCATTCCCCTTCGCACGCCTCCCCGTCTCTCTTTTTTTTTCTGCCATCACCTCCCCCCCCTTCCCGCTTTCCTTACCCTCTTCACTCTCCTCCTCATATTATCGACACACCCAAAAACGCCAGGTCCAGGGTTTCGCCCAAGCACCACTCGTGCCATCATCAACTTCATTTTCAACGTCTCGTCTTCATCACCAGCTGTTGCTTGCTGCAGTGCTGCCACAGTTTTGGCCTCTTCTCAGCCGACGGGCCCCCTCAATCTCTGCCCTTGCGCGCATTGCCAGCGCTGCCAGTTTTTCTGACGCCTTTTTTGCTCCGTCAGCAAGCCGTGGCAACCTCGACGCAACAGCAACACCCGTCCCCCCCTCCCCTCGCAGCGGCCATCAATCTGCTTTGCTTGCGACGCCAGCAGTAGAAAGGGAACGTAACGACTCGGCGGGGAATTGAAAGCTGCCATCGATATATTTTATCATACTATTTTATTGTATTTATTTTGCCACTCCAGCCGCAAACTAAACCCTCGCACCGCCCTCGGTCCCTCCCATCTGCTGGACTGTGCCGCGCTCATATTCCCTCGCTCGCTTGCTCCAAGCCCGCATCCAACACCACGACTGAGCCACGTCTATCGCATATCGACGCTCGCCCATAATGTCTGCGCTGGGCTCCGGCTCCAACGCGCACGCCGCCTTGAACTTTTCTCAGGCTGGCATCCAACGCGGCGGTGCATTTCCTCCCACACACCCCAACCAGCAGAATAAACAGCAGCCTTCCCCCCATGCTGGTTCGCCGTACCAACACCAGGCCTATACCCCGCAGCAGCAGCATCAGGGTGGTTACCAGCATCTCTTTTCCACCCCAAACAATGTAAATGGAAATGTCCCCAACGGGCCTTCGCGGACTCCCAATCCGCATGTGCCCAATGCTCTGGGCGTGCAGCGCCAACGTGCAGCCCCTCCGCGACAGCAGATGCAGTCTCAGCATAACCCACCCCCCATGATGTTTCCTGGTTCCTTGAGCCAATCTGTTCAGCATGACAATATTCTCTCGCATCAGCAACAGCAGCAACATCACCAGCAGCAACAGCAACAACAACAGCATCAACAGCATTCTGTTCACCCCGGGCATCAGGCACGCCAGCAGCACCAACAACATCCTGCCCATCCTGGCCACCCCGGTCACCAGCAGCATCAGACACACCAAAGCCACTCGGTACACCCCGGCCATCACACACAGCAGCAACACCCAGCGCACTTGGCCGGCCTGCAAAACCACCAGAGCCGTCAGTCTATGCAACACCAGCAGCAGCACCAACAAAACCCGTCACAGCAGCACCAACAACAGCATCAGCAGCAACAACAACATCAGCAGCAGCAGCATCAACAACAACAGCAGCACCAGCAACAACAGCAACAACAGCAGCATGCCCAACAACACAACCAACACCAGCAAGTTCAGCAGCAGCAGCAGCAGGCTCAGCAGGCTCAGCAGGCTCAGCAGCAACCGCCTACGCCAGTCCCCCCTCCTGCCCAGCAAATGGCCCAATCTAAGAGCCAGCAAAAAAACCAACAGGCGCAAAAGATGCAATCCACACCACAGCAACAGCCACAGGCGCTCCCCCAACAGGGTGAAGAGGCCGCTGGCGACGATATGGACATGGATAATGCTGATGGAGATGGTGATAGCACGCTTGAGAAGCTCCGCAACGACAGTTTTGTGCCCACACAACCTATGGGTGAGATGATGTCGCCTCCACCTGAGGGAGGTAGCTATCCCACCCTTGAAGCTGTTAAGAAGGCAGTGCTCCGATACTGCACGTCGGTTGGATATGCTATTGTTATTGGCCGTTCCAAGAAGACCGTCCCCGGTCTGAAGAAGGTCTTGTTCGTTTGCGATCGCGCTGGAAAGCCACCTAGCCGTGTCAACCCTGAATTCAGAAAGCGCAAGACGTCGTCCAGGAAGTGTGACTGCCCATTTGGCTTCTTTGCCATTGAGCAGAGAATGCAGTGGACAATTCGATATCGCCCTGACCCATCCCACTTGACTCACAACCACGGCCCAAGTGAAGGGCCGTCGGAGCACCCGGCTGCCCGAAAACTGGATAGCAAGATGGTGGCGGCTGTCAAGCAGCTCAAGGAAAACGGTAAGCCCATGCCTTTGGAATCCGATGACTCGCAATTGTGTAACAATCGACTAATAGATGATGATAAAGGCACATCTGTTCCCGAAACGCTACAGATTCTGCAAAATGAAAACCCTGAATGCCATTTACTACGACGCGATATATATAATGCCCGGGCAGCCATCAATCGGAACCCACAGAAAGTGGCGGCTGGCATCGCGGAAAACCAACCGGCTATATACACCAAGACAACACAGTCTCAAGAAGACCGCATACGAGCAGATTTGCGGCGAGAACTCGCTAAAGCGCGGGAAGACATGAAGGCTGTAGAAGAAGCCAAGCAAAAGGAAATCGACGAACTCAAGGCCAAACTGGAGGAGAAGGAAGTGCTGATTCAAAAGTTTGAAACCTTTATTGATATTTGCAACCAGAGAGTCATGATTCAGCGCGAGAGACTATCTGGACCAGACGGATCACAGTCTGGTATAGGAAACCCGCTCGGCTAAGTGGCGGCGCGTTGCTGTTGGACAGCGATTAGACCAGCCCTGGGTGGCCGCGCTGTGTTAGACAAAAGCCAACACTTTGTCTTTTGATGAGGCAGTCATGTCTATACGTTTTCAAAGGAGACCCGCAATCATATATGGCTCGGTGGTAATTATCTTTTGTGCTTGGTGGCTATGATGCACTTTGGCGCCGGTTTAGGCTTGTTTTTGGAGTTTCTTCACATGGGGGGTATTTTCCCATGGGGGGTTCGGTATCATGTCATTTATTGTTATTTATTCTTATGCTATTCGGGAGGAGTATTCGTTTATTTTGGGCTTGGGACATGTACGAGGATTTGCAACGCATGAAGAAAGGATGGGAGGATATATAGGGGATGTAGGCAGACGCGAATTTGAGATTCAGCCACGTTTGTATGATATAATGTGCTTTGTGTGTGTGTATACTCGTGTTCTTCATGTTGATATAAAGCGCTTGACAGTATCTATAGGTACTATATCGTGTATAATATGGCGCGTACCGCAGTATCTTGGTGGGCTGTTGTCCCGTAGCATGTGTGCGTGTTGTACACTGTTTGTACTGGTACATGGTGGTCTACTGTAGCTCCAGCACTGAAGGACTCGCTGGAAGCTCCCCCAAGCTTCCCCCGTACCACAAAAAGGAGCACCAACAGCAGCCCCACCACAGAGGTACATTGTCGCGTCTACCACAGCTTTACACGTCTCCCTCCCGACTTTTTTTCCGCCCCCAGGCACGGGTCCAAACAACCACGTCCCTTTTCGCTCTTACCTCCTTTGAGTGACGCACGCCTTATTTGTTTGTAATTCTATCCCACACCACTTCACCCTACCGCATAATACTGCTTCTGCAGCCCCTTCGTTTTTTTCTTTTTACTTCTTCTCTTCACAGAGAAAATAATACCTCCCATCATCTCGCCTTACCGGGTCCCCGATCTCGTTTTTAGAAAGCCCCTTTACAACCACGCCCCTGACCCTCTCGCCAAACCGCCACGAACTGACCAAGCTTCGACAACGACGCAAGCCTTTAACGACATCAACACCCTGTCTGCGACTTGATACGCACTTGGAGATGAACGGTCCCTTTCTCCAGTAACTTTAAACACGCTCTTTTTCTCTCCAGCGCCTGCGGTGTGAAGTCGCACAAGCTCCGTCAAAATGGAGGTGACTTCCGCGACGACACCGACAATGCCGCCCAACGGCCTGTCTACTCCGCCCTTTGCCACAATCGAGCCCGAGCGTGTGGTTGAACATCTCGCCTCTATCTGTGAGATTGCTCTTGGAGCTTCTCGCAGTGAGCTCGAGCAGCCAGGGAACTTGCTGAACGAAGCTCGCTACGCAGAGACAGTTGCTCGATGCACGCGCTTTGCCAACGATGCGCAAAACGTCTTGTACATACAAAAGGATATCGCAAGCTCATCCAACGCAGATAGCGGCTCTGATGGCCAGTGTAAGTTTCCACCCCCTTCCCAGCATAGCTGTATCAAAGGCGTACTGGGTGTCGCGCGTGTCTTTTGCACAAGTGTTGGCTGACAACCCCCATAGCTCCGCTATCCTTTACATATACCCTGACCACCGAAATTTCATCCTCGGCGACGACATTTGCCTCCCTTGTTCTCTTGAAATCGCCACAGCCTATCGACCCTAATAGACCGCTCTCTTCACAAATTTTCATCACCAACCTGCCGGGCCCGGCTGCTCTCAGCGCTGCCGTCGGCGAACAAGGTTCGGCTCTGTCGCCCTGGGAGGTTCTTCACTCGCAGGTACACCATGCACTCGTCCCGTACTTCGACGCCAGCACCAAAAGCCAACAGCTTGCCAACGGCTTGCGTGGTCGATCCGATGTTGACGCCAAGACTGGTATCCCCGTCACCAAGAAGCGCCTGAACGATCTCGAGCTCAGCTTGCTGCATCTCCAGCAAAATGTCGACATCCCTGAAATCTCTCTCAGCTTTCACTCCGTTGTGCAAAACGCGCTCGAAGATGCCGAATCCCGACACTCTCGACCATCGATCGATTCCATCCCACAAGCTCTTCTGCAAGACAGTTCATTCCTGAACCGCTTGCAGGCCAATGTCAACACATGGATCAAGTCCATCCAGGGCATCACCAAGATGACCAAGGATCCGTCTTCCACCAGCAACCAAGAGTTTAGCACCGCCAGCCAAGAGGTAAACTTTTGGCTTTCCATGGAATCTGCTCTGGAAGGTATCGAGGGCCAACTGAGAAGTGAGGGTGTTCTCCTTACCTTGGAGATTCTCAAGCATGCCAAGCGTTTCCAGGCGACTGTGAGTTTCACAGCCGATACGGGTCTCAAGGAAGCTATGGAAAAGGTGCAAAAGTATAACCAGCTCATGAGAGACTTTCCCCTCGACGAGCTGTTGTCCGCCACATCTCTTCCCAAGGTCCAGGAAGCCATTGCCCAGATCTTTAGCCACTTGAACAAGAAGCTTCGCATTTGCCCCTATCCAATTAGGCGTGCGCTGCCCCTGGTGGAAGCTATCTCTGCCGACTTGGACGATGTTCTCCACAGACTGCTGCCAGGTACCGAGCTTGTGAACCTAGACTACCAGCAGTTCCAGTCCATCATGCGCACCTGCGATGGTATCTTCCGCACCTGGGAGGAGAATATCAAGGAGTTCACCAATGTCGCCCGTGAAGTTACACGTCGACGTAACGAGAAGTTTATCCCTATTAAGATCAACAAGAAGCACTCTGAGCTCGAATCTCGTATCAAATATGTTGGCACCTTCCGTGACAACCACGAACAGCTCCAGCGCACCATTGTCAACGTCTTGGGACCCAAGGCTTCCATTGCCGCTGTTGCTGAAGCCCCTGCTACCATGAACAATGGCGCTGTTGTTGAGGAGATTGGCGATGTTGATGCTGTAGAAGAGGTGCAACAGGCCTGGGAAGCGCTGCAGAACGTCGATCTTCTTGATGTGACCGAAACTGGCAAAGAACGCTGGGTACAAGCCGAAAACTTGTACAATGAACGAACTACCAGAGTCGAGAACTCCATTATTGCTAGGCTGCGTGACAGGCTGGCCACTGCCAAGACAGCCAATGAGATGTTCCGCGTCTTCTCCAAGTTCAACGCCCTATTTGTCCGCCCCAAGATTCGAGGCGCTATTCAGGAGTATCAAAATCAGCTGATGGACCATGTCAAGCAAGCCATTAATGGTCTCCATGAGAGATTCAAGCAGCAATATGGGCACTCTGAAGCCCATGCCATGGCCCAGCTCCGTGATTTGCCCCCTGTCTCGGGTGCCATTATCTGGGCGCGCCAGATCGAATTTCAGCTCGATGGCTACATGCGCAAGGTTGAGGCTGTCCTCGGTCCCGACTGGAATCTGCATGCCGAAGGTCGCAAGTTGCAGGAGGAAAGTGAACTGTTCAAGAAGAAGTTGGACACTCGCCGTATCTACGAAGCCTGGCTGACAGATGTGAACCGTCGCAAGATTTCTATTACTGGCCAACTATTCGACATTGCCCGCGTCCGATCTGCTGGTGGTATTCTCGAGCTGACGGTCAACTTTGATCCCCAGATTATCACCTTGTTCAAAGAGACTCGTAATTTAACTTGGCAGTCATACTCGGTCCCTCATGCTGTCACCACAGTGTCTAAGGATGCAAAGAGAGTCTACCCATATGCCGTCAGTCTCATGGAAAGTGTCCGCACCCTGTCACAAACCTTGCGCCAGATGAACTCGATGGGACCGGAAGCCGTTCTTCTTAATGGTTACCGCAATGATGTGTACAAGCTCGTCGGTGACGGTGTCCCCTTGAGATGGGAGTCCTTTATCAACTCACATGAACTGTTCTACACCGACCAACGACAAAACCGCCCTATGCTACCTGGAGCCAACGACTATGGCCTCGCTAAGAACGCTGAGAGCAAACACGGCATGTTCATCCGGGGCTTTGCGGCGGCAGTATCAGTCCTGCAAAGCAAAACCGTTGCATTGGGATACATCCACACCACCATCGAGCAGGCTCTCAAGGAAATCATCTCTTGCCCCTACGAACCCCAGGCTTTCCAGTCCCGCCTTGATACTATCCAGGCAGCTGTAGATCAGCTGAACTTGGAACAGTATGTGAACCTTGACTTCTGGGTGAACGGATTGAATGAAAAGATTCAAGCCACGCTGCTCGAGCGACTCCAAGGTGCTATTCAAGCGTGGATTACGGTGTTTGAAGACGAAACCTCTGATAATACCCGTCGTAAACCCACCACCGAAGATGGTACTAAGATTGAGGGCCCTACCATGAAGCGCCTGGTGCTCGAAATCGCTATGCGAAACCAAGTCATCTATCTCGAACCACCCATGGAATATGCCCGAGCCAGCTGGTTCCTTCACCTACACGAGTGGCTAGGTATTGTTTGCAATCTCAGCAAGATCAAGGCTGCCCGATACCAAATGAGTCTGAACACAATGCCAACCGAGGAGGCTCGCTTCACAGACTTGCCTTCCCAGTGCGCCAAGACCCTTCAGCGTGTTTACGTATCAGTAGAAAACAAGCTTCAGGAAATTGGTGCCTACGTTGACAAGTGGTTGCAGTTCCAATCTCTCTGGGATCTGCAATCTGAACAAGTGTATGACATGCTCGGCGATCATCTCCCTAGATGGCTGGAATGTCTCCAAGACATTCGCAAGGTCCGAACAACCTTTGACACCCAAGAAGTTAGCCGCTCTTTTGGCCACATTACCATTGACTATGATCAAGTACAAACCAAAGTCAACGCCAAATATGATCAATGGCAACAAGAGATTCTCATGAAGTTCGCTGGACGCTTGGGAACACGCATGCGAGAAGTCAATGCTGATATCGAGAAGGCTCGCAAAAGCCTTGAAGGCCAGAGCTCCGACACATCATCCACTGCCCAGGCCGTTCAGTTCATCACCGCCGTACAAAGCTGCAAGCGCAACGTCAAGCTTTGGGCACCCGAGATCGAGATGTTCCGTCAGGGTCAATCCACCCTGGTTAGACAGCGCTACCACTTCCCTAATGATTGGCTACATATTGAACAAATTGATAGCCAGTGGGAAGCTCTCAAGGAGATCTTGGACAAGAAGTCTCGCATCATGGAGGAGCAGTCTGACGCCATGCGCGCCAATATTGTCGCTCAGGACAAGTTGGTGAACGAAAAGATTGCGGAGATTGTTGCCGAATGGAACCAGGAGAAACCTGTGTCGGGAACTATCCAGCCCGATGTTGCCTCTGCAACCCTGTCGACGTTTGAGACTCGCATCACCGGATTGCAGGATGACCTTCAGCAGGTTATTAGAGCCAAGGAAGCTCTTGACCTTCCTGGTACCTCTGATACGTCTCTTGAAGCCACCTTGGAGGAAGTTCGCGATTTCCAGTCCGTTTGGTCCAACCTGTCAATTATTTGGGCCAGTTTACACGAGACTCGCGATATTTTGTGGACAGCAGTCCAGCCACGTAAGATTCGATCCAAGATTGACGATCTTATCAAGAGCACCAAGGAAATGCCCAGCAGAATGCGACAGTATGCTGCCTTTGAACACGTCCAGGGCATTCTTCGCGGCTTCCTCAAAGTCAACTCCATCTTGTCCGATTTGAAATCTGATGCCATCCGAGAGCGTCATTGGCAAAAGATCTACAAGCAGATCAGGCCTCAGAAGCGCTTCTCTCCCAGTTCCATGACTCTTGGTGATGTTTGGGACCTTAACCTGGTCGCTACTGAGGCTATTGTCAAGGACATCATCGCACAAGCTCAAGGTGAAATGGCCCTCGAAGAATTTATCAAGCAGGTGCGCGAGACATGGCAAAACTATGCACTGGAAATGGTCAATTACCAAAACAAGTGCCGCCTTATCCGTGGATGGGATGATCTGTTCGCCAAATGCAGTGAGAATCTGAACTCGCTCCAAGCCATGAAGCACTCGCCATACTACAAGGAGTTTGAAGAAGAGGCACTCTCGTGGGAAGATAAACTGAACAGAGTCCACGTCTTGTTTGATGTGTGGATTGATGTACAGCGTCAATGGGTTTACCTCGAAGGCGTCTTCACCGGCAATGCAGACATTAAGCACCTCCTCCCTATTGAATCTGGCCGCTTCCAAAACATCAACAGCGAATTCTTGACTGTGATGAAGAAGGCCAACAAGACGCCCTACGTTTTGGATGTGCTCAATATTCCCAATGCGCAGAAGTCTTTGGAGCGTCTCGCTGAAATGTTAAACAAGATACAAAAAGCCCTTGGTGAATATCTGGAGAAGGAGAGAGTATCCTTCCCCAGATTCTACTTTGTTGGAGACGAGGATCTGCTTGAGATGATTGGTAACAGCAACGACACCCTCCGTATCGCAAAGCACTTCAAGAAGATGTTTGCTGGTCTGTCGGGTCTTATCATGGATGACGAGACTGTGATTTCTGGATTTACATCCAAAGAGGGAGAATCAGTCACTCTCAAGAAAGAAATCTCCTTGACCCAGACCCCCCGCATCAACGACTGGCTTGCACTTTTGGAAGGCGGCATGAAATCTACATTGGCGGAGTTGCTCGCTGAAGCCATTGACAAATATACACCTATCTTCGAAGCTGAAACCATTGATCGGGCCGCCCTCACTGCTTATATGGAGGAATTTCCCAGTCAAATTGTAGTGCTCGCCGCACAAGCTGTTTGGACAACAGCTGTTGAAGCCTCTCTTACAGCTGGTGGCTCTTCCTTGCAGCAACTGTTTGAGCGTGAGGTTCAGATTCTTCGTGTAATTGCAGACACTGTCCTCGATGACCTGTCCGTTATCCTTCGTAAGAAGTGCGAACAAATGATTACCGAATGTGTTCATCAGCGTGACGTCGTTGAAAAACTGGCCAACATCAAGGCGGATACACCCTCGCACCATCTCTGGCAACTACAGATGCGCTATGTTTACAACCCTCAAAGCGACTTCCTCGATCGTCTTCATGTGAAGATGGCGAATGCTAAGCTCAACTACGGATTCGAATACCTCGGTGTGCCTGATCGCCTTGTCCGAACTCCTCTCACTGACAGATGTTTCCTGACCCTCACCCAGGCGCTCTGCCAGCGTCTTGGTGGCTCGCCCTATGGACCTGCTGGTACTGGTAAAACCGAATCTGTCAAGGCGCTCGGTCTGCAACTAGGACGATTCACCCTCGTCTTCTGCTGTGACGATACTTTTGACTTCCAGGCCATGGGCCGTATCTTCCTTGGTATCTGCCAAGTTGGTGCTTGGGGCTGCTTTGACGAGTTCAATCGTCTGGAGGAGAGAATTCTCTCGGCCGTTTCTCAGCAAATCCAGAATATCCAGCTTGGCTTGAAGCAAGGTAGCGAGGATGAATCTTCCCAAATTGAGTTGATTGGCCGCCAACTGCGCGTCAACCAAAACACAGGTATCTTCATTACTATGAACCCTGGCTATGCCGGTCGATCCAACCTGCCAGACAACTTGAAGAAGCTCTTCCGCAGCGTAGCCATGTCCAAGCCCGACAAGGAACTGATTGCCGAAGTCATGCTCTACTCGCAAGGTTTCAACCAAGCCAAGAGACTGTCCAAACAAGCCGTGCCTTTCTTTGACGAATGCTCAAAGAAGCTGTCCAAGCAAGCTCACTACGATTTTGGTCTTCGTGCCCTCAAGAGTGTCCTGGTTAGCTCTGGTGGTCTCAAGCGTGCTCGTCTGGGCGACGGAAACCTTGGAGGCGAAGAAGTTGTCGAACCTGAAATCATTGTGCAAAGTATCCGCGAAACTATTGCGCCCAAGCTCATTAAAGCCGATGCTGACGTGATGGTCACCATTGAAACGGACTGTTTCCCTGGTGTCCAGTACGTCCCTGCCAACCTCCACAAGCTTGAGGAAGCCATTCGCACACTGGCCGCAGAGAGACAGCTTGTGGTCACGGAGACTTGGATGACCAAGATCTTGCAGCTCTACCAGATTCAGAACATCCATCACGGTGTCATGATGGTTGGCAACTCTGGAAGCGGTAAATCTGCTGCGTGGAAGCTCCTGCTCGATGCCTTGCAAAAGGTGGAAGGCGTTGAAGGCGTTTCGCATGTTATTGACTCCAAGGTCATGTCCAAGGAAGCCTTGTACGGTAACCTCGACTCTACCACCCGCGAATGGACAGATGGTCTCTTCACTAGCATTCTTCGCAAGATTGTTGACAATCTGCGTGGTGAAGATTCGAAGCGTCACTGGATCGTTTTTGATGGTGATGTCGATCCTGAATGGGTTGAAAACTTGAACAGTGTGCTTGATGACAACAAACTCCTCACATTGCCAAATGGTGAACGTCTCAACCTCCCACCCAACGTCAGAATCATGTTCGAAGTCGAGACGCTCAAGTACGCCACCCTTGCCACCGTCAGTCGTTGTGGTATGGTCTGGTTCAGTGAAGACACCGTGACTCCAGAAATGATTGTAACCAACTATCTCGATACCCTGCGCAATGTACCATTTGAGGACTTGGACGAAGATAGCGTTGCAACTGGCCAAAGTCCTGCTAAGGCTTTAGCCGTGCAAGGCCAAGTTGCAGATCTTCTGCAAACCTATCTCTCCACTGACAACTTCGTCGTCCAAGCCCTTGAGAAGGCCCAGTCCTATAACCACATTATGGACTTTACCGCTGCCCGAGTCCTCAACACGCTTTTCTCGCTATTGAACAAGGCGGTCCGCGATATGGTGGAATATAATGCACAGCACTCTGACTTCCCTCTTGACCCCGAACAGGTTGAAGCCTTTGTCCCCAAGAGGCTCCTGCTGGCATTGGTCTGGGCGTTCACTGGCGATTGCCCTCTTTCTGACAGAAAGGCCTTTGGTGATGATATTTGCGCCTTTGCTACTTTTGGTTCGCCACCTCTTGATGGCACTTCATCTCTAATTGACTTTGACGTCACATTGCCGAAGGCGGAATGGTCTTCGTGGCAGACGCAAGTCCCTACGATTGAGGTTAACACTCACTCTATTATTCAGACAGATGTTGTCATCCCTACGCTGGATACAGTCCGTCACGAAGACGTTTTGTACTCGTGGCTGGCGGAACACAAGCCGCTTCTGCTTTGCGGTCCTCCTGGTTCCGGTAAAACAATGACTCTCTTCAGCGCCCTGCGCAAGTTGCCCAACATGGAGGTTGTTGGCCTTAACTTTTCAAGCGCCACCACGCCCGATTTGCTCATCAAGACATTTGAGCAGTACTGCGAGTACAAGAAGACGCTCAACGGTGTCATGCTCTCCCCCACACAGATTGGCAGATGGCTTGTCATTTTCTGCGATGAAATCAACTTGCCTGCGCCTGACAAGTACGGCACCCAGCGTGCCATTTCATTTCTGCGCCAGCTTGTAGAGCATAACGGCTTCTGGCGAACATCGGACAAGTCATGGGTCACGCTTGATCGCATCCAGTTTGTCGGTGCATGCAACCCGCCCACCGATGCTGGCCGTACTCCTCTGGGTGCACGATTCCTTCGCCATGCGCCGTTGATCATGGTTGATTATCCTGGAGAAACCTCCCTCAACCAGATTTATGGTACATTCAACTCAGCCGTTCTCAAAATTATCCCGGCTTTGCGAGGTTACGCGGAGCCACTCACAAACGCCATGGTCCGCTTCTACTTGGAATCCCAACAGCGATTCACGCCAAAAATTCAGCCTCACTATGTCTACAGTCCTCGTGAGCTTACAAGATGGGTTCGTGGTATATACGAAGCCATTAAGCCCTTGGAAACGCTCTCGATTGAGGGGCTGGTCAGAATCTGGGCCCATGAGGCTCTCCGACTCTTCCAAGATCGTTTGGTTGACGAAGACGAGAGAAAGTGGACCGACGACGCTGTGAAGCGCATTGCTCTGAAGCACTTCCCGACAATTGAAGAGGAAAAAGCACTTGGCGGACCTATTCTTTTCTCCAACTGGCTCTCCAAGAACTACATGCCTGTTGAGCGCGAGCAACTTAGAGACTTTGTCAAGGCCCGACTCAAGACTTTCTGCGAGGAAGAAGTGGATGTTCCTCTAATCTTGTTCAACGATGTTCTGGAGCACGTCTTGCGTATTGACCGTGTCTTCAGACAACCCCAGGGTCACTTGATTCTCATTGGTGTTAGCGGTAGTGGCAAGACTACACTATCGCGCTTTGTTGCTTGGATGAATGGTCTCAAGGTTTTCCAGATCAAGGTTCATGGTAAATACTCGGCTGAGGACTTTGACGATGATCTGCGTGATGTCCTCCGACGCTGTGGCTGCAAGGGCGAAAAGATTTGCTTCATCATGGATGAGTCCAACGTCCTTGACTCTGGTTTCCTCGAGCGCATGAACACCCTGCTTGCCAACGCAGAAGTCCCTGGCCTCTTTGAAGGAGATGAATACGCCGCGCTGATGACGGCCTGCAAAGAAGGTGCCCAACGACAGAACTTGCACCTTGATTCCCCCGAAGAGTTGTACAAATGGTTCACTCAGCAGATTGTCAACAACCTCCACGTTGTCTTTACGATGAACCCTCCAGAGGACGGTCTATCGTCCAAGGCCGCCACCAGTCCTGCCCTGTTCAACCGTTGCGTTCTTAACTGGTTCGGTGACTGGTCTGATCAGGCTTTGTTCCAGGTGGGACATGAGCTTACACAGTCTATTGATCTTGACAACAGCAACTGGCATGCGCCTGGTACAATCCCTGTTGCATACAGAGGTCTACAACTGCCACCCTCTCACCGTGAGACAATTGTAAACTCCATGGTTCATATCCACTACTCGCTGCATCGCTACAACGACAAGCTACTGAAGCAGCAGAAGAAGTTGACATTCTTGACCCCTCGCCACTTCCTGGACTTTGTTGGCCAGTATGTCAAGCTATACACGGAGAAGAGAGAAGACTTGGAGGAGCAACAGCGCCATTTGAACGTTGGTTTGGAGAAGCTGAGAGATACTGTGGATAAGGTGCGCGACCTTCGTGTCAGCCTTGCTGAGAAGAAGACGCAGTTGGAGCAGAAGGATGCGGAAGCAAATGAGAAGCTGCAACGCATGGTTGCAGACCAGCGTGAAGCAGAACAGAGAAAGAACACATCATTGGAGATTCAGTCAGCGCTTGAGATTCAAGAAGCTGAAGTGGCCAGCCGCAAAAAGGTCGTGCTGGAGGATCTTGCCAAGGCAGAACCGGCCGTCGAAGAGGCCAAGGCTAGTGTCAGTAACATCAAGCGTCAGCATCTGACTGAAGTTCGATCCATGGGTAACCCCCCTTCGGGTGTTCGCCTCGCCATGGATGCCGTCTGCACTCTGCTTGGCCATAAAATTACGGATTGGAAGGCCATTCAAGGTATTGTGCGCAAAGATGACTTCATTGCCAGTATCCTCATGTTTGATAACGGCAAGCAAATGACAAAGCCTCTGCGAATGAAGATGCGCAACGAATTCTTGTCAAACCCAGACTTTTCGTTTGAAAAGGTGAACCGTGCCTCCAAGGCTTGCGGTCCTCTGGTACAATGGGTGGCTGCTCAAGTTAACTATTCCGATATCCTTGACCGTGTTGGACCCCTCAAGGAAGAAGTTACCCAACTCGAAGAACAAGCACTTCAGACCAAGGCAAATGCCAAGGCTATTGAGAGCAACATTGCCGAACTCGAGGCCAGTATCAGCACATACAAGACAGAATATGCTGCTCTCATCAGCGAGACTCAAGCAATCAAGGCAGAGATGTCAAAGGTCCAGTTCAAGGTCGATCGCAGTGTAAGACTCCTCGACAGCTTGTCCTCAGAACGTACGCGTTGGGAGGACGGAAGCAAGTCTTTTGAAACACAGATCAGCACTTTGGTTGGCGATGTCCTTGTTGCTGCGGCCTTCCTTGCCTACAGTGGTTTGTATGACCAGACCTTCCGTAAGTCTATGATGGATGACTGGTTGCACCAGCTCCATCTTTCTGGTATTCAATACAAGTCGCACAACCCCGTCACAGAATACCTGTCGAGCGCGGATGAGCGCCTAGGCTGGCAAGAAAACTCTTTGCCTGTCGACGACTTATGCACAGAAAATGCCATCATCCTCAAGAGATTCAACAGATACCCGCTGATTATCGACCCCTCTGGCAGAGTTACCGAGTTCCTGCAGAAGGAATGCAAGGACCGCCGCCTCACTGTCACCAGCTTCCTGGATGACACATTCACGAAGCAACTGGAAAGCTCTCTGCGTTTTGGTAACCCCATCTTGATCCAAGACGCTGAGCATCTCGACCCTATCCTCAACCACGTCTTGAACAAGGAATACCAGCGAACCGGTGGCCGTGTCTTGATTCAACTTGGAAAGCAGGAGATTGACTTTTCACCGTCCTTCAAGCTGTATCTGACTACGCGCGATCCGTCTGCCCAATTCGCCCCGGATATCTGCAGTCGTACAACATTTGTCAACTTTACCGTTACGCAGAGCAGTTTGCAAACCCAATCTCTCAATGATGTCCTCAAATCTGAGCGACCCGATGTTGATGAGCGACGATCCAACTTGATCAAGCTGCAAGGTGAATTCAAGGTTCACTTGAGACAGCTTGAAAAGCAACTGCTTCAGGCTCTGAATGAATCTCGCGGCAATATTCTAGACGATGACAATGTTATCGAAACCCTCGAGACCTTGAAGACTGAGGCCGCCGAAATCTCGAAGAAGATGAGCAACACCGAAGGTGTTATGGCTGAAGTTGAGGCAATCACGCAACAGTACAGTGTTGTTGCCAAGTCCTGCAGTGCCGTCTTTGCGGTTCTGGAGAATCTGCACTATCTCAACCACTTTTACCAGTTCTCGCTGCAGTATTTCCTCAACATCTTCCAATCTGTTCTCCACGGCAATGAAAATCTGGCCAAGGAAACTGACCACAATGTCCGCCGCGACATGATTGTGAAGGACCTCTTTGTGAGCACGTTCCAGCGCACTGCCCTCGGTCTGCTGCAGAGGGATCGTATCGCACTGGCTATGCTTCTTGCACAAGCCTCACCGTTCAAGATGGACAAGTCGTTGATTGATATTGTGCTGGATAATCGCTTTGAAGGCTGCGATCTCTCTTCAAGCCCTGGAGATCGAGACGAAGCCTTTGCCGCCGCCAGAAAGGTGAGCACCCTCAAGGATAAGCTTGACGAGGTGTCGTCCGAATCCTGGGACAAGTTCTTCTCCGAAGAGCTTGCAGAGAATGCTGTACCCCAAATCTGGGATGAGTCTACCAACGCCATGGACCAGGCCCTCATTTCGTTGGCTCTTGTCAAGTTTTTCCGAATGGATCGCTTTGTCCCAGCTGCTGAGCGCTACGCTATTGCTGTCTTTGGAGCAGAGATGTTCGATGTCGTTGAGGATCTTAGCCAAACTATTGCCCAGGTGCCACCAACCCTCCCCGTTGCTCTTGTTTCAAGCCCTGGTTTTGATGCCAGTTACAAGGTTGACAACTTGGTAGAGAGAAACAAGGTCAAGTGCACAAACATTGCCATGGGTTCAAATGAAGGTCTTACCAGTGCCGACAAGGCCATCAACAGCGCTGCAGAAACCGGCTCATGGGTTCTTATCAAGAACGTTCATCTTGCTCCGACATGGCTGCAGAGTCTTGAGAAGCGTATGGAGTCACTGAACCCACACAAAGACTTCCGTCTGTTCCTTTCCATGGAGTCCAGCCCCAAGATTCCAGTCAATCTGTTGCGTGCTTCGCGCGTCCTTATGTACGAGCAGCCTGCTGGTGTACGAGCCAACATGAAGGACTCCATGTCCTCGCTCTCCACGCGTGCTACCAAGAGCCCCGTCGAACGAGCTCGTCTCTACTTGCTTCTCTGCTTCCTCCATGCTGTTGTTCAAGAGCGACTTCGATATGCCCCTACCTTGGGATGGAAAGGTTTCTGGGAGTTCAATGATAGTGATGTGAGTATATCTGTAAAAAGCCCCCCCTTTTAGAGTATACACTAACATGATATTTAGTACGAATGCTGTGCTTTCATTGCCGATACGTGGATCGATAACGTGGCCGGTAACCGAACCAACTTGGCACCGCAGAATATGCCTTGGGATATGATGCGCTACCTCGTCACTGAAACCTACGGTGGAAAGATTGATGACGAAGGCGACTTTAAGCTACTTGGCAGCCTTGTAGACTCTGTCCTCACCCCAGCTGCGTACGATGTCGACCACAGGCTTGTTGACGGCCCAGACACGCTTCTCGTGCCCTCTGGAACAAGCATGCAAGACTTCAACGCCTGGGTGCACAAGCTTCCTGAACGCGAACCTCCCACGTATCTTGGTCTTCCTGCCAATGCTGAGAAGCTGCTGCTTGTTGGTCTCGGCCGAAACCTCGTGGACAACCTGCGCAGCGTCACGGAGATTTTGGATGAAGGAGAACAGCTCATGACTGACTCCTAGACTATGGGCATCAGTCCCTTCTAGTCTCTTATTTGTTTTATGTTTTTCATATGAGTTGACAGATGCTTCATTTGGGCGGCATACTGCACTCACTGCTTTCTATTTCATTTCATTTCTTGTTCTTTTTACAGATGCACTTGCCGGAATAGGGTCGGCAAATGCCCATTTCCTCTCTACTTTTATTGTTTTTGATACCCTACTCCGGTGTTGATTTGAGCTATGTTCATTCACAGAAGCTACTCTTATTCTATTAATTCTATTCTATTCTATTTTACATGATCGAACATGAAAGTGGTTATTAAAAGCGTCGGTGTGTCCGCTGCCTTAAGCCTCGCCGAGATATTGAATCGCTTCTCCAACCAAGTATAAGCTCCCAGTAACTAGTACGTCGGCCGAGTCTGCCTCACTGGCTAATTTGCTTCCAAGCCTAAGAGCCTCCTTCGGGTCTACCATACGCGTAATCTTGGCTTCCGGGCGGAGCTCAGCCCAACATTGACAGTATGTGTCTATTCTAGCAATGTCTGAAATAGGGTTGTTAGCTTTGAAAGAAAGAGACCAGGGGGGAAGAAGATGTGCCCGTAATGTTTTGTAAACAAGGAGCTCTTCTTACCTGCAGCACTGGCGGAATGCGGTGTGAATATGACATGCTCTACAGGGGATACAAGAGATTCGGCTAGCGCCTTGACAACCTCAAGCCCATCACGCTGGCCTTCCTTTTGTGCAAAGATAAGGACTCGTCGGGCGTTTGGAGAACTGTAAAAGAAACATGTCAGCGAAAGTCTGAATAGAGAGGTGATTAGCATGTTAACATACACAGGCTTTACATTATTGTTGAACCAGCCGGCAACCTGGGGCATGCTTAATTCGTTATGGGCTCCGTCGATATACCAGGAGACAGCATCGCGCTCGATGAGTTGGAATCTGCCTGGCCATGTAAAATTTTCTATAACTCTGGCAATGTCGGATTCACTGAGGATACTGGCTGAGTCTGGGTGCTTCTTGTTTAGAAACTTGTTGCTGATGCGGAGGGCGAGGGATGCGTTGAGGCGTTGGCACTCTGATGGGAAGTCACCTGGGAGTGTTGGATCCGAGGCGACGACTTCCAAATCGACATTCTTCTCGTTTGCACGAGCCTTGATTTCCTGGGCCACTGACTCTTTTTGCTCTGCTGTAAAAGCAGCTGCCCCTGGTTTGATGATGCCTGCCTTGTGCCATGCAATGTCTGTGATGCTTGGGCCAAGTGAGGCGATGTGATCCATTCCGATGCTTGTGATGCCTGTGATTACAGGATTTTCGACACAGTTAGTAGCGTCATATTCGCCACCATGGTGTGTTTCGTAAATTGCCACGTCCACCTTTTCCTTAATGAATGTGTGATAAGAGGTGAGTGCCAAGATCTGCAGATAGCGTGGACCAGGCCCTTGTTCCTCAAGGCCTAGAGCTTCGCGCACTTCGGCAAGATTCTGAGAAAAGGTATCTTTGGAGACGGGAGCAAAATTGATACGAATACGCTCTCGAATATCTACCAAATGCGGACCGGTGTAGAGACCCGTCTTCCTGGGGAATCCGGTTCTCTTTCCATGTTCTCGTAAGAAATTTTCGATAAAAGTGCATGTAGTGCCTTTGCCTTTGGTTCCTGCAATATGAATGACATTGAGAGAGTCTATTTGGTCATTCTAGAGAAGGAAAGTTAGTGAGTTTGTGTGTGCATTGGACACAGGGATGTCTGCTCGTACTGTGTGTCCCAGTTTACGGAGCCATTCTCTCATGCCCTGGATGGGCGGAGTGCCTCGAAAAGTCGGATTTGTGCTTGGAAGGCTAGTTACGGGCAATTGCGTTGATCCTGGATGCTGTGGTCTTGCAGTTCGCATGCGCGAATTGAGAAACGCAATGGCATTCTGAGAATATATGTGAGCAACAGGACGGGATGTGTGTCAGTATCTTTGGGAAATGGCTCACCTGGAAAGCACGCTCTTGCGAAGCCACCATGCTGAAAGATTGTGCCGGCAACAGAAAACGTAACCTCCAATCTCTCAACTCTCCCTATATATCGCGGGATGGGCCGGCAAGACGGCGTTGTATGTATGTGCAGCGAAGGGCGTGTTTGTAGCGTCGCGGATTGTCTGCACCAAACTGCCGGAATTGTTGCGGGCCTGGGCTTAGCGTGGCCCACAGCTGCAGTAGTTGCAAGGGTCGCTGGGACTCAGAGAGGTACAGTACCATTTTGGGACCGATTAGTGGATGGAGAGGGTCGTCTGGTTGCAGTGTCGGTTGTATTTAATAAATATGGCGGTTAATGTACCTGGTTTAGAATTGCATGGATTGTTGAATGTGATGTACCACACAATGTTGCATGATGTCGGAAGCACTTGTTTGTAGCCATGTCTTGCGAGAAGCACTGTATGGGTGTAGAGAAGAGAAAGTTATAGCCGACGCCAAGCGATTGAGCTTATTGCGGTTGAAAGTGATCACCCATGCATTAACAAACGAGGCTGCTTGGTTGCTTCTTGCGTGACTTGGTAGTTTAAATTGAGGGTGTTGGTGCTGGGCCTTGCTCTATTTAGTAGTTCTATTTGTGTTGGGATGGTGCTTATTGAGGCTTGGAGTCATCACTGCATCTCAAAGGACTGTCATGAATATTAACGGCAGCATTCGCAAAAAGACAATCGAAAGCGGTACAGACGCCGATGATCATAAAGGTCGATGACGATGTTCGATGAAGCGGGGATTGGGTGTGTGGTGTTGTTGCCACCACACCAGGACGCGTGGACATGCAAATGTAGAGAAAGCGCTGCAATTGCTCCGGCCAGGGTGCGCTGTCTGGTCTGTACTGTACTCAAAGTTACATTACAGTGCAGTACAGGCGCATCTTTGTCCGCCGTTTTGGGCCAATGGGGGCGTGTGGCCGTACTTTGTAGCGCACTCGGGGACAGCAATCGGCCAACCGTTGCCCCAGAACGCACGCTAACTTTAGAGCCTGCAAGCGCGTCGATGGCTGCAGTGGGGAGGGCGCCTCAGACAAGACTACAAAAACACACCCCATTTAGCGAAGGCACCCCGCTGAAACATGGGGCTAGTGTACGACTCTACAGTGCTGCTGTACTCACCTCACCCAGCAAACCACAGCGCTGCACCCAAGTACAGTGATTGTACTCGACCGCATGGTCTCGTCCTTGACGCACCCCGCCGCGCGCCAACTTCCCTGTTTTTGGCACAGTCATCCCCTCTTGCCTCTGAGCTCGACCGCCTCGATGTGGGATTTTTTTTGTTTTTAAGCTACGAAACCCCTCACCCATCCAGAGAGCTCTTTGATTTTCTGTCCTCACTGTGCACGTCTGGACCAACACCTGTGTGCTTGTCTATCAACATATCGTGACCCGTAAATCGACGACGTCATTTACATCTAACCCACCTCAGCTTCTTTTGCAGCCGTAAACGCTGCACCCACCGCTCATCATGGTCAACTGGAACAATTGTGAGCCTGCTTGCCTGATTCTCCGCGATACTCGTTGTAATGGCCTTTAACATGTGCATCGTCGTCCCATATAGTGAACCCGTTCTCCCGACGTGAAACCTACTCTGTAGGCGAAATCACTGGTTACAAGGTCCTCACCTTGGCCACCTGGTTGCTCTCCGTCGTCTCCTCCGTCTACTACACCCTTGAGAAGCCTCATGTTGGCCACCATAATGGACATCGTATCTGGGAGCAGAATGATCTCCACGTCAGTGCCTTCACCATGAACTCCATCATTGCCTCCATCTTCTGGTGAGTATATAGACTTGAATAAGTAACGTGTCGAGGTACACTAACTTACGCCTTATAGGGTCACCCTATTTGTTCTCCAATTCGGCTACATCACTCGCCTCTTCTCCAGCAACACCGAAACCACCCATGCTGCCTCCAGCGTTGGAAGCCACTTCATTGTCAACAACCTCCTCCACTTTGGATTCGTGTGGCTCTTTGTGCGCTCCCGCTTTGCCTGGGCTGAGGTGCTTCTCATCATCAACTTTGTCAACCTCTCTGCCTTGTACTTCAGACACAACACCTACCCTCGATTCATCCATGCCCCGGTGGTGTCTGGACCGCTCGCGTGGACGTTTGTCGCCATCTACTGGAACGGAGCCATCATGGTCCCCAAGCAGGACACTCTGGTTCTTCGCATCTTAGCCAACGTTTTCATCTGGTCCATCCTCGCCTATGGCTCTTTCTTCCTGGCCATTTACAATGTAAGTTTTTTATTTGTTATTTGGTGCAAACCTCAAATTACTAACTACTTCCGCGCAGGACTACACCATGGGTCTTTCCCTCAGTGTCCTTAGCGCCGCTATTGGTGTTGCCCAATTCCAGCGCCAGATTGTAGCCTTCCAGTGGATCTTTGCCTTCATCATCATGGGACTCCTCTTCCTCGGAACCCTGGGCGTTGCTGTTCCCGTCTGGACTGGACGCGAGCTCAAGTGGAAGACCCGCGCCCCAGCTGCCGATGCTGAGCGCGCTCCCCTTCTTAATGACGAGTAAGCAATCATCGGAGCTCGAATATGAAGGATGCAACAAATTTAGGTCGACTGCTTGTTGTGTCTGCAATGGAAAGAAGTTTGGGAGGGAATGCTAGTTGTCTCAAGTTGAAATGTCGTTTTTCTGTATTCTTCGTTTGATGTTGTTGATTTTGCAAATGGGACAGTTTATTTATATAGCTTGTAGTAATGCAATTTTGCTTTTTTTTCTTGTTATTTTTTCATCCGAAAACATACAATATCCGCATATGTATTGCTCTTTATTCGTCGTGTAAGTTATGTGGAGGCGGTTAAGTAACAGCTGTAGCGTGCAACTGGACTTGTTATCCTCCCTCCCTTGGCTCCACGGCTCTGCCAGCAACAAGCTTCCTTCATGCATCATCAGCAACAGCAGCAGGCTGCCGCTACTCAGTTACTATGAAGCCTCCTAGGTTCTTTCCTCTACCTATAAATATTGGCACGGATATTTGCCAAATATCAAGGATACAGGCCATTGTCAGCGGCCCGCGGGGGTCGAGATTTGTAGATCGCATCCTGGCGCCTGAGGAACGCCAGACGATGAAGCAGCGCGGTCTCGATGTCGCGGAAAGTAAGAACAGGGAGAGTCAGTCATATGCCGATGATTTACGGAAACAGGCTGCATTTTTAGCTGGAAGGTATGTTTCTGGGTAGGACTACAGCATTCATTGGGTTTATACTAATGGCTATGTCTGTAGGTTTGCAGCCAAGGAGGCAGCTATTAAGGCGCATTCACATCGCCGTCTAACGTTTCACGACGTGATTATTGAGCCGCGGCGTAACTTACTACCAGAAGTAAGCGGCTCAAGACTTGGGAGCGGACCTCCAGTAGCGAGGATAAAGGGAAAGACAGAGGCAGATGAGGATGAGACGGCTATGGTGTCCATCAGCCATGACGGAGACTATGCTACGGCGGTTGTGCTGGCTCACGACCCAAGCGTTACGAGAGCTCCGGAAGCATGAACGAGAGGGCATTAGCTGTGTTACTATTGTATTATTAGAACTTGATTCCAGTAGTCACACAAAAAAATAATTAAAATAACATCAGTTTGGCAAAACAATAAAATTGTAGGTCGACATCAGCAATGGTTGAAAAAAAGAAATCGAGCTTGCCGGTATACCAGGGACTCGAACCCTGAGCCTTAGTCTTATTAACTGCGCCCACCCGCGAGGGGCAGGCAGTCGAGAAAATAGGAGGACTACGCGCTACCATTGCGCCAGCACACCGTAATATTGAGTTACGTATATCATACGCGGCACAGCTCACCAATCGTGATTGGCTAGTGGATACCTGGACTTATTTTGCTCTAAGTACCTTACCCCACTCTGAGAATGTCGTATCTCGCCCCCAGGATCCCTCTGTTAGAAGAGCTCCAACCAAAATGGAATATTATGAAGTTTCCATCTATTTACATCTTATACTAACGGATCTGCTCTTAATATTCAGTCCTTGACTCTTCAAATGCAATATCTCGTCCATTCTTAAAAGAGACGGATAGCGGCCGGCACCAGCGGGTCTCCGGCGTGTTAAAGCCGGGGCTACAGTGGGCGTGACCTTCCCGATGGGGGAATTGGCCGCTGCAAAACCACCTGCACAGCCTCCACCATCAGCCCGCAAGTTGACCGTGTGTCATATAGTAGACAACATGTTTGACATTAGGGGTCCAAACGTATGTTTTTCTTTGCTTAGGCAGATGTTTAGAGGATGTAAATCGCGGGTTGTACGTATACCGTGGGTATCGTGGTTCGGCCAGGCATCTAAGTACAACAGTCTTAGTAGCCGGCACGAGGCAGCGTCGTTGTTAAACAATTAGTAGAAGCGCAATCCATCTCATCATTTGTGTAATATGGATCCTTATAAGAGAAAATTAGTAACTTTTTAATTTCCCGATTGGAGGCAATTGATCTGGTCTGATAAGAAATACGATTTGTTTATCCATTGAGTCACAGCTCAGCCTGGGTGGTCTGATTGGTAGACCCCAAGCTGCAGCCTGATCCTTTGCGTGTGCCTAATCCGATGACTTGATATGTACACCACTCCCAAAGGGCGGCTTTGTCATGTCCACTTGTCACAGAAATACGATTCTTGGTTTCTCACAAAAAGGGCGGTGGCGGAGGCATCTATATAAAGGGATGTATTTTCCTGTACAATTTTGTTTTGGAAATGTGCCTCTCCCCTGCAACTAGTACATCCTGCTGTATCCGTGGTTCGTGGTCGAAGCGTGTTCACGGTAGCCGCCTTGGATCAGCTTTTACCTGCAGTACAGTACAGTACTACCTAAATGAGGTAGACTTACAGCGGACACCGCTCTGCATTTTAGCGCCTATAGCGACGCCAAGCAGGCAACTGACTCACTGGGAAAAAACGTCAAACCCCCACAGTGGTCCTCAGCCTGCCTTTAGAGCCTGCCATCCGCTGAACACCCGCTAGAAACTGGCGCCATCCCCGGCACAAAAGAGCCGCTCCCCCCACTGACCCCGTCTTCACCCGGGAACATTTCTTGTGCCATTTGGGGCAGGCAAGGCTTCATCCTTCCATCCTCTTTTTGCTTACTTTTATCCTGCATCCCCTCAATCCGTCCCCCCTCCGCTCGCGTTGTGTGTTTGCATACTGCATCCTGTGATTGGTCTCGTTTGCACATCGCGGACTGAGACAATCGCAGCCACAACAGCATCAAGATGGAGCAATTGGAGCGGAACACCTTGCCGCCGTGGCTCACGTCACTGAGCCGTGTCCACCAGACGCCGCAACTCTTTATGGCTAAGTATGCAATCTCAATCGCTTCTCTTGAAATTATGCTGTTTTACTGACTATTTTGTTCCTCGCAGACCCGTGTTTAGCTTCAAAGACCCCTCGCTTCCATGGATTGACACCATCAACAACATTGCCAAATCGGGGAGGATACAATATGGCGTGCTCACACTGTCTCTGCTTTGGCTGCTAATCAGATTCGCATTTCGAAGACGAGCTCCGATTCTGTCTACCAGCAAGACATCTGCTGTTAAATGGGCATATGAAGTACCTTCTCAGGTGCTACGAGCCCTATCCTTCATCTTCATCGTCGAGGCCTGTGTTCGTAAAGAAGTGCACAGAGCTAGTGCTGCCCTGGTTGCATATGCCTTCATCCTAGGTCTTTTCCGCCTCACCAATGACTTGCGCTGGCGCGTCGCTGCACTTCATCAAGTCAACTTGGCCCTCCTCGCAGCATTTCTCCTCTTGGTACTCTCGCGCTATCTTCCCTGCATTCAGATTGAGAACCGATGTGAGAATATCCCCAGTGTAGTCTACTCGACTATAGCTCTCGGTACTGCCTTGGTCCTTGCCACCATTGCGCCCTCAGAATGGGTTCCTCCGCAACTCCCAGTAGAAATTCCGGGCTATGAACCTGCCACAGAGCCCTCAAAAGAGGAGGCCGCAAGCTTCTTCAGCTACTATTTCTCGTACCACTGGCTGGATTCCACTCTTTGGAGGGGCGCCATGGGGAAGCTCGATTTGAAGAGTGTGCCTGTTGTTGCATGGTATGATGAACCTTTGTATCTGGTACATCAGATACATCGTGCCCGAGAGCTCTACAAGCGTACCATGCGTACCACCTTTGGCTTTATGCGGGTTGAGTTGGCTCGCATGTCTTTCTGGGTCGGCCTCGCCTTCATCATTGAGAATTCCACCCCATACGCCATGTATAGGCTCCTTGCCTACATTGCTGATCCCACTGACGACTCATATAACCCGTATCTGTGGGTTGCTATGCTCTTCATTGGACCCATGTCTCGCTCCGTCTGCTTCCAGCAATATCTATACGAAAGTACCAGACTTATGGTTCGAGTCAAGTCTGCTATGACTCAAGAGCTCTACGCAGCAGCTCTCTCTTCTATGGAGCTTGAAGATGATCCTTTCGATAAAAGCACTGACAAGGACAAAGCAAAGAATGCAGACTCCAAGGATACACACAAGACTACCTCATCTGGTCGCTTAGCTAGTCTGATGGCAGCTGATGTTGATGCCATCCATCGCGGCCGCGATATTATCATGGTTGCCATTGGAGTCCCTATCGGTACTATCATTTCGTTTGTCGGATTGTACAAGATGATTGGTTGGCCTTCCTTGGTTGGTATGGCTGTCCTGGTCTTGGGAATGCCCATCTCTGCTCTGCTTTCCAAACTCATGTTCCACACTCAACGCAGGGTCCGCCAAGCACAGGATGCCCGTATCTCACTAGTTACCGAGTACTTGGGCTCGATTCGCGCTATCAAGTATTTCGCCTGGGAAAAGCCAATCACCGAAAAGATCGTCAAATCTCGCCAGACCGAACAGAAGAGCCTTTGGAACATGGGTCTGCTGCAAATCTGGATTAATCAAGTCACCCAGGGATTCCCATTGCTCGCGCTAGTTGTTACATTTGCCTTCTATGTTGGCGTGGCCGGTAACAATCTTGATGCCTCTGTCGCTTTCACCACTGTTACCCTTATGAAGAGCATCCGCCGAAACATCATGATGGCCAGTGGCCTTACTCGCGCGTTTGCTGGTTCCTTGGTTGCTTTCGGTCGACTGGACAAGTATTTTGAAAGCACCGTACCGCTGCAACAACACGCTGAAGGCCCACTGAAGATTTCCAAAGCCAGGTTTCGTAAGACAAAGAAGGCAGCATTCGTTCTTGAGAGTATTGACTTGGACTTTGTCGAGGGTGGCCTCAACGTCATTACAGGCCAAAGTGGTAGCGGCAAAACCACTCTCCTCCAATCCATCCTCGGTGAAACCTATCTAGAAGCAGGTTCTATCACTGTACCTGCAGATATTGCCTACGCCTCGCAGACTGCGTGGTTACAAAATGACACAATTCAGAACAACATTTTGTTTGGTCAGCCATTGGATACCATTCGCTACCACCGCATTCTGAGCGCTTGCTGCCTCAACATCGATCTTAAGGAGCTGTCGCTAGGTGACAAGACCGTGGTTGGTGAAAATGGAACCTCGCTATCTGGTGGACAACGTGCAAGAGTCGCTTTGGCTCGCGCTCTCTATTCTCAAGCACCTTTGGTTCTTCTGGATGACATCTTCTCGGCATTGGATGCCAAGACTTCTGCTGGCGTCTGGAGGCGTTGCTTCTGCACTGATATTTTGAAGGGACGGACTCTGGTTCTTGTCACTCAATTGCCGTGGATCTCTGAGCAGGCCGATTTCTCTGTTGAGCTTGAGAAGGGCTTAATCCTTTCTCAGGAAGTCCAGATTGGTATTACTCGCAAACCTATCACCATCGCGGAGATCCTTGGTGGTGATGACGATGACGAAGATGATGATGTTGAAACACCCGCTGAGCCCGACGTAGCCCCTACCGACGATGCTATTGATGAACCAGCCAAAGTCGTCGAAACGTCTGACGCCGATGCACTCGTGGACCAAGAGTCTAAAGCTACGGGGCGTGTTGGCCGTTTATCCTGTACGAATTCTTCTTCAATACTTCCCCTATGAAACTCATTGCTAACTGAATCTAGTTTTGCAATACCTGGGCTACTATGGCCACCCTACTTTCGGTATTGGTATTGTCGTGCTCATGTTTATTTCGAACGTCGCCTTTTTCGGAAGCTCTTACTGGCTTTCCATCTGGGTCGAGGCATATGACAAGTACAGCTACGTCGACACGACCTTCTATCTCGGCATTTTCGCAGCAGCATCCTTCTTCGAGCTTACCTCCTACGGTGCTGTCGTTGTCCTTTTTGAATGGGGCTCTTGGCGAGCTGGCCGAACTCTACACAATGACTTCATCCGTGCTGTCATGAGCGCACCTCTCTCCTGGTTTAACAAAATCCCCGTGGGCCGCATCACCAACCGATTTGCCGGTGATATGGCATCGATTGACGGTCAATTGAGTCCAATGCTTCGATTCTCACTTGATGCATTTATGATGTTCTTCTTCCGCATCGCGTCTGTCAGTGTCATTATGCCTATTTTCATGATCCCGTCCTTCTTTACATGTCTCATTGGCCTCTTGGTTGGAGAAGTGTACACCCGAACCGCCGTCATTCTCAAGAGACTTACTTCATCAGCCCAATCTCCTGTCTTTTCCCAGTTTGCAGACACCTTGGCTGGTTTAGCCATCATTCGTGGTCACCATGGAAAGTCACAGGCCTTTAAAGAGGAGCTGGCAAACAAGCTCCGTACTTGGTCCGCCACATCGGAAGCCAATTTCAACTGCAACCGTTGGGTTGCAGTTCGTATTGACTTTGTTACCTCCTTGATTTCTATGCTCGCCGGTGTCTTGGCCTTGAAGCAGATGGGTATTGTCGGTGCCGGTCTTGTCGGTTTCTCTTTGAGCAATGCCAACGGTCTCAACCAAACCATTCTGATTCTGGTTCGAGCAATGAACGATTTGGAGGTTGAGATTCAGAGTGTGAGTTATCGTATACGTTTGAATCTATGTCTACTACTTTTGCTAACTAAATATCTAGTTCCACCGTGTCAAGGAGTACGTCAAGCTTGAACCAGAAAACAAGGACGATGTGGTTTACCCTGACGAGGGCGAGTATGCCGATGATGAGACAAAGACCATTCCGAAGAACTGGCCGCGATCTGGCAGCATTGAATTCCGCAATGTTACCATCCGATATGACCCTGAGGGTCCAGATATTCTTACTGACGTCAACCTCAAGTTCAACTCTGGCGAGCGAGTCGCTGTTGTTGGCCGAACTGGATCAGGCAAGAGTACTGTAAGTAACCAAAGCGCCGTCCATTGTAAAGCAGTGGTCTAACATGTCCAATAGCTTGTCCTATCTCTTCTTCGCTTCACGCACATCGTCTCCGGTCAAATCTTGTACGACGGTGTCGATATTACAACCGTCAGTAGGGAACGCCTTCGCGAGGGCCTCACCATCATCCCTCAAGAAGCAGTTCTCTTCAATGGCACTGTCCAGTCTAACCTGGATCCTAGCGACAGCCTCTCAGAGAATGTGCTTGAAAAGGCACTCGAGAACTGCCGCGGCATTGCTTCTTTCTCTGGTAACGAATCTGGTTCAGACGATGATGACACAGTCGTGCACCGCGGTGGCATTGCTCTTGATACCGATGTTGAAGCCAAGGGCGAGAACTTTTCTCACGGACAGCGCCAAGTGCTATCGCTTTGCCGCGCTCTCATTCGTAAAAGCAAGCTCATGTTGCTGGATGAGGCCACTGCTAGCATGGACTATGAAACCGACCGGGGAATTCAAAAGGTTCTCCGCGACGAGCTAGAGGAAGCTGGCGGTGATCGCACGCTAGTCACTATCGCGCATCGTCTTCGCACCATTATTGATTACGATACCGTGGTTGTCATGGGCGCCGGAAAGGTGGTAGAGTACGTATTTGCCTTGCAATGCTAAAAGTGGACGCTTTGCTAACATATCATCTTCAGATGCGGTTCGCCCAAGGACTTGTTCTATGCCAAGGGAGTCTTCTATGACATGGTATATCATAGTGGTGAGATGGAGGAGCTCCAGGCTTTACTTGGAGAGGATGAGTCGGGTAAGGCTTCAGAGGGATCTCTGTCGTCTGCCACACAGGTTGAATAAGACCAGTGAAGAAAAAAGTCGTGATTTGATTTTTACCTCAAGATTGTATAGAGAAGACTTTGGATCTATTCGCATTTAGTTTTAGCATAGGTTGTTCCTTTGATTACACAGGACAACCAAAACATATATCAAGTTTTGGATTATCTTTGCATTACACGGAGAAGGTTTACAGATGAACAATGTGAAGTTGCGTTCAACGAAACATCAAGGTAGAACCTAGTCAAAGCGATTCATTTGTCTTGTAATGAATAATTGTGTATTGGGACTTCCCGGCAAGGAAGCTATGGCGGACGAAATGGGTGACAAATAATACTTGATAAAAGAAAACCAAAAAGGAATAAACGCCTCAGCCAAAACAGACCGCCTCACGAGTCACGTCTGGCTGCTTCCGCGATAGCTGGATCCGTGTACTTTCCAGTCCATCATAACCACATAGCCCTTATATGCTGGCGTTTTTAAAGCACGCTTCGGAGACCAAATCCTCCTCATTGCGCAGGGGCATCGGCGGCTGGTACCGGCACGCCTACCTCTGCGCCGCCGGCGCCGGCCTCGACGTTGTGATAGTCTAAAATTTCAGAGTACCTGGGCGATGTTAGCATATTCCGTTGGTTTCAAGTGTGTGTGTATAGGTTATTTACATCATAATCTTCCATGTATCAACTGGCAGGTCTGCATCGTTAAAGCTCCAGTCAAACTTCTCTTCCGCTACGGGTTCGTCGGTAGGATCGTGATAGGGACCGAGGTACTCGTGGGCTAGAGCCTCAGCAGCGGTAAGGCGCGTCTTGGGATCGAAAACAAGCATCTTCTCAAGAATATCCACAGCTGTACAAAATATGTTAGCATAGAGTCGATCCAATGCTATGAGGGGGCAACTCACCGGCATCATCTGCATTAGGGAATTTGCTTCGAAGAGGCTGTCGTTCGCGAACGGGAAGTGACTTGACGAATCGAAGGGTCTGCCACTCTAGTTAGCGCCGATTCAACCGGTAGATAAGCTTGTACAGGACAATGTCACGCTCACGTTTTCGCTAGCAATGGTGTTGATAACATCATCGGGAGGGGTTCCAAGCAATTCTGTGATGATGGAAAACTGGTTGACGTGATCCTTTCCAGGGAACAACGGCTTGCCCTCAAGCATCTCTGCAAAGATACAACCAGCGCTCCAGATGTCGACCTCTACGTCATACTTTTGCCAGGTGAGCATGATTTCGGGTGCTCTGTAATATCGGGTGGAGACGTATCCAGTCATTTGAGGGTCCTGAATACGGGCGAGACCAAAGTCGCAGATTTTCAAATCGCAGTTTTCATTGACGAGAATGTTGCTAGGCTTAAGATCACGATGGACAACGCCTGCGGAGTGGACGTATTTCAGACCGCGCTTGCAGATGTTAGTTCGGCTCCTAGTCATATATCATGAGCTGTAACTAACCATAATCTGGTACAGAAAGTACTGGATAAACTGTTTCTCGAGCGGCCGAGACGTAAGGAGGCGGTGGAGATCGGTACCAAGCAGTTCTGTGACAAAGTAGCTGCGGTGGGAGTTAGTTGAGACGACAGGATGACAGAGCATTGCTTGCATGAAACATACATGTCCTCCAGAGGCGAGATGAAAATATCACTGAGGGAGATGATCTAGCCGGGGAGGTTAGCGGATGAAGAGGCTGTGCTGCTTGCTGCTGAAATTGCATACGTTTTCGTGACGGAGGTGCTTGAGAAGCTTAAGCTCGCGGTAGGTTCGCTTAGCGAGGACTGGTGTGCTAAAGGGCTTCATGATCTTCTTGATGGCGACATTTTGGTTTGTGAGCTGGTCTCTGGCGGAACTGTAGACACGCAGCGACGTTAGACATCTCGTCTATTGGCAACGATACGGGGGTGCAGGACATACCAAACGAGGCCAAAGGCACCCATGCCAACGGGCTGAAGGTCAGAATACCTGCAGAAACAGAGTCAGTATGTCGTCATTGACGTTGCGAATAGTTTATTTGTCGACTATTCCGCTGCGCCGGACAACGCAAGGTAGACCCTTACCTCGAGGTGATCTCAAAGGTGGTGCCAAAGATTTGCGCACGCACAAACTCGGCCATGATGGGCTATCTTGGTTGCTTGTGAAGCTACAGCTGTTGGTTGCTTATTTCTGGATTTGGGAATCGGCCGATTCGGAGACGAGAGGCGAGATGACGTGGAATGCGTTGCGCGATGGAGGATGCAAGTGCAGCAGATGGATAATTGCGAGAAATGCTTAGTTAATGACGGTTGCTGGGAACGTGGTGAAGCGGGTAGCAGCGCGGGGGACAAGGTTTCGAGGAGTCGAGAGAGAGAGCGAGAGTGGGTGGACCACCTTCTTGTGAGGGGTTTGCGCTGATGCGGCGGTCGGGGGGAGGGGCACCGAAAGACGCCCGAGGGACGCTATAGATGGTGGTGGTGGTGGCGAGCGAGGGGCAGCAAAGCAGCACTGAGCGCTGGAAAAGCAGTATTGGTTAGAAAATATCAAAAGAAAAGTGTGACGTATAAAAGATAGTAGAGGATTATTTGCTGAAATAAAAAAAACAATGAGCACACAGGGGAAGCCTGACAGCAAGGATGATTGTGATGATGGCGGGGACCTGCAAGAAGATAAAGTGGCGTTAAAAAGAAGAAAAAAAAACAGCACAGCTGGGGGCAGCTGTACAGTGGGCTACAGGGCCCTGAAGCAGGTGCCTAGCTTTGGGCTTGGAGGACGGCTTGAACAGCGCTGCAATGCAATCTGCATTCGCTGAGGCAAGGCAAGAGGGAGACGAAGAAAGGAAGGAAGAAATAATTCAACGCGTTGATATAGCCCCGTGGGGATGGGACTGGTGGTCTTCTCTGTGCACACGGTTTACACACCTAGAGTTCAGCGTGGCCAACGGTCGAGTGCTGAGTTTCGCGTCGGTGTTCGTTAGTCGAGTGAAGCTTGTTGTTTTATCCTTCTCTGAAAAAAAAAGAATCCAATGTATTATCCAACTTCGTTGAGTAATACCTTCCGCAATTCGTTCGTCGTGGAATTCTGCAATGCAAGGACCCTGACTGCTGTTTAGTGTTAGTGGTGTCCAATCCAACAGGTTTCTGTCCTATAGACGTACAATACAAGCCTTTTCAGCTTCGTCGTTATATTTTTAAAGCACAATGCACCAGATTGGTTAAATTGAATTGGTCGTCGTAGCCAAAAACAATAAATCGAAATGATGCAAAAGCGGCAGCCCTCTAGAAGCACCGGCATTTCTCGTCGCCCTTTGACAACCCTGATAATGATGATGTCATTCAAAATGCAAAACCCACCTCAGCGCATTTTTGGGCGGCACATGCAACGTCAGATCTCCAGACTTTGCAATAAGCACCACTTCGCCCCATGGCCAAGGGTATCATTGCTATTCTCTTTTCTCTTTTAATTCCTACAAAGTAAACCAACCCTATACTAAAGCACAGTATCCCATCACTTCTAACAAAAATACGCGCATCCCGTAAAAGAAAACGCCCTCGATCTTGTTCCCCATCCTCACCGGCTATAGGCATCGGCGACACCGCTGTCAAATCGGGCTTCTTCAAACCCTATCCACTACGTTACGCATCAGCAGCGCCATGTCTGAGTGGCCCTATATTGCGACGCTGCTGGGTCCGCCGCCACCAAGTCGTATGGCACCACGTACCTAGATTCAGCTCGAGCGAATAATAAGAAACAAAAAAGAAAAAGCCCGAATTTACAAGAAAAAGGAATATTCAATTCAACAACTAAATATACTCTGCAAGAGCTTCGGCTACAAGCTGGGACTGGTTCATTGTGCACTGCTCTATTCAGAGGGAGCAGGAGCCAGAGGCTCAACATTCCAGATAGACTCGGCGTATTCGTGCATGCAACGATCACTGCTGAAGAATCCCATGCGTGAGACCGCCTTGATGCAGCGTGTAACCCACTCGTCCTGGTTGCGGTATGCCTCGTCAACCAAGTGTTGCGTCTCGATGTAGCTGTGGAAGTCATCCGAAACAAGGTAGTAGTCGCCGTGCTCGCGAACGGCGGCAATCATGGCACCAAAGTCGTGCGGAGTACCAAATCGGCCACCTTCAATCTCCTTAAAGACCTGCTCCAAGTCGCTATCAATTGTGTGCGAGCCGTATGTATGCGCGTGGCGCAAGTCCTCCACATCCTCAGACAAGTTGCCAAACAGGAAAATGTTGTCTTCTCCGACTTCGCGAGTGATTTCAATCTATCCCCAATGTTAGCAAACTACTTCGTAGCTGTATACTGCGGTGTTACCCAATACGTACGTTGGCTCCGTCGCAAGTACCAATGATTAGGCCACCATTCAGAACAAACTTCATGTTGCTAGTACCCGATGCCCTAAATCCTCAGTGTTAGTGCTGCTATTCCATTACAAAACGTAGAAATCAAACGCATAGTACTTACTCAGTGCCGGCAGTTGAGATGTGCTCGCTAATATCGGACGCAGGGCAGATGATTTCGGCCTTGCTGACGTTGTAGTCCTCCAGGAAAATAACCTTAAGAAGATCACCAATGTCCGCATCGTTGTTGATCACAGAGCCAACAGAGTTGATCAAGTGGATAATCTGCTTAGCCATCCAGTAACCAGGGGCAGCCTTGCCTCCAAAGATAGATACACGGGGAAGCTGCTTCTTTTTCTCCTCCAGAGGCATAGCCTTGAGAGCTAGGTAGCGGTGGATAACACCAAAGATGTTGAGCTGCTGGCGCTTGTACTCGTGGATTCGCTTGACCTGGATATCGAAGAGCGCCGATGGGTTGACCGTGACGCCAGTGGTAGTCTTAATGTGCTTAGCAAGTCGGACCTTGTTGGCGTACTTGATCTCTGCCCACTCCTTGCGGAATTCCTTGTCCTCTGCAAACTGCTCGAGCTTGGCGAGGTTGGTAAGGTCGGTCAAGAAAGCCTTTCCACCGCACTTGGCGGCAATGAGCTCCGACAAGCGTGGGTTGGCTTGGTGGAGCCAGCGTCTGGGCGTGATGCCGTTTGTCACGTTGGTAAACTTGTCAGGGCCGTAAATCTGGACAAAGTCCTTGAAGATGGTTGTTTTGATGAGATCAGAGTGCAGCTCGGCGACACCGTTGACCTTGTGAGATCCAACAATGGCAAGGTAAGCCATACGGACCATCTTGGGCTGCGATTCCTCAATGATGGACACCCGTCTAAGCATGTCACGGTCGTCGGGGAATGACTTCTCAACCAGCTGCAAGAAGTACAGGTTGATATCAAAGATTATCTGGAGGTGTCTGGGCAGCAAGTGCTGGATAAGGCCAACAGGCCACTTCTCCAAGGCCTCGGGCAAGACGGTGTGGTTTGTGTAGCTGAATGTGCTAGTAACAATCTGCCAGGCCACATCCCATTCAAGGCCTTCGATGTCAATGAGAATGCGCTGCAACTCAACAACAGCAAGAGTGGGGTGGGTGTCGTTCAGCTGGATAGCGACTTGGTCAGGGAACTCGCTCCAGGGTCTCTTGGACTTCTTGAAACGACGAACAATGTCGTGAAGAGAAGCAGCTACCCAGAAGTACTGCTGCTTGAGACGGAGTTCCTTTCCACGCTCCAAGTTGTCGTTGGGGTACAAAACGGCACTGATGGTCTCAGCACGCTGCTGGTCAGCAACCGAGCTTTCGTAGTCACCATTGTTGAACTTTTGGAAATCGAATTCGCCGCCAGAGGCCTTGCTGGACCACAAGCGGAGGTTGTTGGTCGTAGGGGTATCGTAACCGGGGATGGGAACATCATAGGCAACAGCCTGGACGATTTCACCTCCTTCCCACACGGCAACAGTCTTGCCAGCGTCGTTGGTGGTCTTGCGAACATTGCCAAAGAATTGAATCTATAGTGAAGCACCAATTAGCAAACACGAGAATCTTGTAATCTCACGGGCGCCTTACGTTGACAGTGACATCATGGCGAGGGAACTCCCAAGGGTTAAAGTCCAACCAATAGTCAGGGACTTCGACTTGGTATCCATCAATGATCTCCTGCTTGAAAATACCGTATCGGTATCGCAGACCGTAACCCCAGGCAGGGTAGTTTAGCGACGCCAAACTGTCCAAAAAGCATGCGGCGAGACGGCCAAGACCACCGTTACCAAGAGCAGCGTCGTTCTCTTGGGTGATAATATCTTCGATTCTGAAACCAAGATCGGCCAGACCAGCTATAAATATATTTGGTTAGGCTTTTTACCAGAAGGGTGTTTTGGGAGGTAGAGGATTCATACCCTTGGCAGTGTCCTTGAGGCCAACGTTGAGCATAGCGTTATCCAGAGCTCGGCCCATGAGGAATTCGAGACTAAGGTAGTAGACTCGCTTGTTGTCGCGGTAGGTTTGTTGCTGCTGAGTCTTGTTCCAGTCGTTGATGAGGCGATCGCGGAACGCCAAGCTGGTGGCGGCGTAGGCAGCCTTCTCGTCGCAGTTGAACAAGCTGCGAGCAAGAGTTGTCTCTACATGGCGGACAACTTCGCGCTCAAAACCGTCCTGGTCCTCAAAGTTCTTGACCTGGTGCTTGCGCCAAGCCTCGCGTTGGGGCTCGGGGATGGAAGCTAGAAGCAGTCAGTGTAAGCGTTGAGCTCAGCCTAGCTGCCCGTGCCATTTGCAAAAAGTTACCTTCAACATTCTTGATTTCACCAGCACCAAAACCAGTTAAGGTTCTCTTATGCTTGGGGCGAGAAATGCCAGCAGGACTAACGCTTCCCTGAATATCGACGATGGGAGCGGACGTAGAAGGGCGACGCTGCCGAGTGGGCAGAGGCTGTTCAGAAGCCATGATGGAAGCGACGGCAACACGGGCAGAACAAAAGCAACAGTGGAAATTGCTAGGGAAACAGAGGCGATTTCAAAGAAGAAAAGAATCAATCGACGAGAATGTCCTGCAATTGGCGCAATCCCGTACTTGTCTTGTTCTTCAGCAAAATCAATCGAGTGGTTCAAAACAACAGAGCGTCTCAAGGTGGTACGGGCACTACCCCTCTCTTTAGCAAATCGGGAGCTATGGTGGGGGAGAGCTGCAGGAGGCAAAAGCTAGGCGGGGTGCTGTTCACTAGGCGGGCTGGGTTCTAGGCCTGCGTGAGATTTCCAGGCTTTTTCTTATCGCCCAGTCGTTGGGTAAGCACAGCCCGGGCTGCGACGCAAAGGACCACACTGGTGCGGCGTGCGGAATGGTGGCATCCGGAGTGGCCGGACCGAAGCGCCAGTGTTTTTTTTTGTTGAAAACGCCGCGTCGATGGTAAGATAACGATGTGTGGAAGAAATTTTTCCGGCGCTTAGCTAAAATAGGATCAAAACTAGGTTTCTATAGTACTGTTGAGGGCATGAAAGAGAGACAGAATGGGGAATTGGCAGAGACAGTGCATCTGCTGTAGACGCCGTTGGTGCTGTAAATTAACTGCGGCCGCCACTGGCAAGACCGAAGCGTATGGCTCCTGCTCAATTGCCCAAACCTAATCCGCTAACTTAGTGATCATAGCACGTAACGCCATTGTATACATTGACCGGAGTCTGTTTTACTGTTTGCGCCTGCCTGGTCTAGTCTGATTACTTGACTACGCAGAGTTGCCGATAAAGAAAAATTTCGATACAGAAACACATCTCAACACGAGAGACAGCGAGGGCCAAAGCGCCCGGCTTAGCGCCATCTCGTCCTGTCGCTAACGTGCAGATGCATGCGTTAGCGTCTTTGCGCCTCGCTAACAGTAAGCCCGGACATAGCAATTTTTTTCTTCGGCCCTACTTCGCTGTTGGGGCGCTCTTCATCTCATTTATGGAACGTGTCTACGCGCAGCAAGCATTAGCTGGTTGGGTACGTATCCGTATTTTACGTTTTTGCCGCCATTGCCTCCAGCTATCCAATTTGTCGCTTCCAGGTCGAAGAGGATAGATATCCCTCTTTTGCCCCCCGGCCCGTCACATCGTTTTCAACGCATCCTGGATGTTCCCCGCAGACTGCTGCTTTGCACAGGCACTATTATTGCGGAGATGGGGAGCCAAGAACATGTTCCTACAAACTTTAAGGGCCCTTCGGCAAATCTGGGCCACAAATGATGCTCTGGTATGGGTCGGGTTGTTCCCACTTTACGGTCCGATCAGTGGATCGCATCCAACTCCCCCAAAGTACAGTACATGTAATGATATTAAAGACAATACAAACAAGGACGCTAAACAGTAGGTTTGAATTCAACACATAAAACAAGCGGTATATATGCATATGGATACATTATAGGGTATTTCACTACCCAAAAGGCAAGATCCGCTGTGAGACCTGTTGCTGATCGGCCGTCAAGGCAAAAGAGATGCACTACGAAACAATCGTTTCCGTTCCTTCGTCACAAAGAGCAAGCATAGACAAGTAAGACAACAAGGCTCATTTCGCCTGCCCAAAGAATCAAACGCCAAAAAGAAGAATATGCGCCCAAACACCATGCCCTCTGCGGATGCAGAAAGAAAAATAGAAAAGCCCTCCTTGATATCCGGTTGCAAAACAGCGTAAACAACGATGGACATGAATCGCCACACCGCAACATCATAGTTTGGCAGTGGCTTTACAAAATACCCGAGTCTTTCAATGCGTTGTTCAAGATAGTCTCCTTAACTGCTGCAAAAACAAGTCGAATATTCGAGGTATCGGTAGCTTGGGTTAAGCTGCACGGGATTGGTTAGCGAGAAGCCGCATACAGTGAGCTGGCTGGTGGCAGAGTCTGTTTAGACTTACTGTGGGTAAAGGTTGAGGTGCTGTCTGTTGACTTGATTAAACCGCCATAGAAGGTATTTGGCGGCCTTGTTGACATCGCTGCCGCCGGAATAATCGGGGAAGTATTTAGCGAGCGGTGATCGGAGGAGCTTTTGTTTGAAGATGTCGACCTTGTTCAAAAACAGAATAATACTGGTGCGAACAAACCAACGAGAGTTGACAACGGAGTCAAAGAGAAGGAGACTTTCCATCATTCGATTCTAAAAAGTAAGAAAAAAGGCGACATGTTAGACGGGATATCAAACCACGGGTACCAAAACCCTGGCACTGATGCTGTGGCTCACCTCGCTGATTTCTTCGAGAAGAACTTGGTCGTATTCGCTAAGGGCAACGCAGAAGATAATAGAAGTGACGTTTTCGAAGCAGTGGATCCATTTCTTTCGCTCGCTTCGTTGGCCACCGACGTCGAACATGCTGCCAGATTTTGTTAGCATACGCTGAAAATACGAGGCTAGGCTTGCGCGCAGTCACTCGACTTGTTGTGTAGCCTCTGACGAAATAACGTACTGTATACTCAATTGTCCCATTTGGAAACGTGTTTCGTAAATACCTGTTGTCTTTGTACGAGCTCGCAGCACGTCCATTTCGCTTGGCAGGTAATCTGGGTCAACAACTCGCATGGCCTCTTGGAAGAAGCTGAGGTGATGTGTGTTAGTCCAATCCGGGATATTACTGTCGTTACAAGGTCACACTTACTATTCGGCAGAGTCCATCAGATAAAATTCGGTAGCATGCTCCATGAGCTTCTCTCTCGCTGGATCTCCCCATAATGACTGGACTGCGACGCCTACTTGAGCGTCAATATGAGCCTGTGGTCCGGATTCCGTTTGATATTCCATGAGATAGTCCATGTGAATCTTGTTCTCTTCGATTTGAGGCTCAATCTCGAATTGCTCCATGGCCGTGATGACAGCCTTGGCACATTCAACCAGGTTTTTAAATACCGTTGGGCGATAGTTGTATAGTTCATCCTCCGAGTATCCCTTGAGATGGATAATTTTCATTTGTTTGACAATGGTGGACTTGCCACTTTCGCCAGAGCCTGTGGGAAGGGGATTAGCCGAGGGAGCTCCATAAGTGTGTGACGCTCATCACCGCCGTGAGCAAGAGGGCAGACTTACCAAGCAACAGAATCTTGCATTCCTTCCTGAGCCGTCGCGAATCCTCTTCCAGGATCTTGTCGATGGCTTGGGACTTCTTTTTCTGATCCACCTCATCGCTACCTGAGCTTAAACAGTTGCCCATGGTGTGCGATGTCTGCAGGCAGCGAGCGGCCTGGGGGCGAAGCGGCTAGGCGCGTGAATTAAGCCTTGCGGCCGGGTGCACGGGCTGCTAAGGGCCGGTATATGGTTGAACTTGTTTCGACTCTTGCGTGAATTATAGCTGGTGCATCCTCACCGGCACTCGAGCCGTGGTTCGACGGGCGAGACGGATGGCTGGGTAATGGCGAGAAACGGGGGGTTCCGAGAGGCGGTGTTTCGAGCGTCGAGGCAGGGACGCGGCTGCAGTTGGGCGAAAGCAAAGACAGCAACGAGCGCGATAAATACAGGGCGATGCGCGGGAATAATTGACCTCGATGGGATGCGATGAGCGGCGGTGTCGGGGGAAGATGGTGACGAACGGCGTTGTGCGGAGAAGGAGGAGGAGCTAGAGCTGAAGGCTGGCGATGATGCTGAATGGGCCCAACCAACCGATCGGGGTTGTCTGGCTGGAGCCAATTGGAGCGGGTGAACAGCGAAGGCTACGGTTGTGGTTGGGCGGTGCAGGTGCGGTAAACTGGGTACTGCGCTGGGGGTGGGCGCTTTGAGCCGGGTTCAGGGATTGCCGAGCACCGCAAACTACGCCGAACAGCTGCCTTGGACAAATCATATGGGAAAAGAAGGCCATCGTATTTTATCAGCTGGGGCTGAGGATATTAAAGAAGAGCATCGTGCCCGTGTTTTTTTATTTTTTTTTATTTTTAATGGTCTATCGCAATATGCTAAAGTCTCCGGAGTCTGCGTCTGCTACATTCGGGGCTGCACTGCACCCATTTTTGATTTGGGGGTGAGGCTTTTCGACAACACTGCCGCCATCGGTGAAAAGGGTGAAGCGGCTACAGATTGGCGGCGTCGCATCTGCCCACTGGCGGAAGCAGGCTTGGTTCGTCACGAAAGAAACACAAGACAAGGGTCTAAATGGGCAACAGTGGTGTTGTTGTGGCAGCGTAGGCGGCCAGCAACCCGCACAGTCCATGGATTAGCCATGTTAAGTGTGCTGCTGCTACTGCTGCTACCCAACCAACGTGCATACATGCATCGCCAGAACAGCAGCCCTGGCACACAATTCAAAAAAGCACATGCATAGCAGCCCAGAATGAACGCTGGCAGTGGATAGAGCTCACTGAAGGGTTTCATTTCTAGCGGACCAAGCAGCCAAGCCTGATAAGGCTCCCTCGTTAAAGTGACCTCGGCGCCGCCAAGCTGTGGTAGCACATTTTACCCTGGACTACAGATATCTGTCGTAAAACGCGATTAATCTATTAACCGAGAACATGGTTACCGCAGATTAAAAGTGTCAGTCGATGGATATAATTCTTTTTTTTTTTCTCGGCGCCTTTTTAAAATTATTTTTCCTATTCAATGGCGGTGTTATTATGTTGACACTCAGCCACGTACGAAGGCGCATTGTGATTGGGTAACCGCACCACAGTCTAAATAAAACTATACGGGTCAAAGAAGTGCATTATCTGTAAAGAACAAGTCAGACTATCTGTAATCCAATAAAAGCACGGTGTAATAAGCTGCCCCTTATTTTCTATCAGCACATCACTGCTGCATCTCGTCTTATTCAGCGTCGGCCTGTTTCAAGTTGTCGCCGTACACGGCACCGAAACAACAGGGGGTTTCTCAAGCCAAACGCCACCAAACAAGAAGCGAGCGAGCTTTTGTTTGCCATGTGCTTAAATGGTGCATAGTGATATTTGATTAGGAGAGATGAAATGATATCACTTTTGTATTAGCACGCACAGAACTTGGAACAGTTGTAAGATGAGAGAGTGATGTCATAAACCAGCCGTCGATGAGACGCGCAATGTTGGAATTGGGCCCAGTAACAGTAGTAATAGCAGTGAAATACCGCCGTGAACAAGTATTTGGATTTTTTTTCTGCATTTTTTTCACGAAAGAGACCTATAGTTTATTTACCTCTATGGTGGTAGAAGGCAGTACGCTTAGCTACGAGGTCGTTTGTAGATACATACAAATATCAAATTCACTATTTATATTTTGCTTTACCCTGAGCTATAAACATCACTTGCGTGTATATCTTAACAAACCCAAACTCGTATTATAACTATTTTTTTTTAATTCAACAAGGGAGCAGCTTTGTCTGAAACATACATCGCCCATCGGTAGGGCTGCCTCTGTACTACGCCGCCAGTAGCGTGCACGGGCACTGCCGCAGGTGGTAGGGGTTTTTTGGCAGGAAGCTAAAAAGGGAAACTGGACGGCAGCCACAACAAGGTTGTTGCTATTTTGTTGCATCGCCGCTTGGGCTTTTGGCTTCGACAACCTGACGACCCCCTTCACACACACGCGCACAGAAGCTGTGTCTGGCCTGATACTTGGTCTGTTGCATTACTTTTGCGCCCGTTGCTGCATAAAACCTCCTCCATCGCCCTGTTTCTATCCGTCCCTCGACTCTGCAGCTTGTCAACTCGGCCCTGTGAAGGGATTGCTGCTGTTCGCCAACAACTGCTTCTCCCACATCCTCTCTAGCAGCTACATGGCTCTATAAACGATTTATAAATCCCAGCGAGCCGATACAATTAGCCCAAAACAACATCAATCCATTACAACAATCAAATAAGTTGCGAAATTCGCGAGAAACCTCGACGATCCCCGCACCATCGACAAAGGGGGCAACATCGCCGAATCGATATTTGCTGCTCTGCACCGCGAGAGGTCTGAGCAGAGTATATCTCTTGCAATAGACGGAAATAAAAATCTACACACCTGCCAATACCTTTAAGCAAATATATCACAATGGCTTCTGAAGAGGAACCACGCCCGTCGCTGGCCTCAGAGACAAGTGTCCGCCTCTCGCCCATCGATCCCAAAGCTCCATCGGCACCGCCTCAGCCTGAGTTTACGCCTCTCGTATCAGTCGTTGGGTTTCATCATGCACGCGGCCCTGAAGTCGAATCATGGTTCGGTGTGGAAGACGGCTTTGACCCCGCTGCTGAGTATGGCTGGGGTTTGCTGTCGTTCATGGCCCTTAGTGATGGCGCCCATGCGTAAGAAATCCGCTTCCCTGGCGATACAATATTTATGCTAATGTGGGAATTATATCAGATCCGAAGAAGACTTTTCGTATTTCACTCTATTAAAGCCCGCCACTGACACCACGCCAGCCACATCCCTCTTCGGCATCTCTTGCTCGCGACAACTTGACGCCAACGCCCTCATCAATAAACCAGCGGATGTCACAAGATCGACTGTACAAAAAGCGGTTGTCGTTATTGCAGATAGCCCCCAATACTTCGGCATGTTGCGCGAACGCTTAGGCATGGTGACACACGCTTGGTTTGCTCAGCGTGAGTTTACTGACGTGGAGATCCTCCGTCGCTTCCAAGAGAGTCTTGCGGATGAAAAGTCGCGCGGAACTTTGAGTGAGGGAGCCGTAAGCCGCGATCAATATCTCGGAATGAGCTTGAGAGAGCTTATCCACGAGTTCAAGTGGCAGACTCTGGTGCTACTCAAATGCTGTCTTCTACAGCCAAAGATGCTCTTCTTTGGCTCACGATGTGACAGACTGTGCATGGTGCAGTTCTCGCTGATTTCACTGATACCAGGATTGATCAAGAACTTGCAGGACTGTGCTGACCCCGAATTGAACAAGTATGCGGAGACCTTGGTTCAGCCGACAACCCTGCAGAGCAGCAACCGCAGCTCACTTTTACAGTTCATGGGATTGCCATTGCAGTTGTTTGGTAAAGGAAGCATCTTTGGGCCCTATACGCCACTACAGCAGCTTGATCTACTAGCGGATGTTGGGACAAAGTCCTACATTGTCGGTAGCACCAACTCTCTTCTACTTCAACAGAAAGACAAATATAGCGACATCATCATCAACCTTGATGACAACACCATTGGCATTTCTTCCCCATCACTCCGCTCCGCTCTTACTCTCACAGCCGCAGATCGCCGGTGGATCGACTTCTTGACGCAAGAGATTAACGAAACTTGGGATGAGACGAACCCCAGCCGACCCAAAACAATGCAGTACGCAGGCAGCGAAGAGTTCATCAGATCGCAATTTGAAGCCTACATTCTAGGCCTGATCTCATCTGTCAAGTACCACAACTTTTTGCAGGCTCAGGCGGGTGGCTCGAAGAACCCTCTTGCCCCCCCGGAAGAGGACCCCGTCGTGGATTATGGTCTAGAGTGGATAGAAGCATGGTTAAAGACTGAAAACTATCGCCTGTGGAATTCCAAAACAGATCCCAATCTCTTCGCTGTGTCAGAGCCAAAGCATCCTTCTGCAGGCGGGCTTACCATTGACGATGTCCAGCGACGTATTGCCGAGCAAGTCAAGGATCTTCATATTGACGAGAAGCTCGCCCAAGGCCGTGAAATGCTTGGCAGAAATCTTGCTGCCGGACGCGACAAGGCCTCGAGCATGTTCAACAAGCTATACAGCGATATGGAGTATCTTCGTGAATCGCAACGCCGGCGCGCCGAAGAAGCAAAGACTGCCAGTGAAAAGAATGGTAGTCCTGGCAAGCCTGCGGCTGGGGACGAAAAGGCCCAGGCCAATTATCCTGTAGACTTGGCCAAGGCTCAACAGACGATGCAAAACGTCGGCAACAAAGCTGGAGCCTACGTATCCAGCTGGGCCTCTTGGGCTGGCGAGAAGCGCAAGAACAGCAACTGGGGCTGGCGCAACAGTGGTAGTGCCAAGGATACAACAGCACCTAATACTCCTGGCAGCCCGATCGATAAGGACTATCAGATTGTCAACCTCCCGTCTGAGTCGAGCACGGCCGGCAAGCCCCGACCCATCACCCAAGAGTCCTTCGGAGAGAGCATTCTATCGAATGCGAGCAGCTCTGCTGATCGACCTACAACAGCATCATCTGTCGACGGGTCCAGAGATGCACCCCTTGAGGGCCTCGGTATCACAACTGGACATGTCCCTTCACCACCACACAAGAAAAAGGACGATGGATTCCAGACGGAGGATCTTGTTGGTGCCACATCCAAAGCCAAGATCGAACAGCCTGTCGGAGAAGACAAAGCTGAACACTCTGCCAAGGAAGTCCAAGCCGAAAATTCTGTCAAGGAAGCCGAGGCCGCTACAGAGGAAGCTGAAGAGACGTTTAGTGATGCGCTACCAGCCCAAGAAACCTCGGACGAGTCCGCTGCCGTCGCTGCAAAGGGCCATGAGGGGACGGAATAAATGACACATGCCATGAGAAAACATCTCAATGAAAAACATACGCATCTTGTAGATACAAAAAATTACATCCTAGTTGATGACTTAATAGATCACGAAAACTAACTGGATTGGGTCATCATCAAAATCCATTCTAGTAGAACTGCCATAACTACTTTTCTCCATATGTAAGACACTTGCTAATATCTCCATCTAACCATGCTACTCAGCTGAAATCCCTTGCCCTTGCCCTTGTCCGGCGACGTTCAACGCCGAGATCAAATCTCAAAGTCCAACGTTCTGACCATCGCAGAGGCCCTGAACTGATAGGCTGACAACGTCTGTTTTGAGGCCATCATTGTTTACAAATGGAATCATTACCGTCTCTAATAACGCCACTATGTCCACCACCTATGCCAGGTATCCAAGTTCATCATCCTCAAGACGCTCAAGATAGTCCTTGTCCAGAAGAATTTCGATGCACTTCTTGATGTCGCCGACCTTGGGGACGAAGCGACCTCGGATCTGGTTAATAGTCTCGCTGATGAGCTGAGCATGCTTCATCTTCTTTCTGGCTTTCATGATTCGAACAATGGCCGACTAGAAACACAAAATAGTTAGCATAGTCCTGTTGTAAGTAGCCATCCTTTATGTCTTACCTGGAGAACAAGCTTTCGATCCTCTTCGATCGTCTTGTTGGTCTCGACCTCTTCCTGTTTAGACTCTTTGACACCACCAAGGTTAAGATTAACACGAATCTTTTTGCTCTTGAAGTCGTAGTTCAACTTCAAAATTTTACCAGGTCCAGGCTTGTCGCCACCTTCAACGATAAGAACCTTGGCCTTGAGAATGATAGCCAAAGCTTGGTCCAGAACCTCTGCACTGAGCTGGGTGGCCGTGAGGATGTCATCGTAGGAGTGTGTATCCTTTTCGTTGAAAACCAACAAAATAGCCATCTGGTAGATGGAGACCTGGAAAGTGAAAGGTGTCTTGCTGCTCTTGCAGTATCCTGTCTTGATTTCACCTTTGCAAAGGTGCCAGAGCCAAGTAAGCTTTCTACCCTCGTGCTTGTGCTTGTAGAATCTGGTAAATCGTTCAATTTCAGCAGCAATATCAGCAGGCGCCTGGAAATCAGTGCTAGGAGCTGTCAGGGGCCAGAAGCCAGTACCGAGAATCGAAAATGTTGAATCGACAACCTTGTCGTTGCCAATGCCTTCTAAATGGGAGCGGAAGTCTTTGTTAAGATCCTTTGAAATTTGGATATCTTGGAACATGCGCTGGAGCTTGTTTGTGTACTCGAAACCGCAAGCCTCCTTCAGCTTGCTGATCATGCTAGTCTCAGCATCGTCTGAAGACGAGTTGCTGTGTACTAAACGTCTCGCCAACATGCGAGAGTAAAACTTTTGGAAAACATCTTTATCTTCGATGTATTTGAAAACAGTCATGAGCTGGGTCAGTGTTTGCTCTAACTCTGCCTCTTCAATGCTAGTGCTGCTCTTGCGAAGGAGGACATCGGTATATTTGGCAAGTAGCTCGGGCGACTTGTTCGAGCCCGACTTGCAGACTTCGTTGCGGTTAACGAATTCTCGACAGGCGTTATCCAGTGATCTCGTAAATTCCGGTTCGTCGTTGAATGCTAACTTAACAAGGCCTTGGTACTGCGTGTGGATCTCGAGGAGAGCATCCACGTATACTTTTGGTTCAAGCTTATCGCCTTCTGAAGTTTGTACCTTTTGTACAGCCGCAAGACCGGCTTTGCGGACATGGGTTTCAAACTTGTTTCGAAGAGGCTCGAGACCGTCTGTTATTCTGGAAAGAAGCTTGTACATTCGTGCCATGTCTTCCTCGCGGTTGTTGTCGAGCAGCACCTGGAACTCATCCCGGAGTAGTACTGAGTGGTCTGCAATCAGGGCTTGGTTGCAGCATTTTCTGAGAGGCTGAGCAATGTCTTGGTGAAGATACATATCGACACGGTTCTCCTCTTCGGCGAGTCGGACTTCTGCCTTCTTCATGTATTCCACAACAGGGTTCTCCAAGACAAACTGCTTCGACTCTGCTTGGTAGAATTCCTTTGTAGCGTCCAAGAAGGGGCGTTCAAAGTGGTAGCGATAGACATCTAGGGTCGATTTAGACGGGTCGGCTTCGTCAAGACCAAGAGAAACAAAAGAGTTTACAACTTTTTTGATTTGGTCCTGCTCAATAGTCTCGCCGTTGCGCTGCTTTTCGACGAGCTTAAGGACAGCGTCCATGACCTTGCCCGAGACCTGGGCGAAGAGCACCTGGCGCCATTGGACTAGATGCAGCGTGTAAACATCATAAATGTTCTTCTTGCCCTCGTCGATTTCTCTCTTGACCCAGTGTCGGTTCAGGTATCGGAAGAGGTGATGGATGTATTTCGCAGCAACCGTATATCTGTCCCATTCTTTAATGTAATAGGCCAGGAGGCCTTCGTCCGTATGCGACTTGGATTCTTCAACGAGGCTCTCCAGATGTCTCTTTAAATAGTCGATCAATTGGTTGTAGAGTTCTTCGCCGAGAAGATGTGCTATAATATCATTCATTGTTAGCCGTTGACATGCCTCCCAAATATCGCAAACTTTGATGCTTACCGCCACGGTGTTTAGAGTGCATCGCAGGACCACCAACAGTGACTGCTTTTTGAGAAGTGCAAAAATTGTGAACCGCACTGCACGAGGTTAGCCGCTACCAAGAAGAAAGACGACGAGTTTGAATACGACATACGTGTAAACTCCCATGTAAAGCTGCATGTTCATGCCTTGTTCGAGCTCGTTCATAACCTTATTGATTCCGTGCACCAAGTAGTCCCAGCTGCATACGATTAGCTCCCCATCATCCACGGGGACGGGTGTCTGGTACTCACGTTGCGTCAACATCCTCACGGTTAGGCACCGCGGGCATTTGGCTGGGCGTCGCGGATCTGGAAGCCATGGTGATGAACTGGTAGCGCTGGCTTTTCGCGCGGACGTGAGGCGGGGGTTTCGGAGAGAGGCTACGCAATGAGCTTTAGCCGCCTTGGAGGCAAGGGCGGCGTAGAGAAGAGGCGAATCTGAACAGAGATGAACTGATGATATGCAGCAGTGTTGATTGCAGCGTGGCAGGCGCTGGTGTTGGAACAGAACAGGCACACGAGAGGAGCACGTTATGATGGAGATGGCAGAGCGGTGCCGCCAAAGACTGGTACTGGCGGTTGGGTGACTGCGGGGAGGCCTGCGTCGAGTAATGAGTGGGCCGAGCCGACAGATTGTCACGGTGGCCTGGCGGCGTTGTGATGGAAGAGCAACAGTGAAGCGGGCGTGAAGAAGAAAGCGAGAGGAAGGATTCGAATGCAGATGAGAAAAGCGAGAAGGAACACGAATGTGCAGAAGAAGGCAAAGGGGAGGAAGAAAAGGACTTGTCAGGGAGAATTTCAGGCAGGCAGCCACCCAGCCCGCCCAGGCTCTGCAGGCAGCCTTGGGTGCCTTGGGACGCCCCAGAAAGGGTTTAGCGCTCGAGCCACGGCCCGTCAGCGCCTTTCGGTGGTCAGCGCCGCCGACGGCAGCGCCTGCTCAGTCCGCTGTGACTCCAACTTAAGTTGTGCCCTACGCTTCCACTCTCTACGCTCTACGTTCACATCAGGGTCAGTTTTTCAAATAAAATTATATGTACGGTATCAATGTACAACCCGTCCGTCAACCAAGTTGGATAACGGCAACGACAAAATAGCAATAATGTGGTATCCTGAAACAAAAGGCGCCGCGTGTCCTCCCTCATCCTCCCTCCAGATTTTCCTTCGTAAAATGCAAAACCCAATAAAAAGACAATCCCAAAACTCCGCTGCAATGTATATATACTCATGTATATATGGAAAAGTTAGAAACCCACTACACTCATTAGCCTTTCCCCTTCGGTGTTCTCCATCGAAAGCCAACCTGCTCATTCCTCATCACCTCCACCAAGTTTCTCTACTGTCCGGAACACATTGACCGTAAGGTTCATGGTCCATGCTAACAGCCCAATGACCATAAAGCTGGCCATGGCTTTTGCCAAGGGGGCGATGGTCTGGTCTACAACATTGTGATAGACCACTGTTTCGAATGCCAATGCCGTACTGGCTGATTTGAAGATGATAAAGAAAATATCCAAGAGGATGAGAGAAATTTTGGACTTGGCTGGACGGAGGCCAATGGGCTTTCCCGTGTATTCGTCCCATATCATGTACGTGGAGTACGGAATGGCAACACTGTCAACCACAACGGCGACGAGGGACTGTGTTTGTTCGGCCTCGTTCACGGTTGTCCGAAGCTCCAATTTGTATATCTGGGCAGCAATAGCGAGAGCCAGAATAGACGTGATAATGACGGTAAGTCGGAACAGTAGAGGAGATAGAGAGTGGCGCATGGCTAGGTCCCATATCCGCTGGGTAAAGCGCTTCGATCCGCGTTCTTTGGTGGTAGCAACGCGCGAAAAGTCGAGATCCAGGTTCACTTTTCGGTTAAAGCTTGGTTGCAAGTCATCCAAGACCTTGTAATCGACAACCTGTGATCGTTCATTTTGTGCATGGCCCCATTGTGAAGACCGTGCAAAGTCATGCCAAGTTATCGGCTGTCTCCATGCGCCAGACGCAAAGCCCGAGACAATCACTGGTTCTGTCGATCGTAAATGGTCCCATTTGCGCCCACGGGCTGAGCCCATACCATAGCGGACGAAGTCGGGGAGTATAGAATCGTCAGTTTGAGGCGGCCCTAGCGATGGATCGTCGTAGTCGATGAAGCCGTCCCTCGATACACGACGTACAGGCTCGGAGGGGACAGAGTTGGGCTGTCGACGGACAGTACGAGATGGCGGTGTAAGGAGTTGCAGTTGTTCGGGCGCTACGGCGCCATATTGTTCGTGGTATGAGTCGATCCAAGCTGTTGGCATCATTAGCGAGAGCTTCTATTGACAGCTGAGTAACAATAGTCCATACGTGGCAGGGATGCGGGCGTTCGTAGGCGCGGGGCATTTCGATCTACTTTTGCGTTGACAGATGTGATCGGCGTTGTCTCGCTTTTCGGTGGCTCTGAGCCATTTTCGGAACTTGTTGGTGGTGGTTCAGACATGATGTCGAGCGCAGGCTAAGCCCGAATGTCCCGAGGCGACAAATTTCCAAACAGCGCGCGGTTGCGTGTATCTATGCGCGAGAAGCCATATCTGCTCGAGATGATTATTAGGTTTTCCTATTTGCGTTTGGGGTTGAGTCTGAGGCAAGCTGGGCAGGTCGTAGGAATACAAGGCCCAGCTATCGGAAGTCTATAGTCGCTACAGAGGGTCACGCTCTGCAACCTGAGATCTTACCCAGCACTGGCTGATGGCAGCCCGCAGCCTCCACCTGACCACGCTTGCGGTAAACAGGCGTTGCGCTAGGCAAGGCGCCGCCCGCGTTAGATAGTCACCTGATAGCGCGCCAACAAAGAGCGGGTCTACGCGATCCGCTGTGTTTCGAGACGACACCCAATGAATCTTGAAGAGCCGTATCAAAAGGAGACAGAAGGAGATAAACAAAGAACAAAAAAATATAGTGGAGAGCGACGAGCTCATACCGCTATCTTCTACTTCATCGCCAATCTTTATCACCTTTAGCATCCAACGCCGACAAAACCCAAACTCTATGGACTCGTCCCAAGCAAACGCATAGATTCCATTCGCAATGCCGCTTGCCAATCTTCGGGACAGGGGCAATCGGCTTAAAGCCTTTGCGGAGAATAAGAAGCCGCTTGGCCCGATTCGAATGCAAGAAGATGTCCAAGAATCTGATTATGACGGCATTGGAAGCACATCAACGACACCAACGAAGCGGAACATGGCAGATGCTGCGAAGTTGCCCGTACCTCAGCCAGCGCGACGACCGGTAGACCCCATATTCGATGATAACGATACTATGCGGGTGAATTTCGATGACACCGGCCGTAGCATGCAACCGCCGCCGCCAGCCATGTTCAGCAAATCGTTGCCTGTGGATCGCCTAGAGCAACTGCTGTCTGGCTCGGAGCTTGGTGACAGCTTCATGCATTCGGGCATCTCAACACCGCTTAATGAACCGGAAGATGGCTACGAACAGCCCCAATACGAGGAACGCAGCAAAACACCACGGGGACACCAAACACGGGCAAGACAGTATCCTGAGAAACTGGCGAGAAGCGTCGGCCCATCGTTCCAGCTTGGGGAAGATTTGTTCATGTCAGTGGTTACCCAACCAACACAGCGATATCCCCACGATATGAAGGATGGATTTTCTGGATCCGCAGTTAAGAACCGCGGATTAGAATCACCACAACGTCACCATCGTCACCATAAGCAAGCATCTCTGCAACAGTCTTTGCCAATGAGAGAGGTTAAGGTCCACAAACAGTATAGGCAGGAGAGCGAGGATCGAGATGTCCGACAGAGGCGATTCTCCAGCTGGGAACCTCAGAGAGCAGTGAAACCTATTGAGGTTGAGGCAACGGTCGAGGTGGAATCGGTCGTTTCTAGCAACTACGATGAGGAAGATTTGCAAGCTACACCACGAGGTCGAACCACACGAAGCCCGAAGCGCCAACCACAGCACCCCATATCCGCATCTCCCGTTAGACGTGTACCCCCAGCACCATTGGAACGAAAACGCCGACGACCAAGCACCGATTACGACGATAGAATCTTGAGCAGCATGAGTTTTGGCGAACTCCAGAACGAGCCTTTTGATTTCGATCCCAGCGTAGCAAACGCGCAGACACTCTCTGGGACGTCTGGTGGCAACATTGAAAGCCGGCTCGCCCAGCTGGAGCATCACGGACATTCAGAGCAGCGAACGTTTTTCGGAAATATGACCTTGGACGAATGGGAATGTGCGGGTGATTGGTTCGCTGATCGCTTTGCTGATATTATGAAGAAGATGCGTCAAGCTAGACGAAACAAACGCCAGATGATCCAAGAGTTTGAAAATGAAGCGGCACAGCGCGAAGCTGCAGTTCGAATTCGAAGCGATAAGATCGACCGAAAGTTACAGACAATGAAGGAGAATGGCCGTCGGGTTGTTGGAGAGCGAGCACTTCGCTAGAGAACTCATTCTTGTTGAGTGAGTGATGTAATAATGACTAATGAAGCTATGATAATCTGTACCATTCCTAATTGCATCGTCTCTTTCGTTGCTTTATCTTATTTGGCGCGGGGCAAGTTCGAACCAAGATCTGGTGGGATGTGTTGCTAGAACATAACCAAATATAATTTACATTTTAATAACCTCCTTTACTCTACGGTCTCGGCCTACAATGAGCCGCAGCTGGCGGTTGGGCTGGTCAGGAAATAGCCTCTGGCGTATGCCACCTGTGTATAGTTCGTAGGCAGGGTAATAGCCATCCACAAAGGCGATGACCTGCTCATGATTCATACCAATGGAGGGGTCGCCACGATCGCGGCGCATGTTCTCCTCTTGCTCCCAGCGCCAATTATAAACGTATTGCGTATCCTCCGAGTCTATCTGTATGAAGGCGGCAAACAGGTCTGTCAATGGTTTATATGCGGCAAGCTTCTCGTTAACAAGTTTAAGGTGGGCAAGAGGATGAGATTGTAGTGTTCGGCTTGGTGCCTTTTGCTTGGCCTCTACTTCAGAGGGTTCAATGGAGCGAAAGCCGACACACCAACCCTCCAGAATAATGACATCAATGGGTTGGCAACCCGGCTGGTTTACGGGAGTCCATGTCGAGGGTGGTAGCCGATCACCTTGGCCAGAAGAGGCCGCCTTGTCGTATTTGGGGATTGTAGTTGGGCGACCGCTTGCAAGCGCTGACAGGACTGCTGTTGCAAGATCTACATCATGAGTGCCTAGACAGTTGTTAGAATCTTATACTCTGTAAACCGACGTTAGTTTACCAAACGTACCAGGTTCGCCTCGCTGTTGGAGCAAAGCATTATCCGGGTTTGCTGCGGCGAGGGCAAGCTGATCTTCGTGCTTGAGGTAAAAGTCGTCTATGCTGCAGACAACCGCATTGATCCCTTGCTCTTGCAGGGCGGAGGTCAAGAGCGAAACAAGCGTGGTTTTACCAACGCCTTGAATGCCATTAAGCCCGACTACCAGAGGATCATTTGGGAGTGTAGCTCTGTGCGATGCAAGCACATCGAGCAGGAAAGGGATACAGATAGGTGCTTTGTCGTCTATAAAGGAAGCCATAACTGCTTGACGTCCAGCGCGGTATTAGCTTGCTCCGCAGACATTGTCATGAAGGTTGGGGATAAAGTCCGGGGTTGGTGGGGGTGGGATGAAATGTCCGGTCCAGGCACCCGACTCAGCGGCGTTGAGGGTCGCTGTAGACAGACGTTTGGGGACTGGTGGTGGTGCGGCCTGGAGATGAGCCGAACGACCGAAACCAGGGGCGGGGTGGCCGGAGAAGAGGTGATTGAGATCTAGATAGCGTTACAAGTGGTATGTTGAATTTTGACCTTTTTTTCCTTCTCTTCCAAAAGAGAATATCTTATAAATGGCACGAGGAACGCTGTTGAGTCTGCAGGCTTCATATGTAGAACACATGCCCGGGAGCACGAAGCGCACGGTGCTTACTGCGACGGTGGATGGAGCCCGCTACAGGGGTCATGGTTGGTGCTAACGCAGCGGGTGAGACGCCTAAAACAATGCTGTCGTTGTTGGAGAAGCGCCAGGCGCAAGGAGGCATGTGAAAGCAGGCGATTCAGAGTTATTTTGGCATATGACGTCGACTGGAGCATGCAGCAGGCGAAATAAGCAGACAACGGCGACCGTAAGAAATACAAGCGGTGGTGCCAATGAAATCATTAAAGACAGGAGAATTGATAGATTATTCGCATTGGACTTGTCCATCTTGAACAATTCACTGAAAGCCATTGTGCTTTGCCACGACACAGTATGCTGGGTTGATCGGAGACGAGCGGCCGGCGCGGAGAAAAAGAACAAGTGCGGCATTGCCGATGCCGACGCCCGCAGTGCTTCTCTGGTTACGGTGCAAGTGTGGGGGTGGGGAAGCTCTACGGGAGCTGCTTGGGCATGTAGCCGGGTCGCCGGAGTTGACGTAGAGGAGAAGAACGAAAGAAGCTAAGTCGTATATAAGAATTGTAGTGCAGATGTATGAATGTTACGGGCTATTCCGTGCTTGCATATGGAAATGGAGCGGGCTAATACTGCTGTTGCGAATGGATGCTTGGTCCCGTGTGAAGTACGTCGTTTCATTTTCATATGACGATTAGTGGTTTGCAATGGATCTGTCTCCGTTCGTGTCTGTCTCTCCGTTGTGATCCCATGCACGAAAAGAAGTTGCTTGAAAGAGAAAAAAGGTTAAAAGGGCGAAACAATTGCAGATAATTCTGCTCTACTCTATATTAAAGTAATTTTAAACAGCTCTGCCAGCTGTTAATGTCCTCTTGTCCTCTTGCCAGCTGGCACCAGCTGTCGACAGCCCGCTGCGCCTGCCTCTTTTTTCTTCATGTGAAGCTCCTGCCCCAACTACTGCCCGCCCAATCCGGCTTAGCGCCCCTCATCTCCACAGCCGTCCTCGGTCCCCCAGCCAAAAACGTCCAGCCGAGGCTCTTCTGCGTCGCCTTTTTGTGTCTGCCCGCCCAGAAGTTAAAGACCGCTTTCTGTCTTCTCTTTCTCGACTTCGTCTTTTCTCCCGTTTCCATCTCCATCTCCATTTCATCTTCTTCACATTTCTCTAGATACCCTCATCTCATCGTCTTCTCCTCCCCCGCCACGTGAGAAGAAGAGTTCAACTGTCTAGCATCCCCTCCTGTTTTTCAACCGCCCTTCCTCCTTCACAAACATCTCACAGCATGGCTAGCCAATTGCGATACGACGGCCAGGTTGTCGTCGTCACCGGCGCCGGCGGTGGTCTCGGCAAGGCCTATGCCACTTTCTTCGGTTCCCGCGGTGCTTCCGTCGTTGTCAACGACCTTGGCGGCTCCTTCAAGGGCGAGGGTAACTCCACAAAGGTAAAGCAAGCTCCTAGCTGACCATAACCCGAGGTTTCAGTCGCTAACCACCATTTCCACAGGCTGCCGATGTCGTTGTTGATGAGATCAAGGCTGCTGGCGGCAAGGCCGTCGCCAACTACGACAGCGTCGAGAACGGCGACAAGATCATTGAGACCGCCATCCAGGCTTTCGGTCGCGTCGACATTCTCATCAACAACGCCGGTATCCTCCGTGACATCAGCTTCAAGAACCTCAGCGACAAGGACTGGGATCTGATCATGGCTGTCCACGTCACCGGCTCCTACAAGTGCGCCCGCGCTGCTTGGCCTCACTTCCGCAAGCAGAAGTACGGCCGTGTCATCAACACCGCCTCTGCTGCCGGCCTTTACGGCTCCTTCGGCCAGACCAACTACTCTGCTGCCAAGCTTGCCATGGTTGGCTTCACTGAGACTCTCGCCAAGGAGGGTGCCAAATACAACATTCTCTCCAACGTCATTGCCCCCATTGCTGCCAGCCGCATGACCGCCACTGTCATGCCTCCTGATGTGCTCAACGCCCTCAAGCCCGAGTTCGTCGTTCCCCTTGTTGCTGCCCTCACCCACTCTAGCAACACCGAGAACGGTAGCATCTTCGAAGTCGGTGGTGGCTTCGCTGCCAAGCTCCGCTGGGAGCGCTCCAACGGTCTCCTTCTCAAGGCCGATGCCTCTTACACTCCTGGCGCCATCCTCGACAAGTGGGACCAGGTTGTCGACTTCTCCAAGGATACCCAGTACCCCTCTGGCCCCAACGACTTCCTTGGTCTGCTTGAGGAGTCCATGAAGATGGGCTCCAGCCCCAGCGCTGCTCCTCTTGACTTCACTGGCAAGGTCGCTCTCGTCACTGGTGGCGGTGCTGGTATTGGCCGTGCCTACTGCTTGGCCTTTGCCAAGTACGGCGCTTCTGTAGTTGTCAACGATCTCATGGACCCCGACACCGTCGTTAACGAGATCAAGAAGCTTGGTGGCAAGGCTGCCGGTGTCAAGGCCTCTGCTGAGGATGGCGAGGCCGTCGTTAAGGGTGCCATTGATGCGTTTGGCCGCATTGACATCATTGTCAACAACGCTGGTATCCTCCGTGACAAGGCTTTCACCAACATGGACGACAACCTCTGGCACTCTGTCATGAACGTCCATCTCCGCGGTACCTACAAGGTCACCAAGGCTGCTTGGCCCTACTTCCTTAAGCAGAAGTACGGTCGCGTCATCAACACCACTTCCACCTCTGGTGTCTACGGCAACTTTGGCCAGGCTAACTACGCTGCTGCCGTAAGTTTTCTTTCTACTTTTATTTCACACATCTTGTTGCTAACGATCCATAGAAATGTGCTATTCTCGGCTTCTCCCGCGCTCTTGCCCTCGAGGGTGCCAAGTACAACATCTTTGTCAACACCATTGCTCCCAACGCTGGTACTGCCATGACCGCCACCATCATGCCTCCCGAGATGGTTGAGGCTTTCAAGCCCGACTACATTGCTCCTCTTGTTCTCGCCCTCTGCAGTGACAAGTGCCCCGATCCTACTGGTGGACTCTACGAGGTCGGCTCCGGCTGGTGCGGTGCCACCCGCTGGCAGCAGACTGCCGGCCACGGCTTCCCCGTTGACGTCACCCTCACCCCTGAGGAGGTTGTCAAGCACTGGGACGCCATTGTCACCTTTGACGAGAACGCTACCAACCCTGCCAAGGCCCAGGAGTCTGTTGGCAAGATCATGGCCAACATGGAGAACCGTGCTAACCAGGTATGAGCGCCTTCTTTGTTTCTTGTCCCAATCTGCCCTTTTTAAAAACATGATGTTTTATGAGAAAGAAAAACACATAATGTAATGCACCTTTTGTATATATACTCTTTTAGCAGTTAGCAATGTAAAGTCTGCCGTTGTTTACCTGATACAATTTGCTAATACCTCTCTCTTTTCTGCTGTGCAGTCTGCTCCCGCCGAGGAAAACGAACACCTCGCCGCCATCAAGGAATCCCTCAACAAGGAGGGTAGCCCGACCGAGTTCAAGTTTGAAGACCGCGACTCGATCCTCTACAACATTGGCATTGGTGCCAAGGCCAAGGAGCTCAACTACGTCTTTGAAGGCGCCGATGAGTTCCAGGTCCTGCCTACTTTTGGTGTCATCCCTCCCTTCTCTACCGAGATGCCTTTCAGCTACGACGCTATTGTGCCCAACTTCTCCCCCATGATGCTTCTCCACGGTGAGCAGTACCTCGAGGTCCGCAAGTACCCCATCCCCACCAGCGGCACTCTCGTCTCCCGCGGCAAGCTTCTCGAGGTTGTCGACAAGGGCAACGCCTCCATTGTCCGCACCGGTGTCACCACCAAGAACGCCGAGACTGGCGAAGATGTCTTCTACAACGAGATGTCCGTCTTCATCCGTGGCAGCGGCGGCTTCGGCGGCGAGAAGAAGGGCGCTGACCGTGGCGCTGCTACCGCCGCCAACAAGCCTCCTGCCCGTGCTCCCGACTTTGTCGCCGAGGAGCCCGTCTCTCTCGACCAGGCTGCCATCTACCGCCTGAGCGGTGACTACAAGTAAGTACAAAGAAATAGCTGACACGTAAAGAAAAAAGAAAAGCAATACTAACCATATTCCCCTTCTAGCCCTCTCCACGTCGACCCCTCTTTCGCCAAGATGGGTGGCTTCAAGGCTCCTATCCTCCACGGCCTCTGCAGCTTCGGTATTGCCGGCAAGGCTATCTACGACAAGTACGGCCCCGTCAAGAACATCAAGGTCCGCTTCGCCGGCCCCGTGATCCCTGGCCAGACCCTCGTCACTGAGATGTGGCGTGACGGCAACAAGATTACCTTCCAGTGCAAGGTTAAGGAGACTGGCAAACCTGCCATTGCTGGTGCCGCTGCCGAGCTTGTTTAAAGAATGTAAATGATTTAAATTGTAACGGAGGGGAAGAAGATCAAGGCCGTGGATGAAAATTTGCAACGCTGTCATGTGCTATCCTATTGGAAAATGTTATGTACTATATATATATATACTGTTTCTTACGTTTCTTTCATTAAACCTCGTCCCCATACGCGCCACGCTCTATATGTACAAACGCCTTACAATATCGCAAGAGCAGTCAAAGAGAGTTCGGAGTCCCCTGTTTATTGAAACATGGAGCCGACCAAGATGTCGACAAACTGTTGCCTTGAGATAAAGATGCCCTGTGTAGCAAGCAAGCGGCCCACAGTGAGTCTCTCCCTGGCGCCGACTGCACCAGTGCGCAAGTATGTCTTTTCCTTGTCCGTGATGTCCTTTTTCTCCTTGTTTTTCCAGCTCTTCTCGGCCTCTGCCTTGGCTTGGGATAGAACAAGTTCTGTATTTTCCTTCTCCCATAGGTTGCATTTGGGACATTGTGTACACTTGGTGCCATCGCCCTGCGGCCGGAAGTGGTCGCAAAAGTGGCGATAGCCCTCGTCTGTCAGATCTGCGCGGCATATATAGCACATCTTGTAGCCGCAGGGGCAGGCGAGCTTATTGCAGCCACTGTTCTTGACAAAGGAAGTGTTGCATCGTGGGCACACCCGTTTAATGGCCATGCTCATCGCCTGTTCGATCTGAGTGCGTAGAGCGACAAGCGACGATTCATTGCAAATGTGGAACTCGTTCCAAAAGCCGTTGCAAGACAAACAAGATGGCTTCAGGCAGCTGGGGTCTTTGCAGTTAAACTTGAGTCCACGCCTTCGCCTCGAGTGCGCAAGAGTAGCTTCTTGCCAAGCTTCGAGCCACTGATCCCATGTGCAGCCAAAATAAGCGAGGGAACCGAGAGAAATTGAAAGGATAGAGCCAGAAATCGTAAGTCCAATAGTGAAGATTCCGATCCACAGAATTATAGTACAGTATATCCAGTCTTCCTTGAGTAAGAGCTTGTTTTCGTACATGCCGAGCTGGATTTCTTCCGTTTCCGCGTAGTCACAAAACGGGCATCGATGTAGAGGCAGTTGGGATTCCAGTAGGTTGTTCTGCGCCAGTCGTTGGTCGAGTTTGAGCATGATGCCAGCGCCTGCGCTGTCCCTCAGCATAGCCTTGTACAGCTGGTCAGGCGGAACAACACCTGGGCAGTCGCTGCCATCAGCAGCCATGCACCGCAACGTGCCTCGGGCAGGGTCAATCACTCGCGCCCAGCCCTGACCAAAGACTGCTTCTTTGACAGACGCCTGGACGCAGTCGTTACAGATCATATGCTTGCCTTCAGTGCAGTGACAGAGTTCTTCAAAAGTCATGTCGCCGTAGCAGCACTCGCACTCATAGATACAGAATGTGTCTCTTGCTTCTCGCTCGTTGACGGCAATGGCAAGCTTACAGTCGCGGTCTTCCTGCTGCAGCTTCTCACGGTCGTTGATCGGTTTAATGATGGTGTTGAAGAGCTCTCTGTCCAGCTCAGCACTGCCGGAGGCTTTAATGGTAGCATAAGGGGTTCGGTCTGGCTTTGTCTTCCACACAATCAGTGGATGGCTACACGGGTCATCTGCAATGAGGCGCTTGCGTCGATAGAAGAGACCGGACAGGGTATATCGCCATGATTTGTTGGCTGCGGCTTCCAGTGTTGCTCTTGCATCGAGATATGAGTAGTTATGCTCGGCCAGGACAGCATCAATTGCACCCTTTGAAAAGCCCTTGAACTCGTCGCTAGCGACAGTACGGGCCGCCTCCTTGTACTCATCGCTACGGAAGCCGTCGGCGCGGGTAAAGACTGGCGCTGGTTTACCCTGGGTAGCGAGCGGGCGCCACCTGCCCTTTGTCCATTCGATTTTGGCCTTGAGAAGGGCATCGGAGACAAGTTCCAGACGGGACTCCCCGCTAAAGTGGATGAGCATCTCGCGAAATACCTCGATGCTGACGTCGGGGAAGACGGCCATTAGGGCCTGTATGCTGTTGTTGAGGTCATGGAGGTCGGGGCGGTCGGGTGGGATGCAGGGTAATTGGGACTCTTCGTAGATGAAGTCGGAGATTGTTTTTTGCTTGCCAGTCGAGCGTTCGCCCGGGTTTAAGATGTTGGAGAGCACCATAGCGTCTAGAGTTGCATTCCGGCGGCGGCGCTGCTTTTCTGATTGGGGCTGCTTTGCGCCGCACGGGAGAAGGGGTATTTTTATTGTCCGGTTACTGGTAAGTAAGAGCGATCCCGCTTATGATCTTGACGGCGATTTATACGTGCGATGGTGGCGATGGCGATGGCGATGGCGATAAAGACGATGTCGATGAAGATGAGGAGGAAAAGTGCTATTTCAGCCGCATGACCACTGTTGGTTGCGCTGTGTAGCGTCGCTTTGCGGGGAGAAAAGGAAGGAGCTAGTGGACGAGAGGGGGTAGGCAGTTAACGCTCGTGCTTTAGCCGATCAGTGGAGGCCGGCGGGCGCTTAACTGCAGGCAGAGTGTTTGTACTTTGCACCATCGCCATCGCTGTATACAATCAACACAGTGAAGGCACATTGTTGTTGAAAGATTTGTTTTGATTTTTATCGAATAATTTTTCGTTTTTATTTGTGTCATTGCGTGCCAACTGAGATTCCCCGATGCAGAATCATCTGCAGTGGCTACCCAGAGCCTCGTCCAGCCAACCAACCAACCAAGCTATAACCAAAAGTCAAAGCGCATCACCTTGCTGCAAGAAATGGATTTCCAACGGAAAATATCCCGCAAAAGAGATGGTGCTTTACGGAGAAATAGTTGAGTTTCTATCTTGGATAAACAGAGAACTAATGACGGTTGTATCCTGAGGTCTAGCGCTAGATTCGTGGACAACCATTAACGCTACGACCAATCTACCACACGCAACACGCAACACTATATATTAATAATTTTTGAAACTCAATCCATCTAATACACTGTCATCAAATCTCGATCGCTATTTTCTTGTATTTTCTTTTTTTTCACGAATTTCCTTCTTTGGAGAATGACGGACAAACTCCTCTCCAGCGCCACAGCCAGCCTGATTCTTCCACTCTTGTCGGAAAACTCAGCTTCTCGGTCCCGAGACCATCGGCCGTAACGCTACCCAAACCCGGCTTAGCGCTCAGCGGCCTACAACATCAGCGCTCGTGGCCGAAATCTTTCAGCTTCGGGAATCGGGCGTCACGCCGCAGCCAAGTCCTGTCGCTCGGCGGCCAAACCACTTTAGATCGAGGCTCTGCCGGTGACCTGCCGGACTCTGCAGGGCTGTTGGCCACGTTTATTTCGGCCTTGGTCTATTAAATTTAGGATGATGAGGCCGTTATGGCCGTTGGCGGCCAATGCACGGTTCGGGGTGCAAGCTGCTTATAAGCCGGGTTCATCCCCTTCCACCTTCTTACAGTTCTGATGCTATGCATGCTATTCTTTTTTCCTGAGAAGATCATTTCTCTCTTCAATTGACGCTGTTTGTATCAATTTTTTTTTTTAAAATATCACACTCGTCGAACAGAAGATCTACAACCGCATACGCAGCTCCCCTCGAACTATACACCTACGCCGACGTCCGGTCATCCCACAGCCTCTATAGGCATACAAGAAACCACCTTCATCATGGCCTCGCAACAAGTTTCCCCTCCTAGGGCCAGCTCTGACGAACCCCGCCCCAAAACCTCACTTTCTTCAGACGGCCGACCCGATAGTGTCCTTGAGAAACCCGTCTTGGACGCCACACCAACAACAGATGCTGACGCTGGTAGCGGTGCCACTACTGACGCGGGACCGCCCGCTGACGAGGAAAACGAATACTACAAGCCAAAGACGCTGCGTTTCTGGCTAGTGATTGCCTCCACATTTGTTACCATGTTTCTGGTGGCCCTCGACAGAACCATCCTTGCCACAGCGATCCCGCGCATCACAGACGAATTCAAGAGCCTGGGCGACATTGGGTGGTATGGCTCTGCGTACATGCTGGCTACGGCCGCCTTCCAGCTCGTATTTGGCCGTATTTACACCTTCTACGACCTCAAGTGGACGCTTCTTACCTGCATCTTCATCTTTGAGGTCGGGTCAGCCATCTGCGGCGCCGCCCCAAACAGCCCCGTCTTCATCCTGGGCCGCTCCATCGCCGGCATTGGCTCGGCAGGCATCATGACGGGCAGCATCATGACTGTAGTTCCTCTGGTCCCGCTTCACAAGAGACCCATGTTTCAGGCTCTTTTTGCCGTCGTCTTTGGCGTCGCATCGGTCAGCGGGCCTTTGATTGGCGGTGCTTTCACGGATCGCGTTACCTGGAGATGGTGCTTTTACCTGAACCTACCCATTGGCGCTGCCGCATTTGCATTCTTGGCTACCTTCAAATTCCCAACCAAGCCTAAGAGCGAACTAAGTGTTGCACGCCAGATACTCCAGCTCGATCCTATTGGTACCTTGTTCTTCGTGCCCGCTGTCGCCTCGTTGTTACTAGCCTTGCAATGGGGTGGCTCAACGTACGAATGGAGCAACTGGCGCATCATTGTCCTTTTTGTTTGTTTTGGAATTGGTGCTGCTGCATTCATCACAGTACAGATTATGATGCCAGAGTCAGCTTCGTTGCCAGTGCGCGTCATCAAAAATCGTGCTGTGTATCTCGGTGGCACCAACATGCTCTTCCTCTCTGGATCTATGATGCTTTGCGTTTATTACATCCCCTTCTGGTGTAAGTGGCATCGATTCTATTCTATTGATTTAGTATCTAAGCGAAGTAAAACTAACTTTTTGCAGTTCAAACTACCCAAAATGTTAACCCGGTCGATTCTGGAGTGTACACTATCCCTTTGGTGCTCAGTTTAGTGGTTGGCTCCATTGTGTCTGGTGCAATCTCGCAGAAGTGTGGCTATGTCAATCCTTCCATGATCATTGGTGTATGCTTCAATATCATTGGTGAAGGTTTACTTACCACTTTTACCCCTACAACCGGCTCTCCTCACTGGATTGGTTATCAGTTCCTGACGGGTTTTGGTATCGGCTTTGGCATGCAGGCTCCCAACCTTGCCATCCAGGCTTCTATTGACAAAAAGGATATCCCCACAGGCATGGCTATAACATTTTTTGCACAACAGCTTGGAGGAGCCATCTTCGTCACAGTCGGTCAGACTATTCTCAGCACCGTTGTTGTTTCTAGGTTGGCTGGTCTTCCAGGGCTAGACGCCAACGCTGTGATCAGGGCCGGTGCTACGGAACTGCACAAGATTGTCAAGCCCGAGTATATTCCCAACGTCATTGATGCATTCAATCATGCTTGCGTCGTCATCTTCCTCACTGCTGTCGTTCTCACGGCTTGCCAAGTTTTGACAGTGCTGGGTATGCCATGGGCATCCATCAAGAAAGGAGCACCCAAGAAGACAAAGCCTGAGCAAGCATAACAGGTTACTCTACACTTTTGATTTATTTCGCTACATATCTGCATCAAAATATGGCGTTATGATTTTCCTTTTGGTAAATTAATGTACAGGGCAACATACCCACCTCAATATACACTCTCTCTGCTTATTTACATGTGCCTATCTATCTGGCTTCCTTTATCAAATGATCATACAGTAGTGTAGCAATTTCGTAGTCTTTTGCGACTGTCTCGCATTGTTGTGTTCCTTTTGACAGAATACGCAGCGATGTCTGATACCAGTCTCTATGCTCCTGCTTAACGAGGCTTCGAAGGCGTGGATCTGGAGAAGCAGCTAAGCCATACACCACAACAAGTTGCCCAAACAGTCTATTATTCCATTAGTATCTCCACGTTTCCCCATGATATGCGGTAGACTTACTGGCTGTATATGAAATACCTGTATGGAACACAGGTCCCCGCTAAAACATACTCCATGATGGAAAGCCATTGAAGCATAAAAGACAGCGTTTCTGCGCATTTCAAGACATCCTCGTCTGTAATTGATGCGGGATTACTTAAAGCTCGGTGACTAGACGACAGAGTTAGTTTCAAGAGACATAGATTCGGATGGCTGTAATGCATTTGTGTGACCTACAAGAGGGGACGGCGAATGTGATATTTTCCAATCACATAGCGTCCGCGCAGCCATGCCGCAGCCGAAGTTCGAGCAGGCGTGGCTGATGGCAGCGGGCGGTCCAGGTTAAAGGCAAGGTCAGACGGCAATTGATATCGCCATTGCTCAATCTGGCTATAAAGTTCTTGTTCCAAAGCGGCCGTCGGGTATGAATGTTTCTCGCCTGCCAGATAAGAGTACATTAGCTTGTTGTCATTTAGTATTGGGAAATCAGAGGAACAAACCGGATATGAATAGACTTTCACGAATTCTAGTCAAAAGAATACGATGCGCAATCTGTGACAAGAAATGATAATGGAAGAAGGCCTCGGCGGCAGCGTCACTAGCCGAAGGAGGATTAGACAGCCAGGTTGGAGAAAGAAACTTTGGCAGTGGAACATGCTCCCTGTACTCTAGAAGCGACGTGTTTGCAAGCCCCAGTTCATCAGCCAGTAGAGTTTCAAACATTGTGGTGATCCAGAAGAGACGCGACTGCATGTCACGTTCCCAGTCTCCGACATGTAATGGCTTTCTCAATGTTGGTGTAGTGCTACTCGTTCTAGTCTGGTCTTCCTTCCAGAAGAGCACTGAACATAGCGACGCCCTCGTTGTCATGACCCACCATTGATTGGGTCGAAGTGTTTGTGCATAGTACAATCTGTGAGGGTTAGCGTTTTGACTCTTAGTTTTTGGGGCAACGTTTAGCGAACTCACCCAGCCAGGAGGTAGATTTGACAGGCTTCTAGCCCAGTATCACAGTCGAAGAATGCCATTCTCCGGCGAGCCTCATTGAAATATGAAAGCCCAGGCATGTCGACATCTCTGCTGGTAGACCTGTAACTATCGCTTCGCTGCATCGAGTTTGCCAATGTAGAGGCAGCCTCTACTGATGCTGCGTCGCGGTCCCAACTGCCCAACGCCATAACTAGCAACACAATGCAAGCGTCTAAATCCGCACTGAAGTCGTTTCCCATTGCTGCGGGCAAGGTACGTTGAAAGTAGACATCTTGATCGAGAATTGGCAGAGCCGTGTTGAAGTTTTCAAAGTAGCAGTATGACAGGTCCTTGAATGTTCGCAGGCTGAGCTGCGAAAGCCAGTTGGTCTGGATTTGAGGCTCTCTGATGATGGGTAGCGGCGGTCGGATCAGCTCCATACCAGATACATAGTCGAGCCCAACGTCACGACAAGCATCAAACACACCCGGCGGCAAGCGTCGTTGAATTCCGGGCCATGCCAGCGTCAGATGCGCGCTGAAGCTGAGCGGCGTGGGCGCTGGTCGCGGTTGCTGCTGGTGCTGCTTGTTGCTAGACCCGTGATACTCGGATGCAGGTGATGGAGCAGCAGTTTCATGTTCGTGGCGTATAGATGCAGGCATTGAAACAGGCATTGGCGAATTTATCAGACGTTGGATGCTCTGGTCTGCCCGACTAGGTGGTTGTTTGGCGAGATTGTCAATCTTCTGTTCTATGCGACGCATGCTTTGCATGATTGTGCTATAAGAGGCTTCATTTCTGCTTCATGTCAGTAGACGTAACTAAGAGGACACGGCAGAATTTTCGTATAATTGAAAATGAAACTCACTTTGTGATTTTTCGTTGGCTGTAATGGCATTCTATGTTTTGAGATTTGCAGAGGCTGCAGGGCAAGTCCTCGTCACATCGTGTCTTTTTCTGTCGACACGAGTCGCAGGCCTGTTCAATTACAAAGGTTTTGTTAGCTTACATTCTTTACTTTACCTTTCTTACAGCTTATATAGTTTGCATGTAAGCCAGGGTACCGTTGTCCTCACCTGTCTGGCTACAAAGCCGCGCTGTTTCTTAGCTGCCGGCCCTTTGTGGTCAGACTCGTCGCCTGCGTCCGAGTTCATGGTTTTAAATGCAGCACGTCAGCAATCTGATTACGAATAAAAATGATTGGCAATCGTCTGTGGCGGGTTGGGCGTCCTGTGAGGCCAAACGGCGAGCCTGGTGATTGGGTGGTGAAGATTTTCGGAGCTGGGTAATTCTCCCCGGCAGAAATGCTGCCAGTTAGTGAGTGCCGTTAGCGTCCTAAGTTTAGCGTGCAGCAAAAAGCCGCCGTGTCTGGCTCTCTGTCCGTTGTGTTTATTCATTAGGTGTGGTTTACATTCTTGGACATTCTATGTTTTAATAAATATATTTTATTATGTACAGATTCTACTTAATATTTTCTTCTTATTTTTTATTTTATTTTATTTCTCCAGTCTCTGAAATTTCATCTACCATATGCATTCTAACCAAAGTCTCCAATCAATGCAATTATTTGCAGCACCCACGTTTAGCGCTGACAGGCGGTTACAGCGCTCACTGCTTCACTAACGCAGACCAACCCGCCGCTGCGACACGGCACCTTTTCCGCACTAGGAAAGAGCCTCCTCCCCACGCTACATCGCTCCTCCCTGACTAAGAAAATCTTCCGAGGCAGGCAGCCTTGGAAGCCAACTGACATCTGGTGGCTGCACATCTCCGACAGCCGTACATTCATCCGCGTAATGCGACTACGTCGTCCTCTCCAGCTTTTTGCAGAGCCTCACGTGAATCGCAATCACTCATCTTCTGCTTTCAATCACAAGGAGCAGAGCCTCAGATCTTCATATTCACTGATCCAACCCTCTTAATCCATCCCCAGCTGCCTTACATCTCTCCGCGCTGCCCCTCCTTCCCCTCATCGCCAGTCTTACTCCAGTGTCGCGCACATAACCCGCAGGCTTCGCAACGCCACAAGCCCATAATACCAGGCAGTGTCATCATCAGAGAGATCCATCACGGATGTCGTCGTTATACTCGGACTCGGGAGGCGTCCCCGACTCCGCTGATCATGGCCCGCAGGAGCATTCACACGATGCCTCGTCTGCCAAACTAACCCGTGGCACCAGCTGTGTCCTTTGCCAGCAGCGCAAAGTTCGATGCGACAAGAACAAGCCTTGTTCAAACTGTGTCAAGGCCGGTGTCGAGTGCCGTGTCGTCCCTCCTGCGCCACCACGCCGGCGCAAGAAGCGCCTACAGGAAAAGGATCTTGTTGACAGGCTGAAGAAATATGAGACTCTTCTGCGCGACAACGGCGTCAAGTTTGATAGTATCGACTTTGATAGTCGCCACGAAGGTGACGTTGACGAGTTGGAGAATGACTTTGAAGGCCTCAAGACAACACCAGAAGACACCACGAACTCGTCGCCGGCCGCGCGCGACGCAATGTGAGTATTGTCAAACGCTACAGTCATTCTTACTAGTTTGTGACTAACAATCCTCATAGCTTCCCGTCGAGAAAATGGTTTTCAATGCACAAAGAAGCAAGTCACGTTTCTCATCTTGCAAAACACACTTGATCGCTAACCAACCTTCTAGTTCCGCGCCAGCGAACGACTTCTCCATGACTCTGACGAAGAAGATGCGGTACACTACTCGACCATCCATAAGGCTTTCGATACCATGTTTGGCGATCAAGACGTATTCCCCTTCCTTGTTGGCGGCTTCCAGACCGACAACCTCACCGACGCTCATCCTCCCACAATCCACATCTTCCAGCTGTGGCAGATCTACATTGACAACATCAACCCACTCTTGAAAATCACACATATTCCCACAATTCAACCGCAGGTCATTGAGGCCAGCTCGAGCTTGGACCGAGCTCCGAAAAACATACACGCTCTCATGTTTGCCATTTACGTCATGGCTGTCACCTCCCTCGACGAGGAGGAAACACAAAAGAGATTCCAAACCCCCAAGCGCGAGCTTCTGGGCCGCTACTTTGCAGCATTACAACAATCCCTTGTTAATGCTGGTTTCATGCGAGACAGAGATCTCATTACGCTGCAGGCATTCGTTTTGTACCTCTATGCCATCAGATGGTTCATCGACCCACGTCAGGTATTCTGTATGAGTGGTCTGGCCGTGCGTATGGCACAACAAATGGGCCTTCATCGGGATCCTGAAGGCCACGGTCTTCCTGCTTTTGAGGTCGAACAGCGTCGACGTCTGTGGTGGACAATCGTCGGCTACGATCGTCGTCTCGGAGAAATGACTGGATCGACCGTAACAGCTCTTTCCAGTGGTTGCGATACCAAGATGCCACTCAATGTCAATGACTCGGATCTCCACATCGAGCGAGATGAGCCGCCGACATCCCATTCTGGGCCTACTGAAATGATGTTTGCACTGGCTCGCATGGAAATCGCAATGGCCGTCTCCAGTGACAGTAACAGAGACGCTTTCAACATGAATGAGAAACCAGGTCCTCCTCCACCGGGAGGTAGGAATGGGCCTACTGTCCGTATTGTTGGTCAAGAAGGTCCATCATACACATTAGAAGGCTTCTGTGCTCATGTAGAAGGCAAGTACCTGATACACTGCGACGCGAGAATTCCGCTTCACTTCTTTACCCAAACAATGACTCGCCAGAACCTTTGCAAAATGCGCGTTATTTCGTACCTGGTTCGTATCATGGGCCCTACCGGAGCAAGTATACTTAACGATGTCGAACGCGATAACCTATTCCTGCAAGCGATTCAGATGGTAGAATATGACAATGTCGTTCAGACCTCTGACAGCCTCAAGCCGTTCCGTTGGTACGCTATGCACTACTTCCCATTCCCTGCGTACATGTTTTTGGTACATGAACTGCGCGCAAAGACATCCGGTCCAATGGTAGATCGAGCTTGGGACGCTGTTGCTCTCAACCACGACTCGCGAGGCCTGCTCAACGACCGTCACAGCCCCATGCACATGGCTTTTGGCATGATGTTCCTCAAAGCATGGAGAGCGCGTGTCGCTGCCCCAGTTAACGCAGGTCAGCAGCTGGTGACGCCAGCCTTCATAACACTGTTGCTAGAGCATGAAGAAAAGAAGCGCATGGCGAAAGCTATGAGCTCTGATAGTCCTGGTAACGTCAGCCTCGGATCGATAGAGCCAGCTCAGCTACCGCAGCCCAACGCCTCGCCATTCGCAACCCCAGGCTCAAACCCAGACAATGGGATGGGACCAAGTCCCAACGGCCCTCCTGGTCCACCTGGAATGTCAGGCCCTGTGTCATCAGAAGGCGGCGACAGCGGCGACATGGACTGGTCGTACATCATGTCTGGGATGCAGAATGGTTCCATGTTTTCTGGCCCAATCGGAGGGACCATGGGGATATCTATGCCAGGAGGTATGGGTATGAGTCCTATGGGAGGGGGTATGCCAGGCATGGGAACGCGAATGCCTCCAGGTCCTAGCATTGGGGGGCCGCCAATGCCGTGGACTGGGCCATATAGAGGATGAGATATGATGATGCACAATAAGAAATTTTCTGTAATATAGCTACAAGACTGCTTGTTCAATTAATACAAAAGCAATCTCATCTCCCCAAGTATCACTTTCCTTTTATTACTTTAGCTGTGTGTCTGCATACGTATCCAGGCTGCTGGTCATTCGTGCTTCAAGGCTGTGGTGGGAGCTGGTCCAGGCACCCGGTTCGCACTGATGCGGGGCAGTGCCGAGTGACTTCACTTCCAACCCATCTCTTCCACTACACCATCATCACGCCAATACCACACCCTCCTTCGCAGACTGCATCCTGAGAGTACAGTAGGATCGACGAATTTCTATTTACAAAAACCTCGATCACGCCTACGTGTCGCCTGCCAGCATGGAGGCGTCGAGCTCAAACCCGCTGCTGTCCGCACAGAAGAGCTCTCAGCTCCAGACTGTGCTGCATCCGCTCGTTATCCTAACTATTTCCGACTATATCACAAGGCATACCCTACGAGGACAAAATATTCCCATCGTTGGCGCGCTTTTGGGCCAGCAAAATGGCCGCGAAGTTACCATTGAACATGCGTTTGATTGCCATGTGCGCGAGGCGCCGGACGTTCAAGGCGGCTATCTCTTGGACGATACAAAGTTCTCTGCAAGGCTCGAACAAAGTATGCATTCTGAACTGATAACAAGTATACCTTCTAACGCCTCATATAGTGGTTACCGTACATAAAGACCGACAGCTAGAGCTTGTGGGATGGTACACCCTGCTCCCCCCGTCCGGGCCGACTCCAACCGTCCTACCGATTCATACACAAATTCTCGAATCCTGGAATGAATCAGCATTGTTGCTTGGTTTCCATCCTCAGCAAGTGCTGGAGCATACAGTGGGAGGAAAGCTGCCACTCACCATCTACGAGAGCAACTTTGAAGTAGACACGGATCAAGACGGTGAAGACAAGAAGATGGACGACGGAGAGAGCAGCCTCAAGCTCAAATTCCGTGAGGTCCCATACTCTGTAGAGACAGACGAGACAGAGATGATTAGTATGAACTACATTGCTGAAGGCGGTGGCAATGCTGCTGCCGTAGCTGCCAAAGAGGCTGCCCCGCCACGGACGATTGAGACAAACGATAAGGGCAAGCGACGCCTAGTGGAAAACGATGGTGACGAAGCTGCAGAAGGAGCTGACGGCCGCCAGGGTGCCCTCAGTCGAGATGAAGATGAGATGCTGTCGTCACTCACTGCCAAGGCCAACGCAGTCAAGATGCTCCAATCTCGTATCGACCTCTTGGTAGCATACTTGGAGCGCCTCCCTCCCTCCTTCTTAAATGGAGAGATGCAAGATGCCAGCGCTATGGAGACAGACCATACCACACCTTCACCAACTGTTTTGCGCCAGATCCAAGCGCTGGTTTCGCGCCTCGACCTGGTGATTCCATCCGATTCGGAGTCATTCCAAAAGGAGATGCTTGCTGAAACCAATGACGTTCATATGATTGATCTTTTAACGAGTATCATCAGTGGCGTTGACAAGGCCCGTGGTGTGGGAAGCAAATTCGGCGTCATTGACTCAGCTACAAAGCTACAACATCGTCGCGGCCACGACGCACAAGCTAGTTATTCAGGTTTGCACGGCGGTGGGGATTTGATGCTCTAAATGGGGGCCTCAAGTAATTCCAGTTTTGTGGTACATGTTTAAAAGCATGCTGTGGATGCATCATAACAGCCAGGCGTTAGAGATGGCAGTATAGTATGCCATGGAATAGACATTTGTTTCTTTACATTTTTGTGCTCTGACTACCTTGATTTACCCATGAAGGAATTCATAACCTAAAAAGTCCAGCCCTCGTCACACGTAAAATCTGTATGAGAGGCAAAAAGCAAAAAAAGAAATGCGGCCAGTGTGACTCGAACACACGACCTTCAGATAGGTATCCGTAGGATTGAAGTTTGGCTTCAGTCTGACGATCTCCCAGCTAATCTATGGCCGCTTGTTGAAAAACTTGGTCTTATTTTGCTTTATGTATCTAGACTCCAAAATGTATTCGCATAGCTACCCGGCACCTAAATCACTAGACCACAATCGTTTACACTACCATCAATAATAGGTCCGTATGCACCTTTTTACAATTATGGTATCATTCTTAAAATATATTTCAATCACATTTCTTTTATTTACCAGCAAATTGGTTGTATTGCAGTGATTTGGGGGTTGTTGGTACACTACTCGGGGTCAGCGTTATGATGGATCTACAGTTCAGCCGCCCACTCTGTCATCCAAGCAAAGGTCAGTGGATGTCATGAAGGTATATTATTTTAAATACACTAAAATATCTGCACGGATACACGCCAGTTTTCAACTACAATAAAACCTAAAACGTGCTTGCTGCTAGTCGGCTTGCCGCGTTTCGCGCATCGATTCTGTCATCGTCCTCTTCCTCCTTCACGTCGGAGAATAGACCAGAGGCGCCTAGCCTGCCGTCCGCTTGTCTATCCTCCCGGTCGCCATCTTCAGACCCCTTGCCGGCTCCACTTCCAGAATTGCTACGGTTGACTGCGTCTGAACGGCGAGGGACGCCGCTCCAAGCGTCACCCTTGGGCCCTTGGCTTGCGGCTAGGTTGGTGCGTCGAATAGTGGGATGTGACTCACGACCAAGGCGACTCAAACCACCAGAGCCATCAATGGAACGAATATCAGGGCGAACACTCTCCAATACCGACAGGGTGCGTCGCTCGGCCTCAATCTCTCGTAGCACAAACTCTCTGATGCTAGCGCGCAACTCAGTGGCGGTGCGAGCGAACCATTTTCGGTGCTCCTGCACGAGATTCTGGGTGACGCGATGCGTTTTGTTATAAAGGTTGGATTCGTAGTGTCGAGCTTCGTCCAAGAGAGTAATGGCTTCGTCTACCTTATCCGGACGGACGCTGTTGCTATTCTTTAATCTGTTCGCAGCATTGAGTTTGCTAATCGTAGCCTCTTGAGCCTGAATAAACTCGCGCGTGAGGATTTGTCTGTTTGTGAGTGTCTCCTTTACAATAAACGCGTCCTGCGAATGATACTGTAGAGGGTCGCCAATGGTAGTAGCCTCGGCTGTTGCTTGTGCTGCGTGATAATCGCCAACGGTCTGAACAACCTTGCCCAGTTTCTTGAAAGCATTACCAAGGCCGGCATGCGGTTCTTGCACATGCATGGCTCCGAGTTTGACACCGAAATCTGCTTCCGAGAGGCCGAGGCCGCGTCTCGCCTTAACCATTTTATCCACTTTATGGCCAGCATCCATTGTGCCTAGGTAAAAGAACTTGACCGTAGGGCGGGCATCGGCTAGTTCAGGCGTATCATCAGGGGGCGGTGCAAATTGCTTAAGAATCTTTCGACGAACACCAGTGGCTGGCTGCTTCATCTTGACGAGCGGGCTGTAGCCAAAGTCACTTTCAACGAACAGCACCATCTCATCATCGCGCATAAGCACTTCGCTGCTGCAGATTGCGCTGATCCAGCGCTGCATAGACGCCTTGACTCTGCTCTCATCTTCGTCGGTACCTGCACCAGCTGAAGTAACAGCAGGTGGTACCGCTGGCACGAGTGCTTCGGGATTCGCGGAGATAAGGTGGTCGGCTAGCTTAACAAACTCGGAGTGCAGTCTTCGGACATCGCGGTATTGAGTCGTTCGGAAGCGGGGGAGGTTGGTCTAAAACATTCGTAAGGTAAGCATATTGCCGAAAAATGTGTTGTATAGGATGACCTACGTGAACATCAAATCTCAACAGGGGATCCTTTTTACCGGTCCGCTCAAGCCCAGTAATCTTGGCTTGGAGCTTGTACTGAGGCTGAGGAGGCTGCTGCTGTTGGGCCTGCTGGATCTGCTCAGGAATAGGGATGGGAGGGCCTTGGGCGGGAGGGAAAGAGGGTTCTTCATGGCGAGGTTGCTGCTGAGGCGGTGGTTGAGACTGGCCAAAGACACTGGAGTCAGCCATTGTCGATGCATCCGTCTCGTGGTCTGTATCCTGAGATGGGTGGACGGCTTCATGCTGCTGGAAGTCAGAGGTGATGCTTCCCGCCGACTGGTCCAATCCACCCGAGCTTTGCGATGCGTAAGGGAATGAGGCAGCAGGATCGCTAGTAGTAGCTTCGAAGCCGGAGCGTTGCTGGCGAGGAGACGACGTTGGTGAATTACCCCAGGGCGAAGCGCCTGCAGGATCATCTGCCTCATGGATAGATGCACCGTAATCCATGCTGTCGTAGAGCCGGGGCTAGCGGCGGGATTCGAGATATAGAGGATGGCGTTCCTGTCTCGCTTCAAGATGCCGAAGCAACAAGCGTCAAGCGGGCAGCCGGGCTAAATAAAGAAGCTGCTGGCGGAGACTAGCCGACTGCAAACAGTAGCGCTCCGAAGAATACCGCTTGAAATGAGGGATGAACAACGCAATCACGGGCGTGGGACGCGAGATGCCGGAGCCGAGATGTGGTGTTGAAGGCTGAGTGTGCAAGTGACGCAAGCTGAAGAGAGGGCTGGGCGGAGAGCAGGCCAGCGAGGGAGCTTAGGTGCGCGCTGTGGAACTGGTTGTCTCAAAGCAGTATAGCGCGGGGCAACGCTGTAATGCCCGCGGGCCAAATCCAGGCTAAGGAAAAAAAATTGGAGATGGTGGCAGGCCTGTCAAAGCTTTTCGTTTTTTAGTTGTTGCAAAACAATTCTACAGAAAATCTACGGCTAATTCTTTGCCCCGTAACACATATCCCAAAATCATTCACAATGGGAAAGAAACGCTCAAGAGAGGCCGATGGCAAGACAGCCGATCCTGTCGTCGACGACGTGGACAAGATGGACGAAGATAGCGGCGAGGTATGCTATGGAAGCCATGATCGCAGATGTCACTATTTCTAACAGCAGACTGCCCACAGGACTTTGACAACATTGATGTCGACTTTGAATGGTTTAACTTTGACCCCGAGATCGACTTCCACGGTGTAAAGGCTCTCCTCCGCCAGCTCTTCGACGTCGACGCGAACCAGTTCAACATGTCCGAGCTGGCTGACCTTGTTCTTGCGCAAAACACAATTGGATCGACAGTCAAGACCGACGGCAAGGGAACCGATGCCTATGCTATGCTTACTGCCCTCAACACCTTTGTCCACCGCGAGAAGGCCCCTATGCAGGACATTCTCAAGTACCTTGTGGAAAAGGCGAATACAAACGAAGCATTGGCGTCGACGGTGACGCCTCTCCTCACTGGAGACCACCACGTTGGCCTGGTGTTTTCTGAGCGTTTCATCAATATGCCTGCTGAGATTGCGCCTCCCCTTTTCTCCATGCTTATCGACGAAGTTGAGGCTGCTGTTGAAGACAACGAACCGTACAACTTCTCGCACTACCTTATCCTCTCCAAGACGTATCAAGAAGTTGAATCGACGCTAGATGTCGAGGAACGCAAGAGAAAGAAGGCCAAGGAGGAGTCTTCCATGTTCTACTTCCACCCAGAAGATGAAGTTTTGCAAAAGTATGCTGTTGCTCACGGAGGCTTCGCTTACACGCGCGAGGACGACTCTGTTGCGGACAGCAAGCGCGCATTCCAGGAGATGGGAATTAAAGCACAGGGCCACATGATTTTGATTGAAGCTAGCAAATTCCCAGCTGCTATTAAAGCAGTTACCGAGTACATAAACCCCCCTCTATGAATAATGAACTACCCTTTGCTCCCTACTCTTCCGGTTCAAGACGCTGCATCAAGTATTCCACCTCGACCTCCTTGGTAAGAGGGATGACATATTCCTTGTACATGGATGCGACGGCATCCACATCGATTTTGACGTGTGACTCGGTGCCCTTGGTTTCGGAGGGATCTCTGCCGTAAGTGAGAGCCTTGAGGCGAAGGCGCTCAAAGATTTGGTCCTCTACGGCCTGGTTTGTAATGGCCTTTGCAATACCCTCGCGGTCCTCTGCCTTGATCAAGCGAGTGTACTTTTCCGGATCGGAGCGGAATTTGGACTCGGCGACAAACTTGCCGAAGTGAATTCTTCTGGACAGAGCCTGGAGGCAGGCAATGTCACAGGTAGCTGTCGAACCGTAGTTTTCTTGCGATTCGCCCTGGTCCTCGCGGCCAAAGTCGGGGCACACTGCGGGAAGGAACTTTTCAATGTAGAATGCTCTGATTTGGTCGTTGACGACGACGTCGTTCTTGTATAGAATCTTCGGGTAGTTGAGCGGCTTCAGGATGGGCTTTTGAACGGACCGAGGGTAGAAGGGGTATTCGTCGGGCGACTCGTATCGACGAATGAGTGACTGAAGCTTCTCCTGCTCGGCAAAGTACCAGTCGAAGAAGCTGAGGTCGCTGTTGGGGATTTGCAAAGCTCCCGGCGTGTAGATTGTCTATTTCAGTATTAGCCTTGCCCTATTGCTGTATTCCGGCATCGATTGCGACAATGTACCTTGTTCAGAGCAAACTGCACTCTTTCGATCAAATGGAAAGTGATGGTGTCCTCAAGACGACTATATATAGTAAGCTTTCCCTCCTCACTTTTCGCGCATGGTTCCGGGCTTTGCGGCTCTACCTACATGAGCTGGTAGCGAATATGAGCGAGGTCGAGAGCCTTGTTCTCGTCAGCGACATCTACGACGGAATCCATGGTGTCGTATGGTGGTTAAGGGTGAAGTATAGAAATGCAAAAAATGGTAAAGATGGCAAGTACTGGCAGAGAATTGGTTCAAGCAAGCTGGCGTCAAGAGAACCAAGTAGTATTGCAAAGTGTGAATCTTAGAGGGGCAGAGGGACGTCCGGAATCGGATCGGAGCGCCGTCTGCACGTGTGGCATTGGCACTGAGTGCAGGCTGTCAGGCCTGTTTTTAGCGCTGTCGTGCCCGCCATTACAGGCGACTGCAACGCTGGGCAGGGTTCTGCCGGAGCCCTGTGGGCTTTTTTTTATAGCGCCATCCGTAGCACCGGAATGAACTGAAGAGAGCTGAAGGCGCACCACGGCCCCACAAAATTTCGGTACTTCCCACTGGCTGCTCAATTGCCCGTGGAGGCGCGTCCCCAATTTGCTGGTTCCCTTTTGGCGTAAAGCTACTTGCTCTTAAGTATCGCGCAAGGGCATCTCCACGCCACGAACCATCCCCCTTGGCCAATTCCACGTTACCCGGTGCAGCAAGCGAACAGACAAGCCGCCGTGGAACCGAGCGCTCTACATGAGCAATGGCTGAATCCAACAACCAATTTATCTACCCTGACGATGGCTCTGGCGATGAGGACCAGTCTCTCCTTTCTGTGCGTGCCCTAGGCCCCCAATGGCTGTCGCGCCTTCAATCACACGAACATTATGTAGCGAAGCTTGAGTGCTAACAGTTGTTTGAAACTACAGACAAGAGGCCTCGAAGCCTTTGGCCGAAAGGTTACTACGACCGCCACACATCTCATGGGACCCAATGCCGAATCAACAGTAAACCACTACCAGGCCGCCATGGCCCAAGTTCATAAACAGCTGAAACGACCGACGGTACAGCGCAGCGTCTTTGCATTGGCTAGAACGACACCTACAGAGCTAGTACGAGCCAAATTATCGCGAGCGGAGATCCAGCATCGTGCAGTGGCGGCCTTGTCGGACGAACTTCTCACCAACATCCCGGAAAGCGGAAGCAGCTATTCTCTGTTCCAGGGCTTTCAGGCCAGCTTCCCGGAACTTACTGACGAGGGCAAGAAGCATCGACGCCGCGTATCGAGAGGCCGCAAGCTGTTGGAAGATTCTTCAGCGCCAGCGACAGATAACCAGAAGCTCATGCAAATCAAGAAGGAGAAGGCTGCCATGATGCACGAGTTTGAGCTTCTCGGCGTGCGCAAGAATATGGCTAGCAGCGAAATTCGAGAGATTGATAACAAGATTGCCAACTTGCATGGCATGCGAAAGATCATTTTGGATAGAATAGCCGGCATGGAGCAAGAAGAGGCTCTGCTGGAGCACGACAGTTAGTACATCATGGCCAGTCCCGTGTCTATCAAATTAGAGAGTCTAACACAACAACTAGTTATCGATGTCGAAGCGCGATTAGACGAAGCCCAAGCTGCAGTGGACGAAGCGGAAGAAATTGCAAACAACACCCCTACCAAAGACGAAGTCGACCTTGTAGGTGATGCGGATGAGCAAGACGCCGAGTTCATGTCGCAGTCTGTTTACGATAAGCTTCCCGGTTCGACGGCAGGCACACCAGCAAAACGCCCGAAAAAGGTGCGCAGACGTGTTTCGATACCGATACTGCACGAGCACTTTGAACCCGGTTCCGCCATCCGAGAGATTCGCGCTCACAGAGAGAACATTACGGCGCTCGACTTTGATGCTCCCTTTGGAGTCATGGTGACATCTGCGCTAGATGACTCGGTGAGAGTTTGGGATCTCAACGCTGGCAGACTCATGGGCTATCTAGAGGGCCACGCTGCGTCGGTCCGCACGTTGCAAGTCGAGGACAACATATTAGCTACTGGTTCTGCGGATGCAAGCATCCGTTTGTGGGATCTTAGCCGAACAAGATACGATCCACAGGGAGATACAGCGGCAAAGGGCAACGGAGATGACGATGCAATTGCCTTTGAGAACCCAGACGATCAACCATTTGAGCCACCACAAGGAAGCATGGACGACTGTGAACTGTTTACGCTCCGAGCTCATGTTGATGAAGTAACAGCTCTTCATTTCCGAGGCGACGTTCTTGTTTCTGGCTCGTCTGACAAGACTATGCGCCACTGGGATCTTGAAAAGGGCCGATGCATCCAGACTCTGGATGTCATGTGGGCTGCAGCACAGGCTTCGACGTCAGCAGTAGATAGCGCTTGGAAGCCAACAGGGCGAAAGTCGATGGCTCCATCAGACGGAGATTTCATTGGCGCTTTACAAGTGTTTGAATCGGCCCTGGCTTGCGGTACTGCTGACGGCATGGTGAGACTATGGGATCTCCGCAGTGGCCAAGTACACCGAAGCTTGGTTGGACACACTGGAGCGGTCACCTGCTTGCAGTTTGACGATGTGCATTTGGTTACTGGTAGCATGGATCGCAGTATCAGAGTGAGTGTATTTGGTGATGAGACGTGGACGAACCAACATAACTAACAAAGCTTTCAACTAGATATGGGACCTACGAACAGGCTCTATACACGATGCCTATGCCTACGACAACCCTGTTACGAGTATGATGTTTGACGCTCGACGCATTGTAAGCGCTGCGGGCGAAGATGTGGTCAAGGTGTATGATAAGGTCGAGGGACGCCAATGGGAGTGTGGCGCCGGTGTGAATGCTGCTGAGGAGGGCAAGAACCCATCTATTATTGAAAAGGTTCGCGTTAGAGACGGATACATGGTGGAAGGCCGCCGTGATGGTATTGTTGGTGTTTGGACATGTTGATTGGAATTTGTGTTTAATGTATAAATCTGAAGATGTGTATGTATAAGCGGTTTATGTGGAAGTATCTTGACCAACCCACGTTTTTATTACAATTACTACATCCTGGCGCCACCACTGTATGTTACAGGGGTGGCTTGACTTGATAACCAAAGCTTGAAGGCGCATCACGGGATGAGCTTAAACTACGATTTAGATCCTGGGTCAAGAATGATGCCGGCTTTCGCTCAGCAGACACTCCCATCGGTGATCGGGGCTCGCGACACTCATTCTTTCTATATGTTGACGAAGAAGCCTTTGCAGAGCCTTCCCGAGGACGAAGATCCGAGTCGAAAGACGACACAGACCGATACAGATATGAGACGCCAGCAGCATGTTAAGATGGTACAGGCTTGGCAAGATGTTCCAGAGCCAGATCCGTTGGACATTCAAGACCCTGAGGACGAAGAGGAAGATTGGATAAAGATAGATATCGCCTCACTACCTTAACATGTCATTCTACATCGAGTTTCAGAATGGCGAGAACTGGTACCCGCGCTGGTCACCGCCTAGTGTACGCCAGCATTAATTTGAGAAAAAAAAAGAGACTTATTGTTAACAAGTGTGCAACTATTCGATTCTACATATCCAATCACATTATAATCGCGGCGCGAGCGTATACCCTATGCCTTGAATACAAACGCTGTATCTCAGCAATGCATTGCCCACTGCAACAATATTTGTGACTTTTTCGTTGCACTATTCTGCCTCAGTTTGGCCATTTGTAGAATTCTGAAGAGCTGATTTGTGCAAGTCAAGGTTAGAGGAATAGTCACTGTAGCGCACCCACACAGAAGTCGTGGAGCACAGAGTGCCGCCGTCAGGCGAGTGACCTCAAAATTCGTACCATCTGGGGCGGCAGGTGACATCTCTCGCCGGCTTTGGCCATTGCTCCACCACTGGCAGCGTCAACTTTTGAACCTTCAATAAATGCACAAGCACGACCACTTCGACTCCAAACGCAGTATTATTTATAAGGGGAGGTGGCATATGAAATTCCAGATATCATGGACAGTGCTCCTCTTGTAAAGGCGCATGGTCATGCCCGTGCGGCTGCTACTGCTACCAGGCATGGCAGCGACACCACAGTGGCCATCACCGAACATACACATGCAGCAGGCGAGTTTGCAAACGCAGCAAAAGACACGTCAAGCGCAGAGGCGTTAAGGACGCTGCGTCTACTCGAAGCACACCACAGACGACTGGCAGAACTGCTAAAACTGCCGCCTGAGACGACCGCCCACCACGCCGACGATGAAGACGAAAAGGCAATGACAGAGAAGGATGGCGAAAGCCGCAGCGGCCACCAAAAGGGAGATGCGAATTCACCAAGGACGGCACATATGCCAGGTCTCAGCAACCACCGATCTACACAGAGAGAAATGTCTTCCTCTATTGCGAGCAACCTGGCTTCGGCTAGAGGAATTCGATCCAAGTACAGGGTGCATCCACTTAGCCCCAGCATTTCCAACGACAATGCTCCTGGCAATGTAGATCCTCATCCTAGACGAGACGGATCCAAGACCAAGATGCAGAGTATTATTGACCACCAGTCTGGAAAACCAAGCTGGGTTCCTCCTTCTGCACCCGCCAGCCGGGAACATGGTGGTGGCTCAAAGCCCAGCTCACCACGTATCGACGAACAACAGACGACTAGAGAGGATACGGGATACAATGCATTCTATAATGCCTTTGGAAGCATCATGAACAAGATTTCGGCGCCACTAGCCTTTGCTGGCCTGCCTCTAATTCAGGAGGAAAGTACTGTATCAGAGACGCAGCGCCCATCTGAGGCAGATGCTGGCCCTTCTAAGCATAAAGGCCACTCGGCCGGCTCAACGACGACTCCTGTGAAGCAGGAAGTAGATTTGGGCAAGATATATTCCAAGGCAACAATGAAGGCTCTTGCACGCGAAGGCCACAATCCTCACGAATCCTTTTACGTTGTGCCCACGACCGGCCATACCATGTCGTATGCCAATATTCTCAACTATGCGGAGAAGGAAAAGCGCCGTCTGGTAGTTTCTGGCATGCGTGAGAATTCTGGCGGCTCAAAAGACGACGATGACGACGATTTTGTAGACGCGAGGGAATCTCCCACCAGCCTTCTTTCACCAGGCGCCCAGCGCCGCGTTGGTAAAGGCAAGACGGAACGCGAGTTGAATAATACAATCGAAGAACTCTACACTGAAAACCAATCACTAAAAGACATGCTCGACAAGTTGTCTAAGCGACTTCAAACCTTTGAGGCCAGCGCGCAGAGCTCCGCGATGGCGTTGGCCGAGAGTTACCGTCTCATGCGACCAGCATCTCCAACGCTGAACAAGCACGACGATCAAGGAAAACTGAAGATGGCAGACACGGAGCAGCAGCTTGCGGCTGTGACAAAGCAGATGGAGAGACTAGAAAAGGATAATCGCAAGATGCAAAAGACACTGGACAAGTATCGGGAGAAGTGGGATGTACTCAAAGCCGGAGCAAAAGCACGGCGAGACGGCCAAAAGGGAATGGAGAATATAGAGGAAGGGATTTAGAAGGGAGTATTATAGAGGATATGGATCGGCATTATCAAAGAATGTTTTCAATTCCACCAGAAGCTAACGCTAAAGCTTACTGTTAAGCTCCGGACATAATGCCACCATCCCATGGGTATCAATAACGTATCACCTTCTCTGAGAATACACTCCCAGTATTCAACATCTTTAAGTGCCTTGCGTGTCTCATCAATTTCTTCTGTGCTTGAACCCTCGGGCACGGCATCCCAACCTTCGAGCACGCCAACATCTAACGCGCTCGTATTACTCATGTCTACACCGTTCTCCTTGCTACGCGGCCGCATGGCAATACCTTCCCACGGAGGATACAGGCGGACGTATTTCGTACCTACCACTTGCACAAGCAGGTTATGGTAGGCATCAGTGTGGAGCGGTGTAATCGTCCCAGCCGGGCCAAACCAGGCGTTAAGTTGAGGCACATCTACATGCTCTTTGTTCTTGGACGGATCAACAGGATGGCCAGGTACATCAGCCCAGCATTGGTCCGGGATGGCCGTGTCGTTTCGTAGCGACGGGATTTGATGGAATAAATCATGCTGCGCTAGATATCCCACCTGTGCTTGCTTGCCGTCCAGGTAGCGGTTAACAAACGCTTTGAATGGGATCAGTTCTTGACCCCAGTCTGTATCAACGTAGCTGCGACCGACTTCGACAGGAACTAGCCGGCGGCCGCCAAAGGTTTTGGATAGGAGGTAGTCAAGATTAGCCCAGGGTCGGTCGTTGAGCGCTGGCCATGTATCCTTGACGAGGTCGGTGAAGACAACCGGCCGAGGATTAGTAGTCTTGTCGTTCATGTACGTTTCGAACTTGTTAATGCTCCATTTGGTATGTCGAGGGCAATCCTTTGATAACGTTGGTTGCCAAACGGGCTCTGTTGTGAAGGACGACGTTGGTCGTAGTCGTTTCTTTGGACGGTCATCGCTGTTAGACTCGTCGCTTGCAGCCCAGAATGACTCTAATTGTGCAAGGGCCTGTTCTATCCATCTTGCACCAAGCAGCTTGCCAGCGCCCCCGGCGACAATCAGGCTCCTGTCAAGCATCTCAACCACCTTGTCCATGGCGGACTCCGATATCTGCCTTGTATCCGATACGGATTGGAGCAGATGGAAATAGGCCGTGAGAATCAACGTATCCGAGTATATTTGACGCCAGCAGTATGGAAGGAGATTGTATTGATAGGCGTAAAACTTGGACATGGACATTGTCGCCAGTTGCTCTAGCCTAGTTTCCAACAGCTCCAGATTGACAGAATCCAAGGGCGTCTTATTTTGTAGCTGATCATGACGTTTCACCAGAATTCCCGCCTGTTGCTTCAAGAGCTGTTCGAGCGCCAGGGCAGATTCTTCTATGGCATTGTCGTGGGCGCCGTTGTCGTCTGGCTGTGATAGCGTGTTGATGGAGGCGTTTTGAAGGACATCAGCCGCGGCTCGCCACCGCGCCAGAAGCTCAGCTAGCTCAGGGCTCATGGTTCATCGTGTTTTGAATTACTGAACCGACATATCCGTGAAATTGGTAGCCCTCCAAATGATTTGCAAGACCTGGTCGTTTGAACATGTGGTTGGTGTAGCAGGCAGGATTCGTGGGCGGCCCACCGAGTTTCACACATCCCCGCCTACACAAGCCAACCACACAACGCATCAACCTGCCTGGGGCGTGCATCGCACGACATGGAAGACGTATTTTCTAAGCTAGTTCTTCATCTAGATGATGAAATTGAAGATGCTGAAGAAGGTAAATAGCTGTAGTTGAATCCCTTGGCACCCGATTCCCTATCTCACAGCACACAGAAACCTTTGTTCTCTACTCGCAGCCCATTCCCTCTCAGAACCTAGGCTTCGTCGACTCAAAAGCAAAGGCTATACAAGTCGATACTGGGGAATCAGAATACACTATTCATCAATCACCCACGGTGCTCTCGTCAAACCGAGCGGGAGGCACCACGGGAGCTGGTATGTCTTTCGCGCGAATTATCTTACAACCTGTCGCTAACATCTGCCTATTAGTTCTTTGGAAAGTCACGCCGCTATTCGCATCATGGCTAGCGTCAAAGGACAACATCTTATTCAAACATGGGATTATCCGTTCTGACTCTATAGTTGCCGAACTGGGCTGCGGGATATCACCACTAAATGCATTTGCCATTGGCGGCCGTGTGCAGCGCTACGTTTTAACAGACCAGCCGTACGTACAGCGACTAGTCTTGCAAAACATTGAAGAAAACAGTCATTTATTACGCTCAGCACGTCTGCCGAAGAAACAGCCCCAAACCAATATCGAGTTTGCGGTCCTCGACTGGGAAACGGACACTGCATCTCCAAGCCTGGTAGGATCCGGTGCCCGAAGCTTCGACGTCGTTCTGGCCTGCGATTGCGTATTTAACTATGCGCTAGTTAAACCGTTTGTCGAAACCTGCGTCGAGGTTTGCAGGCTTCGCCAAAATGATGATAGTCACGATGCCCCATGTGTCTGTATTGTTGCACAGCAGCTGCGTAACGACGAAGTGTTTTTGCTATGGCTACAGACATTTACTCAATTCTTCCGCGCCTGGAAGATTCCAGATGACGCTTTACCGCCTGGCTTAAAATCTTCGGATGGATTTGTAGTTCATATTGGAATTCTTCGACCAGACTCCTGAGCCCGTCCCATTCTTATTATAATTATTATATGTAACTTGTATAGGAGCTTTATTTTTGTTTTCCCATATACTTTTGTCTTTATATAATCCAATTCTGTCAAGCCGGAGGCTTTTGAGCCCAGATGCCGCTCCAGTCTATTATGCCATGAATGCGAGGGTTGTCAAGGGCTTGCTTGACTTGGTCGGCGAACCGGGTCGCCTCTTCGGCGTCCATATCCATGGCTGCGCGCTTAGCCATGACGGCCGAAACGACATCAACAGTAATGCTGTGGTGAAACATGCCTAGTTCACGCATCTTTGTCTGGCGGTGCCAGCGGCCAATGGGCACGGCGTTCTTCGTCTCGACCACATTGATAAAGCCAACTTCGCGGAGCATGGCCGGGATTTCAAGTGGGAGCATTATATCCCACTGGAAGCTTTTGGAAAAAGCTTCGTTCACCAGCTTATAAAACGTATTAAGAGGGTGGTTGTCATCTACTGTGCCGTCGGTGGAATAAACGTGTGGGATGGTGTCATGGCATTCAATCCAGCCTCCTGGTGCAAGGTTTCTGCGCTCGCTATTAGCAGTTTGTCTCAGAAATTTGATAGAAAGAAAGGGGGTATTACGCAAATGCATTTTCAAACAACTTCTTGGGATTTTGTATTGTTTGTAAGAACGATCGCATGTGAATGAGATCGGCGTCGCGATAGATGCTGGTCCACGGCCGATGCTGATCTTCAAGATCTTCAATCCGCCATTCGAGGTTAGGCGGCGCCCATGTAGGCTGTATAGGAGAAAGGTCTGTTCCAATGACGCGAGCGCTGGGATACTTTTCCGCGACTTGATGTGAAATGTTAGCACTATGACGCTGGACAATGCAGGTTCGCTTACCATCCATGGCCCAAAAGCCCACGCCTGTGCCGAGATCGACAATCTTTTGTGGATATTCTTTTATAGGTGCGGCAAATAGTTTGCCGTCAAATATATAGTCAACATACATGGTATGCTTCATGCCTTCTCGGAGCTGCTCAGCATCATCGTTGGGCAGACCGTATCGGTCCATTAGAGCTCGGTATCGCCTGCATCACCCGATAAGCCTCTAAACTGCATGTTTTTGGTGAGCTACTCACCTTCCATTTTCATAAAAGTTCATCCGAGCTGACGACTTGAGTGTTGTGAACTCCGAGGGGTTGATGGACTCTTCATAGTCCGAAGTTGGCTCATCAAACGTGCTGTCGGTGTCCATTGCCTGCTGCCCAGAGCACGCATTAGTGCTCGTAACTAGACAGCTTACAGGCAGTAGGGGAAGCTGGTGTCGGGATATTTCGTGAGATGTGGTTGTGTGGTGGAGAGGTTGAGGTTTGCGATTACCAGTAAATTGGAACCAGCGCGGCCCGTTCGGTAGGTTCAGCGCTAACCAGAAAAGAAACCTGGGGATAGCTTTAGCGACGTTGGTTGGTGTGTTGGTCACATGCTGGACAGAACCGCAAACAAGGTAACGAAAGCTGACAAATGAACCAGTACGAGTAATTCTTGTTTTTAAATCAAAGTATATGGTTTAGATTTTATTTCTATTCTCCAACTTTTTGTTTATATTTTCGTTTCTATTTGGCAATTTCGCGTACTAGTTGGGACATGGGCCGTGTTGGTCGATCGTGCTCTTGCAAGCCGAGATCATCTCTCCAGAGTTCATACAGTGCTTCTTTCAAGGTTTCAGCGCATTTTTGTCCCTCAATTCCACCTCACAGTGTCACAAATCGAGATTTCCAGGTATTTGGCAGTGAAACCGTTGCACGATTCCATCCAACATGCAAGGTCGTATGACCACTGTTATACTGAAGATATCTTCCAAAAAGGGAGAGAGACATGAATGGAAAATGTAAAATCTATTGTATTACTCCCTGCATGTATAAACTAAATAAAAATATACTAATTTCACTTTAATATCATGTAATTTTGTAATTTTTCCGTGTGCAGTATATAGTTAGTAATAACGCCCCGGCTATCGCCACTCGGCTTGGTGGTGTAGTGGTTTGCATCCTTCTTTCGGGCTGCACCCAGTGCGCATAGCGTTCATAGAAGAGGTCCCGGGTTCGAATCCCGGCCAGGCCCAACTTTTTGGTCTTTTCTGTTTTGGATCTTGCAATTCTATTTCTTTTTGCTGAACGGAAGTACAAGTAGGTCGAAAATGATGCACTTGTTATATTTTTTTATTATTCCAGAAGGTCACAAACGTTGGCAGCTGAGCTGGTGAGATCGGAACTATAGCTTGCGTCAAACCGTGTGATGTGCGCCCAAGTCTGCCAATGAATTTAGTTGGAAACATTTGCAGTACTAAACACATTCTTTGGCCAGTAATCTTACTAAAGTGTTTTATTGGTTTATTACCACATTTAACTGATTAAACAAGTCCGTCGTACAAGGAGAGCGCCGAGACAATAGTCTCATCGCGCTTGCTCCCTTCCTTAAACTCCTCCAAATCAAGGCTGCCGTTCTCATCCTTGTCCATCATGCGGAAAATCTTGCGGACGCGCTTCTCGGGGGTATCTTCGTCCTCTGGGAGCTTAACCATGGAGCCGACCTAGTAAAACGGGAGATGTTAGTTGAGTGGAAAGAGTCGGGAGACGACGAGGGGCGAGTCTTACCATCTTGTAGATTGCCTCTACAATCTGAAGCATTTCATCGTAGCTAATCTTTCCGTCGCCGTCAATGTCGTACAGCTGGAAGGCCCAGTCGAGCTTGTCCTCCATCTTTCCTCGGCTAGTAACGCTGAGGGCGCAGATGAACTCCTTGAAGTCAATTGTGCCCGACTTATCACTGTCAAATACATTGAAGACATATTCAGCAAACGAACTGGGGTCACCAAAGGGGAAGAATTGGCGGTAAATCTTTTGAAACTCCTCCTTGCTCAGCATGCCTGACGGGCAATCCTTAAGAAAACCTGGTTGGATGGTGGTTAGTAGTGTTCAACAGTGGCGGCGCATTCGAAGCGGACAAGCCAAACTCACCCTTGTACCATTGCTGCAGCTCCTTCTTGTCGAAATGGGTGGACTTTTGCAGCTCGACGAGCTGCTCAGCAGAAAGCTTGGACTGCCTATTACGGTGGTAAGAAAATTAGCACTGCCTCCTTACTTTCACGATGTGGCGCGCGAACCAAGCCGTGGCAGCATCAGGCTGGCCAGCCTGTAATGACGTCGAGCCTGCAAGTTTTGGGGGGGACGGTCGGACCCTGGCAGTGGGCTGGTACGCCCACCGACTACCAACAACGCCCCTCACCCCGCTTGAGCGAGTCCGAGCTGTTATGCGACGCCTCCGGGCAGGGAAGCTGTGCGCAAAACAGGTCACGAGTCAGGCAGAATCGCCATCATGGAAAGGGAAATGCGGGAAAAGAAGGCCCCAACTTACGATTTTCCCATGTTTTATAGATGTGATGTGGTGACTGAGGGGTGAGGAAGGAGGACGTAAGCGCCGAGTGCGATTGGTATGAGTCGTGAACGCGCAAGCTCCGAGGTTGGAGTCGACAAAGCGATTGCTTAGGAAGAGTTTAGCTGTCGAGGGCACTTTGCTATGCTGTGAGTTGTATAGACGAGGCTCGCTGTTGTAGGATGGGGCGGCTGCAGAGAATCGTAGGGATATCTGGCGCAGAGGCAGCAGACAGTTGGTAGCTCAAAGGATGAGCGTCGATGGCGCGGGGTAGGCTGGTCTCGTTTTCGTAGACTGCGGAAAACGTGCTCTTAGTAGAGGTATCGAGGCGGGCGGTGTAATAAACAGAAAGACGAAAGAGCCAAGTGCGGGATGACAGGCAGAGCAGCAAACAACAAACGACAAAGGATGATGCAAGAGAGAGGAAGCCGCAAGAAGCAGCGGGAAAGCAGAGCCAAAAGCGCCCCAAGCATTAGCGGAGTTTCAGTGGGGTTCAGCAGGGCGGCTCTGCGTACGCCCGGGAGCAAGCTTGTGCTGTACCTGCGCCTACAGTACCTACCACCGAGCACGCCCACAGGGGGCGACGTTTCAGTGGGCGCAACCGCTGTAAACGTCGCCACCACTGTAGGAGTCGCCGGCAGCGGCCCCCCCCCCCCCCAAAAAAAAAAAAGCCGACGGGGGCGGCGTACAGCGGGCTTAGCCTGGCACGGACGTTGGTGTAATCAGTATAAAGTAATTTAGTTGGTCTAGCCTGGTGCTCGGCCGCACGCTAAATTGGCACTAAAAGTACCTAGGCAAATGTACCTAATGTACTGCATTATAGAGGACAGTAAATTGCTTGCTCTTGTTCCACTGGAACCGGTCTGTTTACTGGTTGACCTTTGTAGACACAAACAGCCATCGGATGCATCGCCACAGCCTCTTCCACCTCCCCTCCACGATTTCCCTTTGGCGTGCCTTTTGTTACTGTCCGTTTAGCTCGGACACGCGTCGACGGTCTCCAAGCCCGCCACTGAGGTTAAGCTCACTTTGTCACGATCTCGGGCTTTCGATGCTTTCTGTTACGCCCTCTAAATCTGGGTTACGCTTTGCACAGCCCCCGCCACCACCCGCAAAAAATCCATGCTTGCTTATGAAGACGACATGTCGTGTGCCTCTATTTTATTGCGCCGTGATTATAGATTATATAATATTGGTTTCATGGTTTGAAATACGTGCAAATTAATGAACGGAAGGCCACGGAAACAGCCAAGTTAGACACAATGATCGACAGGCTGGCGCGAAATAAGGTGGTGCAGAGCAAAACCTGCGACAAGGCTGCCACATGTAAAATGGCTCGAAACTTCTAACATCTATTTAGGCTCATTAGAAACTTATAGGCATATGTGCCAAGGTTTATCGAGCCCACCCTGCTTAGCCACACCTACCAAAGTAGGCAGGTCCATCTACAACAACCATACAATACCAACCTGTCTACTATAAAACATTACATCAACCATTATATACAAACGGATTCAGCGGATTCTAATCAAACAAAATGTATGCGTCGCTCATGTTGAAACTAAAGCTGCAGGTGGTTCCAGCTTATAACCCTATGAAAAATCCCATCATGCTCCATCCCAGTGGATATTCCAAACTCCTATAACCATGAAAAATAAACAAAGCCCTTCCGTCTTAAATCAGCCCAACATTACATCATGAGTCTATTGCCCGTCGCCATTATCCAACAACCGCCTTCATGCTCAGGCTCTCCAGGAACCCTCCAAGATCCTCCTTCTTGACTTCTACCACGCAATGCTCAAAGCTGTCGATGCGTACTCGTGCTTGTGTATCAGACACGACCTCCTGGAACGCAGTGCCGAATCGGTTGAAGCCGTAGCCCTTCTCGTGCTCAACTTCCTCGTCGGATTCGTCTTCCGACTCGGACGCATCAGAGCCCTCTGATTCAGTATCCAGATCTTCTGCCTCTTCTCGTGCAGCACGTTTTTGTTCACGAATCTTCTCCTTAGCGAGTCGTGATTGTTCTTTCTTCTTGGCTTTTTCGGCTTTGGCTGCTTGACGCTGCTTGGCTGTTTCTCGGTCCATAAATGTTGTGTCTGGGCCACCACCTCCGCCAGTACCAACGACGACATAGACGCCGCGCTTCTCCTGCAAGCTTGCCACCACAAGAGGTGTGCCGCGTCCTCCATGAGAGAGCTTTCCTTGCGATTCTCGTTCCTGTTCAGCGAGAGCCTCACCAATCCAGAGCGAAAGCTTCGTCAATGCAGCCGGGTGAGTGAAGAGGGCTACATCTGGTCCGTCTTTCACAACGCAGAGTCGGAAGGCGCGCAGATGCTTGATCTGCTTCTTGTTGATGAGTGATGTGCCGGTTCTGTAAATGGCTCTGTGCAAAAACTGCGCAGTCGGAAGGCCTGCCTTAAGAGCATCAATGCTGCTACCGTTAGCAAAAAGTATTATTACGTTATGATACGAGTGATATTGCGACTTACTCTTCCAACGCGTCGTAGGCATCCCAGAAACGAGTGATCCATTCTTCGCCTTGGGCAGCGAATTCCACATCGTCTGAAACGTCACGGCTAACTTGGCTAGCCGCGAAGCCGCCCTCTGGGGTTTGGGTATGCTTGCCAACCTCCAAGAGGGCACCAATGACAACACCAACATCCTGAGCGGACAAAGTTGCTCGCCAGCCCCAGCTTCGGACAAAGCCCCAGCCGTCCTTGGCGCCGGCACGGTCCTTTCCATCTGTATCGACAGCGGGCACCATTTCGTCAAGGTTGTATAACGAGCCATACTTGAGAAGCTTGGCTCGCAACTCTCGTTTCAGCATCATGTCCATATGCGTATAACTTTGCTTGCACTGAGCTAGACTGACACCCATTTTCGCGAGAAGCTTATGCAGACGCTTGATACCAGTCTCGCTCCACGTCTTGAGGCGTGAAAAGAGGTATGGCGAATGCAGCATGCTATCGTAGAGACTCCAGTGGCGGATGAGCAGGAACCGGGGCTCTGGTGACAGTCGAATTCCCGTGTCTTCTGGGTTCCTCGCTGTTGTGGGAATGACACCCGTGTTTTCAGGTGCTACGCGGCCGTTGAGAACCTCGGGGGGATTCAATCTACGGACTTCATCACGCATAAGCTGGCGAAGACGGGCACCACGGACTCCCATCCAGCCGGTTGGGCGGCTCTTGTCCGTCACACGAACTGGAGCAGCAACACCCGCTGACGAGCGGCCGTAGAGTTCCATGGATGTGACGCCGACAATGGTCAGCCAAAGTAAGTCGTTGTCTTCACGACCTAGCTCAGAAGCCAAAGAGTACATGAGAGATGAGATAGGTTCAGAAAAGGAGGAACCCATCTTGTAGTACTGTTGTAGCACATTTTCGTTTTCGCGTCGCATTCGGAGCAGTCGTCGTCTGAGAGCTCTAGCAGATGGAGCCGGGGGAAGCTGCGCGGCTGATGGAGGCTCCATTGGATCACTAGACATACCAACGTCATTGCCGTTGACACTGATGAGCCCGCGCTGTTGTGGGCGAGAAGGTGAGGGGAGAGGAGTGGACTAGATAACTCGTGTTAGTTGCAGATCTCGACATTCTGTATATCAACTCTACGACTTACCGAGTTGCTACGACGCCGTTGACGCGGTCTGTCGTCTTCATCGCTCGAGTCTTCATCGGCGTCATCCGACCAGCTCTTGCGTTTTTGACCAGCATGTGCCGGCACTTGTAAATCTTCATCATAGTCGTCGTCATCGTCGTCGCTATTTCTACCCAGCTCGTCGTCGCCGACCTCGGGCATATCTACCAGGGCCAGATACGCGTCGCGCTCGGCGCCGAGATCTTCTTCAATGTCACCGTCGTCAAATACGACAATGCCACCCTTTCCAGATTGATAAGCACGACCAATTTGGCCACCCGTGATACCAACTGGACTCCGTGACTGGTAAGAGCTGGACATCTCTGTGCTAGGTTCGATGCGGAAACCGCCAAAGACATTGGCAAGGTTCCAAGGGCGATGAGCGTCCATGACCCAGACCTCGACGCCGCTATATGTGTTTTCTTCACCCTCCGGCTCTAAGCCAAGCAAGGGTCCCAGGTCGACCATACCACCGACGCCGAGGCAGACGACAAGTCCGCCAGCACCGCCTTGAGACTCCATCATGGGAGTGACGAGCTCGCGACCGGCCTTTTCCAGGTCAGCGTAGCCAGCAATGGGCTGGATCTTGTGTGGGATATAGTCATGCTTGAGAAGACGAGTGAGAATGCGGCAGCCGCAGAGAGCATCGGGTTCGAGGGCGACCAGGATGAGCACCGGCGGCGAGAGCGGATGTCGGGAGTTTTGCAGGTGGGTGTAGAGTTTCGAGATCAAAGACCGCGGCAAATACATGGTGACGGCGTAGCAATGGCGTTGGAGAGGTCTTCAAGTCGCGGATTCATGGATGAGCGAGAAAAGAAGCCGTGTTGGAGAGTCGAATTGTGCTTGAGCACACACGCGTAAAGAGGCGTGACTGGGCGACACGGGGACCGCCTTGGATGATTTTCGATGCTGATGCAATGCTTTGATAACAATGATGTAAATGGAGAAAAGCGAAAAAAAAAGTAATGCCAACAATAAAATACGGGAAAGAAAAAAAGTACTTTTGCGTTTTTTTTTTTCCTTGCTTGTCACGATGCTGCTGCAGAAAAGTACATGACAATGGTGGTGGTCTTGAAAGGGAAGAAAGCTGAGCGGGTGTTTTCTGGGGTGGCCCGACGAGACGCGCCTTGCCAGGGACCGTGGACGCGACTTGTGCTGTCTTTTTTTAATGGGGCCCTTTTTCGGTGCAGTATAGCGTGTTGGGGCGTGCGGCTGGTCCCGCGTAGCGCTGTGTAGTGGGGGGCCAGGCCGCTGTAACTTAGCACACGCTGCTGAAGATGTGACGGGGAATTCTGCGACATTGCATCCGAACAAGGAAGATGGAACAGTGCAAAATAAAGTGAGATTGGCAATTCCTGTGTGTAAATGAGCACTTTTCATGAATCGCTAAAATGCATCCCTCCTCCTGTAAGGCTCCATTGCGCATCATTAACCAGACCAGTACAGTACGACTCCAACAACGAGCCTCGCCAATTATACAATCACATATCGACAGAGCTTCAAAAGATGCAAGTTGGAAAAAAAATATCAAATTACATTGGCCTACTATTAAGTGGCGATATCTGAGCAGATAAATAACTACCTACTACCGGTTCATATACTCGTGACCATGGAGGCCTTCAGAAAACATCAAACGCAACTCCGGTTGTTTTTTGTGCTTTGGTATCTCCAACGCCGCCGTTCCCTACATTTACCACTCCAAGGGCTCCTTCTTCTCTTCACCACGATTTGTCTTGGGAACAGGAACTGCCTTGGCGGCCAGCTTTCCGCCCTGGCCCTTGCGCTTCAAATACGACTTACCATCCAACCAGGGGGTAACCTCAGTCATGCGCTTCTCGAAAGCGGCAATCTTGTCTTCCTGTTGCATGGTCAAGCCAATGTCGTCGAGGCCGTTAACCAGGCAGTGCTTGCGGAACTCTTCCACGTCAAACTTGCAAATGGCATCGCCCGCAGAGTTGTTGATGACCTGGTTCAGGAGGTCGACTTCAACCTCACGGCCAGCGCGCGCCTCGGCAGCAATGGCATCCAAATCGACCTTGTTCTCTACGCGGAGAGGCAACATGCCGTTCTTGAACATGTTGTTGAAGAAGATATCGGCAAACGAGGGTGCAATGACACACTTGATGCCAAAGTCAAGGAGGGCCCAGGGAGCATGTTCACGCGATGAACCACAGCCAAAGTTCTCGCCAGTGACAACCAAGATCTTGGAACCACGGTAGGGCTCCTGGTTCAGAACAAAGTTGGGGTTCTCCGAACCGTCTTCGTTGTATCGCAGGGCGTTGAAGAGGGCAGTACCAAGACCAGTGCGCTTAATGGTCTTGAGGAACTGCTTGGGGATAATGGCATCAGTGTCAATGTTGGCCATATCCATGGGAGCAGCAATGCCCTTGAGAACCAGGAACTTGGTCAAGCCAGCAGATGCAACCTCACCTCCAGCAGCAGAAGTAGCCGCAGGCGAAGAGGTGGTGGTCTCGTCCGAGCTCATCTCCTGGTCGGAGCCGGAGTCAGCCTCCTCATCAACATAGGGCTTAGCGCTACCAGCGGCGTGGGCCTCAATGTGAGGGCTAGTGGTGTAGTCGGAGAATTTGCGAACATCAGCAAGCTTTCCGGCAATGGCAGCAGCAGCGGCCATGACGGGTGACATCAGGTGAGTGCGGCCACCAGCGCCCTGTCGGCCCTCAAAGTTTCTGTTAGAGGTACTGGCGCAGCGTTCCTTGGGGGAGAGAATGTCGGGGTTCATTCCCAAGCACATGGAGCAACCAGCTTCTCTCCACTCAAAGCCAGCGTCGACAAAGATCTGGTCGATGCCCTCCTCTTCGGCCTGCTTCTTGACCAGGCCAGAGCCGGGGACGACCATGGCACGCTTAATGTTGGCAGCAATCTTTTTGCCTTGAACAACACGGGCGGCAGCACGCATATCCTCAATACGCGAGTTTGTGCAAGAGCCAATGAAGACCTTGTCGACAACAATCTCCTCCATGGGCGTACCGGGCACCAGACCCATGTACTCAATCATGCGACGGCCAGCCTGCTTCTTGCTCTCGGTAGCGAACGTTTCGGGGTCGGGTACGCATCCGGTGATGGGGACGACATCCTCAGGGCTGGTGCCCCAGGTGACAGTAGGAATGATGTCCTTGGCATCAATAAAGACGTCAACGTCATACTTGGCGTCGGCGTCAGACTGGAGGTCCTTCCAGTAAGCAACAGCGCGGTTCCATTCGTCGGAGCCAAACTTCGGAGCCAGAGGTCTTCCCTTGAGATACTCAAATGTGATCTCATCAGGAGCGACCATGCCGGCACGGGCACCACCCTCGATGGACATGTTGCAAATGGACATGCGGGCTTCCATGCTCAGAGCACGGATTACCGAGCCACAAAACTCAATGACAGCTCCGGTACCACCGGCAGTACCAATCTTTCCAATGGCGTGGAGGACAACATCCTTGGAGCTGACACCGGGGGCGAGCTCACCATCCACCTGTATTCTCATGTTCTTGCTGCGTTTTGTGATGAGGCACTGGGTGGCGAGCACGTGCTCAACCTCACTGGTGCCGATACCAAAGGCAAGGGATCCAAAGGCGCCATGGGTAGATGTATGACTGTCGCCGCAGACAACAGTAGTACCGGGAAGGGTGAAACCCTGTTCGGGGCCAATGACGTGCACGATACCCTGTCTCTTGTCGCCGAGACCAAAGTAGGTGAGGCCAAAGTCCTTGACGTTTTCTTCAAGGGTGACACACTGCGTGCGCGAATCGTCCTCCTCGATGAAAGACGCAATGTCCTTCATGCCTTTGCGGGACGACGTGGGGACATTCTATTTAAAATATAATAGTCAGTATAAAAGTCCGGCGCGAGCCGCAGTAATGAGAAGATCTACGTACGTGATCGGTAGTGGCGAGGGTGCAGTCCGGTCTGCGGACTGGGCGGCCAGCGTTCTTCAGGCCTTCAAAGGCTTGCTGTATATGACGTATTAGTTTCTGTGCTTCATACTCGAGATGTGGTCGCTACGGTTCCCGTGTTGTACAGACGCGCGTGAGGGAGCACGATCGATCGGCATCGTGAGCGGGGCATCCAATCCAGCGAGTGATCTGGCGATGTTTACGTACAGGAGATGTGACTTCGTGGACGAGGTGACGGTCTAGTTGATTGCCATGTTAGCCAGCTGGCTCACGTGCGACAGCGCATACACCATTCAATTCACTCGACTTACCAATGTAGAGCAAAAGAGTGCCGTCGAGCTTCTCATCGACAATGTGCTTCGACAGCACCTTGTCGTAGAGGGTCTGAGGTTTTGATACGGATCCGGGCATGATGAAAGATGTGAAGGCGGAGGGAAGATAAAAGAGGAGAGAAAACAGAGATGAAAAGAGAAGAGAGGAGGAATTGAGGCCAGCAGGTGATGGGCCAGCGGAGCTCTCTTATTTAGGTGGCCGGATACGGAAGCGCAATGCCAGCGGGTAGGCACACCTTGATTTGATGGTACTTTTTTTTTGGAGGGGCTAAAGCATGTGCTGTAGCGGCAGCCGGTTGGAAACTTGGATTTTTCTTGCGACGCTTCACAGATGCTTCACAACAATAGGAATGTTTATTTTTTTCTCTTTCAATAAAAGAATTGCCCTCTCCTATTTATATCAAGTCGCATAATTTCTGTACTCCGGCCTCTCCTACGCCGGCTTCGCTCTCCTACTTCGCCCTCACTTCCGATTATCGGAGCCTGCTGTTTGCCTCCGCGAACCGGCGCAGTTGATCGCGGGGCCGATTTCTGCTGCGGCCGCCCCTCAATTTGTAAATGGAGGCCTACCATTGGCCGCTGGCCCGCTGTAGCATGCACCCGCACATCCACTGACGTCCACTGGACCCCCGCCTGTAAATTTGGCCACCGGCCCGAGTTTACCGCCTGTTATTCGCAAACATAGATTTACGGCTATTAAAGGCAATACGCCTTGTGAATTGCGGGGGTCAAGAACAGATACCCTGTGTATATCGATGATTTATTTATGCGTTGTATGGATGAATTACGGGCCTACACGGATCCCAAAGCTAGAGCTACCTATAAACAGCGCCAAACCCTGCTTGAAGTTGCTCACAAAGTAACACACTCAACTCCATTGCCTAAAAGAGTAGAGAGATCCCACCCACAACCAATGGCAAGGCCATAGCCATGGCGACAGAATCCAGACCTGTTGCTAAACCCTTCGATTGCCGTGCCCAGAGACTAGAATTGGGTACAAATACCGGCTGTACAATGCGCCAGTACGCAAACATGAATCCTAAGCCAAACAAGGTACAGCGTAGGCATAAACCTATAGCAAAACTTGGTAGTCTGCGACAAAAGGCTTTCAAATCAATCTCCAAAGGACTTTCGGTGCCTTCGCTTTCGTTGGGGAATGTACCAGGGAGTGTTGGCATAGGAAGATGTTCCAGTCTCACTATCAGTATTTCCTCCTTCTCCTCGACTTCGGTAGCTGCGGGACTTGGGTTGGATGTTTTTGTCTGGGTATGGTCGGTCTTGCTCTCGTTCCTCACAGGGGAGACGAAGTGAACGGACTCTGGTGCCTGACGGCCGTGACGATTGGAGGTAGTAGCGGTTGTAGCTTCTCTTATCTGGCATTGCTGCCTCTCCAAGACATTCGATAACGGCTTGATCTGGTATGTTGTGGTATTGCGTCGTGAGCAAATCTCCAACACTGACGGCTTGGGTTGACCGGATGCCACGGTTTTGGCCCGTGGCGGAGATGCCGACGAATTCCAAGTCGACTTCGGCTGGCCGAAGCCAGTAGTGATGGTGGTGGGTGTGCAAGCAGACTCGGCTATTTTGGCGATGTCGTTGATCGTCTGCTGGCCCCAATGACCTAAAAAAGACTTATCACCTGTAATATTTGTTTGTTCTTGATCATGTGAAATCTTCGAAACTTTTGGTGTTACAAGGTTTGTGTCATTTTCTCGCGACTTGGGTGAAATTGGTTCAACAGAAGCCCATTGTTTTGTTTGCCGTCTCCATTGTACACCAGCTGCCATATCGGATTTTTGGACCTGCTTTTGGCTGTTACGATACGATTTGCCTTCTTTATCCAGTAATATGCTTCTCATCTCCCGATCTGTCCATGCTGTGACATCTTTGTAGGAATCCTTGGCGTCAGAGAGAACTTTGCGAATTGCGTGGATTCGTTCGAGAGCTCTTTCACCCCCAGAGCTCTGTCCACTCTCTGTTGGTGTACTGGCATCGAGCTTCCCGGTGTCAGGATTGATTCCTTGTACACCCAAGTAGTCCCCGCTTTCTTTCAGGCTCTGCCTTTGGCGGCGAGCTTCTCTCTTGGCTTCGATGGCTCGTCGAGCAAAGGAAAGACGACGGTCCATTTGTGAAGCAGAAACCGAGGCTGACTCTTTACGCTGCTGGTTATGTGACACCAAGTCCTGCTCCAGCCTTTGGTTCGGAATCTGAATGCTCAGAGGTCTTGGGGGCTGTGGGCGTGGTATTCTTTTGGCGGTGTTCCAACGTATAAGATCGTCTGGGCCAGAGAGCCTGCGAGCTTGTTCATCCTCTACAGACTGTTGGGGGAAGGTTGACGTTTGATGAGCATCGATTTCTTCCCAATATCCGTGGGATCGGATCGTTCCTCCCTTTTCTGAACGCCGGCTGGGTAAGACCTTTGCCAGCTTAGCGATGGCACCACGCTGGCTAGTATTTGAGCGATGGCGGAGGGTCCGTGAATGTAGAGCAGACTGTTTTTCTGAGGAGGATTCTGACTTTGAAGAAAGAGAGGGGGACATGTTTGTTTGTGAATATGGTGCCAGCTGGCAAACCTGTCAGGCAATCTAGGGTATCACGCCGGCCGTAAGAAACTGGCGAAAGTAAATGCAGCAAATAATACTTCAACTTGAGGATTTAAAAGTAGTGATACTCAGGCACTAATAACGTGAATACATTATACATACCAAGTTAAAAAGAAAGTAGCCTACATCGCGATGGTATATTATCTCGTGTGGTATGGCAGCTGCGACGCGGAAGAAAACGGGAAGGCACACGAAGTACTTTTTTAGAAGATAATGAGGAAAAAAAAATGAATGCTTGATTATGCCAAAAAATATTACGTAGCAACAGTCCTTCTTTACCACCGGGGGCGCGAGTTTTCTTGCTGATTTCGCTGTCTTGCCGCGTTCAACTGCTGAGACCCTGCACTGAAGCTTTTTCTACCTGGCTGTCTAGGCCCAGTAGCTGGGATGGGACTGCTCATAAGTTCGTTACTATTTTCATCATTGAAGCCATTGAGCCCAAAGCGAGGTGGATTTTCTTGCGCGCCAAGCTCGTGAAGGCTGACAGTCTTCTTCAGAGGAGAGATGGCACGCGCGTGTACCGTGTTTATTCTGTCGGCAAATGGGCCAACCGCGGATGTAGTATGTGGCAAAGCGTTTGTTGACACGGAGCCAGGTAGCCGTCCAGCGGGCAAACTGCTCCGGTGCATGGTGCTTCGTAGACTGGTGGAAGGGGTAAGGAACGTATCTGATTTGCGTGGCGCAGTGGACGGAGTAAACATCTGTGGCCGTGCCATAGGAGTGTTTGTTGCTGTGGATGTGACGGTTTCTGTTGCGTCAATATGCGGGTTGCCGTTGGTTCTGAATGTTCGTCTGATGAGTGTCGTAGGGGTTCCAATTTCCACAACGTCGAAGCTGTCGGGTAGATCGTCCGAGGTCTGGATACCAACATCTCGTACAACTGGGTGAAGGAGAGGGTGCACAAACTTGGTGTCGTACTCGTGCATCACCTCTTTCTGAATGATGGAGTTATCTCGGGCTTGTTGCGTAAACCGGGATGAGATGAACACCATTTGGCAGGACAACAGTAGTTGCATTAGGATAGTGTTGAAGATCGTCATACTGGGTCGCGGGTCAAGAGGAGCAAGAGGCAGGAAAACCAAGTAAACTAAAACATGACCAGGGCTGAAGAGGCAGAATAGTCGTAGCGAAACTGGCAAGGGATCCCAGACAGACAGCTCCCAAACGTCCCGCGACTTGTCTGGGTGTGCTCGCGATTCAGCAGCCTCAGGTGTTATAATATTCGAGATAAATCGCAAAGGGGATGATGTGGCGGATGTGGACTGTACAGGGACTCGTCGAGCGGATGTGGTTGCGGGCTGAACATCGATGTTTGCCTCAAACATTCGGTACTTTCGTGTTCTTGAGATTGTGTAAACCGCGTTCGTGACCGACAAAGCAACAAGGCCCCAGACGAAAGGGAAGATCTAACAGTCAGGTTTGGTTAGCATGCGATTCAGAAGGGGCAAAACATCCAGCTCAAAAATGATGCTTACAATAAGTGATGTCCAACTCCTGCCTTGCTCCTCGCCAAACACATCGTCGTTGGCAGATTCCGAGCCATGATTTGCGCGAGTAAGCAAGAAGACAAAATTCATGCCCAGTCCAAGCTGCGTACCCAGTTGCGCCGAATCCCAGTCTCGTGTCTCCATCTCCTCTGAGAGCCAAAGCAGGGCATCCATGGGATTCAGATGGGCGTAGATGCGCTGCAGCAGCGGCTTTCGTCGGACAAGGCGCGGCATGGCGAGTATTGTGCCTTGTGCAGGGCTCTGAGATTAGTTTTTATGCGCCGTAGAACCGAAAGCGTCCAAACAGCCCAGGCCGTGCTGATGCTTTCGTTTGGTAATGGTGGTTAAGGCGGTGGGTTGGCAGAAATGGATTGTTTTGAACAATTACGTCGATGCCTGGGTGATACGTTGCCGCTTTAACGACAGATCACAGAATGGGGTGCTAAACCTGAGTAGGTTTCTAATAGCGGCGGTGCGACCGGCCTTGGAGTGCGTGGGCCATGCTGCTAGCGGGGCCAGCGCTAGATGACCCAAGCTTCTAGCCAGACAACCGCATCCTACTCCAAACCAAGCTGTTACATCTACGATCGCAGAGACACAGAGGGTGTCTGAGGTACATTTAAGTATGGCATCGCAAGCAGATTTCAAAGATAGACAGTTCCTCGCCGTAATTGGCGATGAGGTACGCTGCACGCCCAACAAAGCTGGCAAAAACGAGAAGAGAAACTGACGCTTTGCTAGGACTCCGTAACAGGATTGCTGCTTGCTGGCATCGGCGTGAGTATAAAATGGTATACGGATTACTAAAGACTAGCTTATTGACTGCCTATTTACAGCACGTCTCCGCCGGCGCCGACGCTCAAAAGAACTTCCTCGTTGTGGATGGCAAGACGGACACCGCTGCCATCGAGTCTGCCTTTGATCAATTCACAGAAGAACGCAAGGATATCGGCATCGTTCTTATTAACCAACACGTAGGGAGACGATATTCCGATACTGTATTTGCTTTATAACGTTGCTAACGAGTTGACCAGGTTGCGGACAGAATACGACACCGAATCGATACATACACTGCTGCCTTCCCAGCCGTTCTCGAAATCCCCAGCAAAGACCACCCATATGACCCTGAGAAGGACAGCGTATTGAGAAGAGTACGAAGACTGTTTGGAGAATAAACGCTTGATATATGTCTTCTTTTTGTGGCTGGCCAAGGATGGATGGCATTTGGGTGCGGGCATTTGTTTTTCGGCGAATAGAATTTACGTTTGCTGCCACGGCGAACGACTGTTTATCAATACTTTATAAATTCATCATATTTTTCTGCAATGGATTAAACATCTTCTAGAGTGACTCACTTTGCCGGAATATCAGCGAGTGTCTTTTAAAACAACCGTGTATTTGTCTGATATGCAACATGCCAAAAGTCTATGCTAATCACCATTCATTTATCGCTATACATCAACATGTGGTACAAGGAAACAAGTATAATCAGATAGCAGCTTAACGAAGTTCTTCGGGCTCAGACTCTGATCGGCCACCAAAGGTAAAGTTGACGGTTGCTGTGAGGCAGGTAATAGGTTTGTCATCCTTGGTGAACACATCTGCCTGCACCGTGTATTTGCCCTGTGCACTTTTGTTAGTTTCATTACATGCAGAAGGCACAGAGAAGCGTAAACTTACAGGAGGGATTTCAGCGGGAAGGTCAACCGTCTTTACAATGTCCTTGTCTCCAGGCTCCAAGGGGCATTCGAGATCGACGTTGGCAATCTGCTCGCAGAGGCTCGCCGTTGTTGTCAGGAGCTTGATAAGGCCATATTTGACGCTAATTTTAACATATGCTCCGTCGCTGATAGTTTCTTTGATGGTGCCGCTGGCTGTGATGAGAAGCTCCTTGCCGCTAGGTTTCAAGTTAGTAATGGGATTCGTCACATGGGCAGTGACGGCAGAGGCCGGGAAGCTGCTTACGCTTTGGGAGGGTTGGGAGAGAGGTCGACGTTCTTAATAACGATGAGGTCGTCGGAATGGTCGCCGTCGCAGAGCTCTAGGGGCGACTCGCCAGGGATTTTGTTGTCGTCGTCAGAAATGGTGACCTGGCTGCCCTTGAGGTCAAAGAGGCTCAACGCAGCGGCAGTCGGCGACAGCAGGGCCGTAGTGCCGGCGAGGACAGCAGCAAACTTCATGTCGAACGGCTTCTGTGTGCTCTTCGGTCGTCTATAGTCGTCGAAAGGCGGACTTATTAGCAATGTCGACTCTGTTGAGGAGCGTGATGGTCATAGAACAGATGGGCGGCTACAGAATGGCTGGTAGGCGTTGAGCTAATGCGTCATGAGACCGGTACTCCACCTTGATTGGGGACCTGGGCCAGCCTAGAGTAGCACCAGAGACAGGTGTTGGGTGTGGCGCCTGTTTAGGCTGGGCTGTGCTAGAAACTGTCACTATGCAGCGCTAGTACAGAGGTCCATACATGCTTTCTTGCCACTCACGGTGACCAATGCAAATAAAATATTGAAAAAATTGGAGACTAACTTGGAATCCTGTACCAATACTTCTTGCCCGTTAATTTTACCACCATGGCTTTGTACGCGTGAGACTTGTCATACCAAAACAGCTTGTTTGCTTGGAGGCTGAGACCAAGCAGACAGCCCCAGGCAGCAAGCAGGCCCTGCACGGACCAAGCCATTTCCTATATAACTAGGCACCGTCGCCGCCCATCTCTTGCTTTTTCTCTTTTCTTTTCTTCTTCATACTTACCTTGTTCCAGTATCCCGAGATCATGAAGTCGGGATCCTAGTGTAAACTGCCTGCATTGCACAGCGCGGAGTTTGCTTATGCTCAGTTGCCGTTCTGCGGCCGCTGGGAGCGGAATTTTTGTTTTCTTTCATTGCGGCTGGTGCTACATGTACCGTCATGAAGAAGGAATTTTGATCATGGATGGAAGTTACAAAGGGCACAGAAACTAGCTACGATATGAAAAATATGTGTGTCGCGTCATGGCATACTGTCGAAAGTATAGAAGGCTTACACTATTACTGAGCTGCTACCAAAATGACACTACCATTGATAGACCTGCTGCACTGTAAAGGAGCCATAGTTGGCGTCTCGAAATAGTGACACCGCTACCCAGGCATGTTCTAATTGCGCCCGGCTTGCCATTGGTCCAATTCTATGGCGCTTTACGCACTAAACCTAATGCAGGTCAGACCCCACTTTCCCTAAAATCATGTAACCAATAGAATGCACGTAGACCCGCTTTTAAATGAATATCCTTGTCAGGTGCAGGAGCAGCGAGGAAGCGTCGCAATCGAAAACACAGAAGAAAAGGGAAAAGCGCTGAACGCGCTGCCCATGCCCGCCCCGCTTTCGTCAATCTCTCTCCTCTTCGCCTTTCCTTGTTGATCTTGTTCTGCGCAATACGCCGGTCTCATCTGCGACAAAGCCCAACCTCGACTGCAAGCGAAACGATATTCCAATACTTGAAAAAAGAAACAAGGGGGGAGTTGGTGCTGAAAGCGGATAGGAGCCATGTCTTTATTTCACACTCGGGTGGAGGGCCAGCTTTGCACGCTGCGACTTGCCGACAGACAGGGCAAGACAGGGCGACTTTAAACCCTGGCGCCTTAAAGGCTGGCCGTTTTGGCGTCAACAATGAGCGAGCAAAGAGCGTCGACCAGCGAGCCGCGATAACCACTGTTGTTCAACTTGTAGAAGACGACCCTTTTAGCGCGATTTAACATTAGCATACCAGGCATAGTTTGGCAAAAGGCATTGGTAATGACGCGGGAAGAGCCAAGGTAACTTTCACACGGTGTCTTCCCCTGAGGGGCCTGGCCACTACCCAGCAGACAGAGAGACCATGACTGCTGTGCTCTTTGCCACCGCCTACGAATGCAAGCACTGCGCTGCGAGAACAGAAAAACACACAGTTTGGGGTGGACTGTGAGCGTGAATTTCGTTTGGTTGCCAAATTTGTCGAATAGCAGTTGTTGAATGCTGCAGCAACCTGCGGCACACGGTGCTTATCATGCACAAGAGACCACGCCGGCGACGAGGGGGAGCTGACGCCTCTCGCTCTCTTTTCCCCCAAACGGATGCGCGGCGCAACGAGCAGGAAAAAGATGGGCGAGATTGAATGCGCAAAAGCAACAGCGCCCCATTTCTCAAGAGTTGTGTTTAGTTTAGCGCGTAGTGTTAGCCTAGTTTTGCCCCTCTGTGATTGGGTCTGCTCAGAATCAGGCGCTGGGTGCTCTGTCTTTTTTGGCTACGAGCCCGTCCCAATGACTCCAGCGTGCAGTTAGCGGTGCGTTTAGTGCGCAGCGCCGCCCAACCAGCAGCCAGCGCCCGCCTGGTGCCGCAGGATTAGGAGGGGACGACGCCTGTATTTTTGTCCCCACACCCGCTGGGCTGGTGCTTTGGGCTCTGCTGGGCCTCTTTCGTCTCCCCTTTGGGGGCCTCTCGGTGGGTGCTGCGTGCGCTAAAAGGTGCCACTGGATGCTGCTGTCGGCGAGTGCTGGAACCAACTGCTGCTATTTTTTTTTTCTCGCGCACGCCCACCCCCCCTCTCGCCCCCCCGAAAAAAAAAAACACAGGCCAAGCAAGGGTGCCGCTCTCGTTCGACCAGTGGGAAAAAAAACGAGAGCGTCCCCGGCAAAGAGCCTTTCCTCAATCGCTCACTCTTCGCCCGCCCCCAGAACTGGCGTCTCCTCCTCCTCCCCCATCCTTCCAGTCGCCCTCGACCTTTTTCCCTCCTCCTTCTTCCTCCTCTGCCTTTTAATTCTTCGCTCTCTAACGCCCCCTTTCGATTCTACGCTTACGCGGCTCGTATTTCTTTTTTAAATCCTCTCGATACTCTCCCATTCTTCTTTCGCCCCCTGCTGGCTTTTTCTCGACGCCCTTGCCCCGGTACGACTCTCGACGCGCACGAGTCCTCGCCCAGGAGTTTCTCTCGCAGATTGTCCCTCGGCCCTCGTTTCCTTCAAACTCAACTCACAACCCCAACAAGGCCTCAGACGTGCTCTAGTGGCCTTATATTTGCAGCCGAGAGCAGCAGAAACACGTTACCGAAAAAAATAATTTAATACAGCGCCGCGCGACACCGCTACCCTTCTGCGCCCACTTTGGTTCGCTCCTCGCGCCAGCCAAACATCGTGACTCTACGGTCATCCCCAACCTGTAGGCGCCGCTTCGACACTCGAGGCTACATTCTGACTCCTACCCGAGTCCGTTGCACGTCGTAAACCTTGCGCGCGTCCCTTCTGGCGTCGCCATGCTTCCCAGACTTCGCACGTAATCTCACGACCCGACGCCTTCCTAACCTGACAATACACCCTCGAGGCCCCCATGATTATGACGGAAAAGGTGGCTTCGCTGCCAACGCCAGTCGCAGTCCCTAGTCAGCCCACTGCCTCGTCTCCTGGTCCCACCGTCGTCAAGGACGAATCCTCGCACCAGGATGACACGGCAGACGAAGAGCCCTACACAATCAAGTGTATCTGCAACTTTACTGACGATGATGGAAATACAATCTACTGCGAGACCTGCGACACATGGCAGCACTTGGACTGCTTCTACCCAAACAACAGGGAGGAAGCGACCCGCGAAGACTTCGCACACTCTTGTGCTGACTGCAAACCGCGTCCCCTGAACCGACAAAAGGCCATCGAGCGAACTCTCCGTCTAAAGAGCGTTGGTCTTGATGACGATACTCCAGGTGGCGACAAAAAACCGAAGCGACCGCCCACGAAAACCGCAAAGAAAAAGACGAAACCGGCCGATCTGCAGCTCAACGGTACCGACGCTTCCAAGCACCCGAGCCCCTTGGACAGCACCTCCAATCCGGCAAAGAAGCAGAAAAATGGCCATCGCCCTACACAATCTACAAGCTCTCAAGCTCCCAAGCGCAGTCCTTCGCAAGGAAACGTGCGCATTAACCCCGCCCACCCCCCTAGCCCTGCCACGACCCCTCCTGATCTCCCTGATGATTTCCAAATACACCACTACTCCGCTGGCTTTTACTCTCTCTACAACGAGCAAGAAGTCCCGCAGACAGAGAACAACTCGTTTGCTAGCATAGCGATCCCCACAGCGCTGGCTCGTTGGCTCCATGAGCCCGAAGTCATGAAGCAGGAGGTGGGCAGAACACACAAAGAAGTCTTTCAAGACGAGCCGGCGACGCTCGAAGGCGAGCGACCGGAGCTCAAGGTTGCAGACGCCACTCGTTCGTTAGACTCTGACAATACGCTTCGCTGGCGATTCCTTCAATCCACAGCCGCTGTCGAGAAGGATGTTCCGCTCATCGAACTCAACGGCGCAATTGGATTCCAAAAAGATTACTGTACTGACCAGGATAATTTATGGACCGACCTCTCCTCTCCCCTCCCCTTCGTTTTCTTCCACCCTGTTCTCCCGCTCTACATCGACACTAGAAAGGAAGGCTCCCGCGCTCGTTATGTGCGACGCAGCTGCAAGCCTAATGCACAGCTCGATACATACTTATCAGGCGGATCCGAGTATCACTTTTGGATCGTCTCTGACAGACACATTGCTGCTAATGAGCAAATCACACTGCCGTGGGACTTTCGTTTAGAAAAGTCAGTCTGCGCTCGATGGCTTCGCTTCCTCGGCTTGAGCGATGAGGATACTACCCAAGAGAGCCCAGAACTTGACAATGCAGAGTACAACGCCATATCGAACTGGATCGATCGTATCTTGTCAGAATATGGTGGTTGCGCTTGCGAGCTCGAGAACAACTGCGCTTTCGCACGCTTCCACCGACGTTACCTTCATGGCAAGAACCAAGCAAGGAGCATCAAGAAGAAGCAAAGACGCTCTCGCAACCACACAGTATCTCCCACCAGCACTGGACACGCCACAAATAGCCGTGCTGCCAGCGAAGGCCATGTTGACGAACTTACCGAAAGCGAAGCCAATCACGACTCCACCTCGGCAAAAAGCAAGCCTGGCAGCCGAGACAATACCCCAGGTCGACAAGGGTCTTTTGACCAGCTTGGCATCTTGACAGAGCAGACCGACAGAGACAAGCGCAAGGTTGCCATGGTAGAGGACTCATTCCGCCGCATGGAGCAACAGCAGCCACCTCGCAAGAAGAAGCGGGTGTCAGATGGAGCCCCTTCAAGCAAGATTGGCAAGCCTCGCGCTGGCTATACTGACGCGGGAACATCTAGAAGCAAATCTGGATCTCCAGCCAGTACTCGATCCCCCCAGCTCCCGTCAGGCGCTTTCAAGGGAACCGCTGCTGTGCCAAAGAGAGAGGCTTCAGCCCCGCGATCAAGGCAAACCTCAGTTGGTCCTGCCCGCCCTCAATACTGTGATGCCGCCATCCAGACCGACCCTGTTGAGGGAGAGTGGTTCAGCACCCCCATGTGTGACAACGGACCTAAGAAACGAGTTATTTCTTTATCCAGGAGGTTGCTCAACAGCCGCCTTCGCATTAAGACCGAAGAGGAGGAACGTCGCAAGTCGATGGCATCTCTTCCAGCAGCTACAATTGCAATGGATGTTGACGTTGTTGCAGCACCACCACAAGCAGCGACAACGACATCGGAGGCCGGTACTGGGTCTCAGGATACGCCAATGATGGATGTTGCCCCAACGGTGCTAAACGAGCAAGCAGTCAAGATCAAGGCAAAGACAACGCCCGACTTGCACGTTCAGTTGCCACCACCTCCAACATTCGACAATGCTGCAGTGTTGAGCGCGACTATTACTACAACTCCCCTCTCGGCCACCAGCTCAGTTGCTCAATCACCATTCCCTGGTAACCCGTTGCCAAGCCCATTCTCCAACGCCTCTCTCAACGGCGTGTTGGCGAACCCTAGCCCGATCAAGAAGAAGCTAAGCTTGAGTGATTACAAGAGTAGATTGAAGAAGGGTGGCAGCGGCCCAGGTCAACTCAAACAAAGCATGTCCAGCCCCGACGACATGAAGACCGAAGCCAACGCCGATTCTGCTTCTGCTACTACTGAAAAGGCGGAGGAGACCCAATCTCAACCTATCGTCGCCAACGGCACATCATGATGGAGTAGCATTTCTTATTAACAAATGGGCGACGAGCTGGGGGAACCAGCCAGAGATGAGACGTCGCACTACGAAGGTCCTGTGTTATATATGCTTGCTTTGCTTATTTTTGTTTTTGTTTTACACTGGCGTTGGGTGGCTTTTATGTGGGACAGATTACGGACTGGCGCTTCTTGGGAATATCAGGGTTGCAAAAAAAGAGAAGAACGATTGGGGGGAACTTGCCACCGGCTATCCGCAGAATTCTGTTGTTGTTTTTGGCTTGTTGTTTGAGCACCCGCTCCGTCTTTTTGTTGTGTATTTATAAGGTTCTTATTATCTGTTACTGGACTAGGCGTCCTTTTTCATTGTTTGTTCTACTATACCTCTACTTAGTCGAAGGCGGAAAGGCTACGGTGTTACCGTAATGAACGAAGATTTAAAGATTCTGTAATAACTTCTCTCCTGATATATTCGTGATGGATTAAAGTTGATATTTGAGAACTAAACTATGAGCACCGTCCTGCGGTCGTGAATATGTTCTTGTAGAAATCTAGGCTGTCATTGCTATAACCGTCGGTTTACATCTGTGCCGTAGAACCCCAGTTGTCTTCCTTAAAGACTAGTAACGCTAGCTTGTGTCTGACAAACAAGCCCAACAAGCCAACAGCGGCCTGCAGACCAGTAATCTCCCATGCAAGACGATCCTCGCGCAAGGGGCCGCGCCACACCAGCCAAAGGTTGAGAATGGTGAAGTTGCTGGTCTCGATGAACTGGCCCTTCTCGTCTTTGGTGACCTGGAGAAGATGCAGCTTGCCTAGCAGAGTGAGGCCCTGTCCAATGAGTGGGTGAGGCTGTCTTTCGGGCGACCATGGCGTGACTGATGGCTCGAGAAGGCCGGAACGAGCATTGAACTTGGGCAACCGGTGGCGCGGACACGGCACGAGGCCAAAGATTTGGGGGGTTGAGTAGAGAAAGTTGAAGATTTGGGGAACCAGAAGAAGGCCAAGGGTTTTCGAAAAATGGCCCAAGATACCCACAACGGCAAAGATCATGCCAGAGAAATAGCAATACGTATCGCCAACGAAGACGCGGGCCGGGTACCAGTTATGGAAGAGGAGTGCGCAGGACACGCCGATCCATGGGAGTAGAAAGTAGAGTGAGAACAGATGCGAGTCTGTAGCGGGGTGCGGGTACGGTGTCAATAGGTAAAGACAATCGTTGAAAGCGAGAAGCAGTGCAATGACCACGCATTGGGAAACCTCGATACCGTTGATACCCGCCAACATGTTGATGCTTTGCGGGCAGAACATAGCAATACAAGCCATGTATAAGTAGTACAACGGGCCCAGATCGAACAACTCTCCCAAGTAGGGCTGGAGCTGTACAGGGATGACGATGCTGGTAACGTCAAAGTCGACAAAGTAGACAACCAGAATCGGAATGGCTGCCAGACCGGGAATCCACCACTTGTGGCGCCATCTGATGTCAAAGAGATCGTCGCCGATTCCAAGAAGTGCAATCGTTTGCAATGAAATAATAGCGCTCAAATAAGATGCGAGCTAAGAGATGTGATTAGATATAGGACGCCGCTAAATAGCAGAACTTTTTTTTTGCTTACCTTGTTATGCGGGAAGCGATGCAGAAAGCGGCCCTCGTTGACATGTTCAACCTCGAGAACAACATCACGGTTACCACCACCGCTGGTGGCAGCCACGATATCTTTGTAGAAGGGAAACGGAATGAAGACGATGATTGTCAGCAAATACACTGCTGCGCAGACAGCGCCCATACACTCCGGGATCTCAATTTTGTTGGTCTTGCTCAAGTCCCGGCCACGGAAGCCAGCCTTCATGAATGTTGGCCCCAGCCAACGGATCATGGCATAGCAGAGCGCAAACGCGGCAAAGGACAGGGCAAGAGACGCAATAAGCGGCTCGCCATCGCCCTGGAACGTGTTTGCAATCACTGCAAGCGCAGCCCCGGAAATCGTCAAGAGAGTCAACGTCTCTTGGCGCGAGAGCCGGGGAGTGCCATCGGCGGCGGTAGCGGCCCCCATGACTGTCTCGGAGCGCGCTAAACTCTATGTATAGGTGTCGAAAGACTCTAGATCGACTGTCTCGTATCGAAGAATCGTAGTTTCGATTAATAGCCGGTGCGTAGAACGGATGCGAGTGGTTTTCCGAAATGCGCGGGTTAAGGGGCGATTGCGTAGGATGCTGTGTCGGTTTCTCTTCACGATGTCCTAAAATTTGTATTTTGGATTAAAGGAGCGGACGATGAGCTAGCTGCTCTTCACAAAAGACGACGGAAGACTGCAGAAACAACCCGGCATGCGTTGCTGTTGCGATGTTGATAGCCTCCTCCAACAAAATAAAATAAAACGTCGCCGTGGCCAATTGGGCAGCTGGCGCAGCGCGGCCGACACCTGGCGCGTGGGCCCGTCTTGGGTGCGGCAGCTGGCGGGCAGCTGGCTGCCAGCAGACATGCCGTGTTCTGTACAGTAAGCACCATGCCTCTCGACTCAACTACGCCATCGGAAGGAGTTAGTGTTATATCCATCGTCGTTTTAGTCCAACGGAGAAAAGATAGTTCAGTATCTGGTCTGTAAGTTGACTTTTCGGCGATAATTCATCTGCCGGTTACCCATTACAGCGCCGGGGCTTCGATCCTCAGCTACCGAACAAACTGGGATCGCCTCGCATAGCGACTTCGGCGCCCTCGGCAGCATGCCCTCCAATACCTCTAATTGGAGGTCTGGCAAGTGCGAAACTGATATCGACTGAGATGATCATTGTGGAGCTATATCCAGCTGTTGTTTATCATTCAACGATAGGTGATGCTGCTCGTGCGGCGGGAAACTATAGAGAAGCGAATGTTGCAGCATTATCATGATCGCGCGTCCTTGTTCTTGGAACAAACCAAAAACAGCAGTCCGCGGACAACGGAACGCAGTGCTGCATTTTACCTGACGCCATCCACAGCTGAGGCAGCGCAAACCTCTACAGCACCCAACCAGGTGCTTTGGCGCTCCCCCCTTTCAACCCCACCGCCACTCTATTCTTCGGGAATAGCGCTCTTAAGTCCTGCGATACTGCAAACAAGGCACTCTATTCGGCCTCTCGGAGCCGCGAGATGCTTGAATGACTGGGGCCCGCGCACATCCCTCCCCACCAGACGGCGCTAGAGTCCATTTTTTGGTTGGCAAGGGACCTCTGTAATTACAAAGCAACAGCATATAACTAAAATGGGTGCCGCTCCCGAGTAAGCGTAAAGTTCTTATCGCGCGTGCAGACCTCCTCACTTGGCACTTTGTGTTTTGGGCGTGATATCGTCTCAATCCGCGTCTGTTAACTGGGGATTCACATCAAGCATATGTTATTCGGCTATCATGTCGACGCAACAAAGCTCCAATAGCCCAGATGGGCAAACGAGCTCGTCGGTGCCCATGCAGCGTGAGCACAGCGACTCGTCAGTGACGTCAAGCAGCGGCCATTTCGCCGCGAAGGCAGATGCTGGCACTGCTGCTGCGGATACCGATATCGAAGCACAAAAGGTAAGCATCCCCATGGACAAATCAGTTGCTTACTGGCTAACGTGCCGAAAGGATGAGATCACAACCGAGCCTTTAGCGCGCCATGAAACTGGTGCCAGCGCCGCGGGAGGTAGAAGCATCCTCAGCAGATTGTCCAAGAGCAAAACAAAGGAGAAGCTACCTCCTCCGACTTTGCCCATTATGGATCTCGACAACGGCGTAGTTGGCTGGGAGAGCCAGCATGATCCAGAAATGCCACTTAACTTCACACCGTTCCGCAAGTGGTTTATTGTTGCCATGCTCTCAACCATTACTTTCATGACACCCTTTGCATCGTCTAATCTTGCCCCGGGCATCAAAAACATTGCGGAAACATTCCACGCTGAGGATAACCTTACTAAGGCCTCCATGCCCGTCAGTATCTTCTTGCTAGGTTATGCGGTTGGACCCCTATTCCTTTCTCCTCTATCCGAAATCTACGGCCGTAGCATTGTCCTGCTGAGTTCGTGTGTCTTCTTTTGCGTATGGCTCATTGGATGTGCTCTTGCGCCTTCGCTTGACAGCCTCATCGTCTTCCGCTTCTTGTCTGGCCTCGGTGGCTCCGCGGTCCTAACGGTGGGCGGCGCTATCATTGCAGACATTTTCCAGGTCAGTGAACGTGGCCGTGCAATGACCATTTGGATGCTTGGACCCATGGTTGGCCCCTCGTGCGGTCCTGTTATCGGAGGCTTTGTGGCACAAACCATCGGTTGGCGATGGGTCAATTGGATCTCGTTCATTCCGTCGACTCTGACCGTCATTGCCATGATCATATTTAGCCGCGAGACCAACGCGCAAGTTTTGATTGAGCGCAAAACCAAGAAGCTACGCCAAGAGCTGAACAGACCAGAGCTGCGCAGCTGTTACATTGATCCTGCCAAGCCAGCGGTGACGAAGCAGCAGATTTTGCTCAATGGTCTCATTCGGCCCATCAAGATGTTATTCCAGTCTGTCATGCTCTTCGGCCTCAGTATATACATTGCTTTCCTGTACGGCTGCTTGTACCTGCTTTTTAACACAATCCCCATCGTTTTTGAAGGACAATACGGCTGGACAGTAGGAATTGCTGGCCTTGTGTATCTGACCCTCCTCGTCGGGTACATGGTTAGCCTTTGGCTATTTTACAAGCTCTCAGATTCCACGGTAGTTAAGCTCACAAATGCCAATGGTGGTGTATATGAGCCGGAAATGCGACTGCCGCACTGCATCTGGTTTGCTGCGGTCATCCCCGCTAGTTTCTTCTGGTACGGATGGAGCGCAAACTACACTGTCCACTGGATCGTTCCAGTTCTTGGCATTGTCCCATTTGGGTTCGGCATTATCGGCGTCTGGTTGCCGATTCAAGCATACCTCATTGATTCGTTCCCGCAGTACGCTGCTAGTGCGTTGGCGGCCTTCTCTGTCCTGCGATGCGCTGTTGCAGCCTTCCTACCGCTTGCTGGTCCAGCAATGTACGCCAACCTTGGTGTCGGATGGGGTACGTCACTTTTGGGATTCATCGCTCTTGCTATGGTTCCAATCCCTATAATCGTGCATAGAAAGGGCAAATGGCTCCGAGAGCGTTTCCCTATCAGTCTATAAAAGCCTGGTGTTAGCCAACATCAAACTCCAGTACAGTACTCTACAACAGTAGAGCCTGAAAGTTATTTATTCATTTACAGTTTCTGTTGATTTCTTTACAAATAGAGTATAAACTCACGGATAGACTACATCATAGCCACTTCGACGGATTCCCTTGTGAAAAGTAGTTCTGGGGATGCACACCGAATCACCCCGTGACACACCTAAGCGAAACTTTCAAACGTGCGCATGTCTTGGATTTTATCCAGAAGATGGCGGAGTCCGGCAAATGTCATCATACAGGAGGCGCCTCGTGTATCTGGGCATTGTCAAGCGCCTTGGCAAAGACAAGTTCGTCTAGCACCATCGCCAATATGGAGGCGATTACCTTCTAGAAGAACCCGGATTTATGGGCCGGAGTTAGCAATAATGTGGAAACAATCCCAAAGTTTGTACCCATATAGCCCTATGCCCTCCGAATAACGTTATCTATCTTTTCCTGGCGGTGGCTGAGCTGCTGCGTCACTGGACTTGGCATCATTGGCGGCGGCGGGGATATCGCCGCACACCAAGTAAACGCCCGAGATCATAGGCGAAAAAACGCATTTGGGATGAGAAAAGGTTATTTTTAAGCACATTTGTAATCATTGAACCATGCTAACCAGATACCGCGTGAGGAGCAGCGGCAGCGTACCGACACTAATGAGTACCACGGATGGGGCTGAGATGCTACACTATGCTAACTAGACGTTGGTGACGCGGTTGCTTCGCCATTCGAATGCCAAGATTGGGGCAAAGGGTAAGTAAAGCGCTGGGCATATTTCTAAAACGAGCTCGTCTTTAAATATGTATTGCTTTCCATGTCTGAGATCTGTTAGTGTTGAGTGATCCGTCGTTTACGTCTAAGCCAGCAGCTTTTGACAAGATGAAGTGCAAATTACCCTTATCATCACTTTTATCCTTTATTCTGTTTGCTTATTTCTGTTATTGTACGCATCTTATAAACAACTGCCCATATATAAAGAGCCACTACTAACTTTGCAGGTCATTCAATCCGGACAACATCTCAAAAATATATCTACAGTGTCGATGACTTGACATTCAGCTCCCCTGCTCATACCGACAAGTCGGACACATTGTCTATTTCGTTTCAAATCCCTGAAAAGAAACTCGCTGTTCGACTTAACTTACAACGAGACGCGGAGATTTATGACCAACCGGTCACGGTTCACCATGTAAGATCTGACGGAACGAAAGATGTTGAGCACGTTGCAGCTGGAGCACATCTGGCTTACCACGGTACTGTGGAATCCGAATTATCTACACCTGCCGATTGGACTCGAATTACGGTTCACGAAAAACACGGCACGCCGCTGCTTGAAGGTGTCATGACAATCGGCGGCCAAATCTTCACCATTCAAACAGACTACAACTATCGCAGCAGCCGTCGCAGCGAGGACCCTGGCCTGCCCGAAAATAAAACGCCTTACATTATTCTATTCACCGAAGCTGAAGATGCTAAAAATGGACCGATGGCACGCCGCAGCAGCGACACTGCTACGTGCAGTATCGTTGATCCTACGCTGTTCAGTAACAATCCCCCCTTGTTCGAAAGCCTCGACGGGTCCATACTACCTAGACAATCTGGGGGCGGGCGAGGTCGATTCGATCCGCGACAATTCATCGGATCGACGCAGGGTTGTCCGAGACAAAGGCTGATTGCGTTGATGGGCATCGCCGTGGACTGCAATTATGCCGCTCAGTTCCAATCACCAGATGATATTCGCCAACACATCATCACACAAATCAACTCTGCATCCAGGACGTACGAACAGACATTCAATATTTCGCTCCGTGTGCGCAACATCACCATTAGCGAAAGAGCATGCCCGAGTGGAGGGCCTGTCAACACGTGGAACCAGCCTTGTACTCGCGGCGGCACTATTGCAGAGAGACTGGATTCATTTGCGACATGGAAACGATCGTTTCAAGACGATACTGCTGTGTGGACGATGCTGACAACATGCACATCTGGAACGACAGTCGGCGTGGCTTTCCTCGCGACAACTTGCCATCAAAGCATGACGTCAGGCAACAGATTCGCCCCTAGTGCATCAGTCAACGTTGTAGCAAGAACAACCGCTGAGTGGCAGGTTATAGCACATGAAATCGGCCACAACTTTGGAGCCTCACATGACTGCTTAAACGACTGTGGTGAGAGCTCTTGCTGTCCGCTCAGCGCAGAGATATGCAATGCCCGGGGCCGGTTTCTTATGAATCCTGCCGTTGGCAACGGTATAAACTCGTTTTCACCTTGTTCTATTGGTACGATATGCACCATGATGGGACAGAGGCTCATCCAGACCCAATGCATGGAGAACAATGAAAATGTGCCAGTAGCATCCACAAAGCAGTGCGGCAATGGCATCGTCGATCCCGGTGAGGACTGCGATTGTGGTTCGGAGGAGCAGTGTGCCGACAACCGTTGCTGTGACCCGGCTACATGCCGCTTCCGCCCTGGTGCTGCCTGTGATACCTCAGCCGGTGGTTGCTGTAATGAATCCTGCCAGTTATCTCCTCAGGGAACAGTCTGTCGCGAGAGTACAGGACTATGCGACCCAGAAGAGACTTGCACCGGCGACTCTGGCGTATGCCCCAGGGACAGACTCCTAAGAGATGGAGATTCGTGCGGCCTCACCGGCGGCAACACGACATGCGCCTCTGGCCAGTGCACATCGAGAGCGCTGCAATGTGCCAGCCTTCTGGGCCTTGAGTCAAACTCAAGCGTCGCGGTCTGCAATAGTAACCAGTGCCAAATGAGCTGCAGGGAGCTAGGTGGTGGCGATGAGGCTTGCCGAACTACAAACCAGGCGTTTGTAGACGGTACGCCCTGTGATGATGGCCTGTGCTACGCTGGTGAGTGTCGCAAGAGTACCAACTCAGTCCCGGGATGGATTGATCGAAACCGCAGCCTATTTATCGGTCTCTGCGTTGTAGGAGGCATCCTGGTCTTTGTTGCACTCTTTGCCTGCTGTGTCTGCTGCCGCCGAGGCAAGCCTGTGAAGGAAGCGATGCCGATGCCGTCGCCGCCAATGACGCCGGTAGAGCAGAGACGTAGATTCAGCAATCTGCCACTCAGGTCGACGCCATCTATGCAACAGCAGCAGCAGCAACGTTATAGTGGTCAAAGTCATGACTGGTCGCCAGTAATGCACCAACGGTCCAGCGGCGGGATATCACCGTCGTCTCCGATGCAGGACCGCCGGTATAGTAGGCCACAGAGTTCGCTGCCTCGGTATGAATGATGATTATGTGAATATGGGACATGGGACATGGGATATATTAAGCGAGGCGTTTGTTGTAGGTATATGTATTTCTTCCTTTTGGTATATAAAAGGTCATGAGTACTATATTCATTCATCCATAATTACAGATTGGCGATCATTAAGTGTTGTGGAGGACCAAGAATGGCTCTATATGCATGTTGCTGACATTGTCCGCGTCTGGATTTTCCTATGCGCGCACGAGATCCCACCTGCCAAGATAGCTTCCCTTCCATCCAACTCTACCCCATCGGGCCAATACCTCTTTCTGGGTGACGCCCCTTGGCTCTCGGCCATCAAATGAGGTGATTTGCATAATTTGCACTCCTTGTCCGGGGGCTCCAAGATCAATGGCATTGATATCGGCCCAGAACCAGTAGCCGTCATTTTGAATGGGGACAATGGCTGCCTTTCGTCCGTCTCTGCCAGCAATGGACATGAAGAGAAGGGGCTCTTCTTTTCCTGCCATCTGTCTAGTTTTCCAATGTGCACATTTTCTAGCAAACTTGAAGCGAACAACCTCACCACTGTAAATGGGGATATTCTTTAGGCGCGGTTCGGCAGTGTTCGGCTCAAAGCCCGCCTTGGTGAAGTCCCCGCAGCAAGAAGGCCCTTCACCACCCGCGCCAATATAAAATGTTTCCCAGCTGGTAGTGGTGCCGTCCTCTCGGAACTGGTGGCTGGGATCTGTTGGGAAATGCGTAACACCCATGTCAATATTAGATCGAGTGAATTCGTGCGGCGTGAATCCCTTTGCAAACTCCATACCAGTCTCGCCACCAAGAGCACCAGCTCCCCAGCAAGCGTCAATAACCTTCCAGATACCCCCATCGATTCGAACAGCATTCCATGCGTGGTTTGATTTCATGGGTGGGATGCTCTCACCGGGCTTCAAAGCCGTGTAGCCGTATCCTTTGCCATAGCCGCTAATAACGACGCACTCGAGGCCAGCCTTGACAGCAATAGCCTGGTATGCTTCAGCATAGCCCTGGCAGACAGCAAGACCATTAAGCAGAGTATCATTGACAGGGACGGCCTTGACGCAGCCACCAAAGAAGGAGTAGGTATCGTAGGCAATGTTATGATGGCACCATGCGAAAATAGCTCTCGCTTTATCTGTGTAAGATAGAAACTGGCTGCAAAGGTTTGTCGCCAGGTAGCCGGCTGGATCGGTATGAGGAAGCGATTCTCGAGGGAATCGGCTACCAACCTCGTCGGGTACGGAGAAGTCACGGCAGATTAGACACTCGTCTGCACTACTCGGCGGAGCGGGATTTGAGGATGGCTCTACAGCTCTTGCTGACGCCGCATCAATATCCGCAATCGAAGGGCGGGACGAAGTAGGGACTGGAGGTGGTTTGCTTTCTCTTGACGACGTCGGCAAGGGTGGTGGCTTATCTTCCTTGCCGCTACCAAAGCCTGTGATGCGAGCTTTGGCGGTTGCTGGAGGAGGCAGACGTCTTGGCGGGACGTTTGGCGTGACAGTGTCGCTCCGTTCCGGCAGCGTCGGGCCGTTCGATTTGTTTCGAACGGGTCGAGATGGCAGTGTCGGTGCTTGAGTAGATGAAGCAGATTTGGGAATTGGTGGGCGAACGGGTACAGTTGGTTGAGCACGGCGGGCCTCTTGAGACTTTCTCGTTTCCTCCGCCTGTCTTTCTGCTTTCTCTTTGGCTTTAAGCTCTCGTTCTCGTCGCGTAGGAGGCAGCTTTGGCAACTGGGACATATCTACAACGGGTGGGAGGTTGTACTTGGCGGTGCCGTTGGAGCTGTGACTCGTCGTTGACGACGCTGTGCGACCCATGGACAGTGACGAGATACCAGAACTGATAGAGAGCTCGGAAGATGCCGAGTTACGGCGGACTACGAGGGTGCCATTCTGTTGGGTGCTTGGGCGACGAGGAGGCATTGGCGGCGTCTGTTGGGCTGACGGCGTACGGGACGGAAGAGGTGGTCTGGCAGGTTGTTCAGTGGCCTGACTGTCCACAGATATCTGAGTATCTCTCCGAACAGGTAACGGCGGGACATTTCGAGCCGGTCGTGGTGGCAGAACGGGCGTCGTAGGAGCCTGTGTTGTCTTCTTGGATGGTGGTGGTGGTGGAGGGGGTCGTCTTGCAGGCTGACCGTTGCCAGTAGCAGGCTGACCGTTGCCAGTAGCAGGCAGGCCGTTGCCAGTAGCAGGCAGGCCGTTGCCCGTAAAGGCCTTTTGCTTGTTGAGAGCCGCAATGCGTTCTGCTAAAGTAGAGAACTGAGGCTCTTCTGTGTCGGCCATGATTGCGGGAGGTTTGTTTTACAATGGCTTCGGTGTCTTATGTCTCCATGGCGTTTTGCAGTGAGCGTCGTATTATAAGGCTAGCCGAGATGTGGCGTAGGACGATAGTGTGCCGCGTCAAATGTATGATTGGATAATAAGGGGGGTTGCTATTAGGTGAAAGTCGGTATGCAGCACCGTATGAAAAGGAGAACAAGTGTCGAGAGCTTGGTTGGAGGAGCGTGAAAGAAAAGATAGATGAGGAGGCAAAAATCAGGCTGTGCCATTGTCTTGCTGGCCACGGCGGCTTAAGCGCACTGAACAATTAGGCTAGTGGTCTCCACTGCCCTGGAAAAAGCCAACCACAGGGGGCGGTACGAAGGCAGCACGCACAGCCTTGAGGGTGGGGCAGTGCTTCACGCGCGACGCTAACACGAGTGCATGCATGGTGGGCGTTTTGGGGGGAAGCAGTGAGGAGACGTGAGGAAGAAGGGAAGAAAGAAAGAAAATAGGGTGATGTGGTGGGAACGGTGGTGAAGAGAATGAAAATTATTGTGAAATTTACAGTAATTATTTGCGGTGCGGAAAAATCATACAGACTCTAGCATCGAGGGTGAGCGTAGCCTGGCAGCTGGTAGCCGTTTATAGCTCAGACTGCTCTACTGTAGAACTGTCATATGGTAGTACTGCACAGCGCTGTAAGCAATGCGGGGAGCCGTTGGTACGATGGCGCTGTGCCGTCACTGTAATTGCCTGCAACAGACACTGTATTCACTGTGGGAAGCCGCTCTGCAGGGGTGTTTTGGATAGAAAGGAGAGCTCGCTTAGAGGCTTGATGGGCCGACGGGGGTAGTAGATATTTTCATATCCATGCTGAATTCATAAAACCTTGTTCAATGGACATATTTTCAATTCCCCGATGCTAAGAATGAGCCAATTGAATCCTCCTTCAGCCCCGTTGTAGGGTGTCGCATTCAGTTCTGCTGTAAGCGCTTGGTATGTTCGCCATCTTGCTCTCCACATCACGGTATCACCACCTCTCTCACTACTTGCTGCACTGTACATCTATCTGGTCCGTGCAATACTGTGTGCTATTAGCCTATACATATCCTGCACCGTGAAAGATTGCGCTTTTACCCCTTTGAGCACGGCGCAGACCAGCCAACGCGCCAGTGCCACCACCACCGCAGAATCTACAGGTGCCGTACATCCACCCACTCACATCACACTCACACACACAGCGGGTAGCCACAGTGTCTTCCCCCCCCCCC